TATTACGCTGAAAAAAAAGGAAACAACAGCTTCTATACATAAAAGAGATGAGACAACAACGACATATTGTATTTGTTGTTGTCGTATCGCAAAGAAGAAAAAGAAGGAGAAAATACGAATATAAATGATCTAGCATTCAGTATACATTTGTACAACAACATATACCGCAAAACCAACTAATGAAAAAGAGAAAAAGATTCTTCTTCTTCTTCTTCTTTTTCTTCTGTTTGGTGCTTTTTTTCCTATTAACAGAGCTACAACCACATTTTGACTTGGTGGTAGCTTCTTTCTTTTTTCCTTATATCTCTTTTCTTTCTCTGTCGCTATATGTATCTTCTGATAATAGAGCAATATCTCTCGCCTATCCTCGTGTACCTTTTCCTTTTTTTCCTTTTTCCTATCTGTTCTGCATCGTACAGTAGACACATCCGTTGAATATTATCTTGCTGATATCGACGAGTAATAAGAAAAATAGATTTACGTCAGCAGCGGACTAGGAAAATGCAACGATGATAATAGTATGGGGAGGAGAGAAATAGCTGTGTTTCTATTGATGTTGTTGTTGTTTTCGAGTATCGCTAACTTAAGAATAAGACTTGCTCTTTATACAAACGGTTTGGTAATAAAAATCAGAACGACCTTGTTTTTCGTTAAAGAAATGACATATCCATATATGTTTGTGTATATCATCCATCAACTCTACACTGACTATCCTACATAATCGACTGACATATATGGTTCTGTCAATCGACAAAAACTAAAACAAGGAGCAAACTAAATAGACTTGTCAACTACTTACGATCGAAATGAGAGAAACTATCTAATTAAATGTAGAATAATAACTTCAATTTGTCAAATATATATATTAAATTTTAAGATATATAATCTTGAGAAAAGACTAAACGCAAATATTCATATTTCTATAGTATAAATGATATAAGAGTTTTGAGGATTTTCATATTAAGACCTTGTTGTATATTGTCTTCTATATTTCTGTTTCTGTGTCCCTGTCTCATTCTCTCCTTTTCTCAACATATGTTGTTAAACATCTCTCTTTATCATATCGACATTTTTCTTTCGCTACCATAATCTTCTTACTAAGCAAAAGCGATTTGTTGTTCTCGCATGCATTGCCGTCATGGTTTATCTCTAATATTGCTTGCCTATCTTAAGTTAGTATAGTAGCAGGAAATAAGAGGACAACTCAGACGAATAATTACGTTGAGAATTATATGCGAAAGAAAACAGCGATTGCTGATGATGAGAGACAATGCATGATGTATTTTTTGTTCTTATTTTTTCCATCGTATTAATTCTACATGGCCATTTCGCTACTACTGTTAACCACTAAATACATTTCTTGTCGTTAAAAATCAACAGACGAATAAACAGACCTAGAAAAACAATCCATGGATACAATAAAAAAAATACACAAAAGCTACTAATACCTAAACTAAATGCATACTAAATAAAAACTAACAATAGTTATTCCTAAGAATCGTAAAATATCATTTTACATCATGACGTAGAAGATAATAGCTTTCAAAAAAGAAGAAAAAGAAGAACGCGAGAGATTGATATTTATCAGACTGTCATATTGCCCTCTACAAAAGGTAAAGCATAAATGACACTAACAGTAAGACATGTTCTTTCCGTTTCTTTCTATATTGATTATTATCATCCGTCACTTTTGGACTTTAGCAACGATGATGATGATGATGACGATCGATCGAATTTCATCATCACACATCCTACTGTTGTTCTCTTTTCTTTTATGTGTTGAAAAATTTACTCACATTAGAGATCGATGAAGATCGTACACGTCTTTGATCCATCAGAAGAAGTATTGCACTACACAGAAAAATAGAAGTTGATGTCTCTTTATACTCCTACTATAATAGCGGCTAGAAAAGAACATATGTAGAAAATGCGAATATCTAGCGAGCCAGAAAAAAAAGAAAGAAAACGCAGAAGCAATAGAGAAAATGGACAAATTACAGAACGGAAAGAAAAAGGTGTCCATATCCGCTATGTTGATGACGTTGGTAGTCATAAATAAAAGGAGACGAGATCATCGATTGTTTAGACAAAAACTCATGCTAGTGTTGTCTCATTATGATGAATACCAGAAACAAAATCATGCAATCAGCTGCACCAGAAAAAACAACAATATTCAAAGCAGTAAATACACAGCACTATTTATCATTAGCATCATAAGATTATTAGATCAGCTTGTGACAATTGTATATATCCCCGTAAGCAGGTGTTTCAGTGCATTTTTTTGGCAATTTGCATCTACTCATTTGACCTATAATGAGAATTTTTATCAGTTTATTCTCAAATGATGCATTTCTTTGCACACAAATAAACAATGAATAATTTTGAGCATTTTTCTTACAGTTCAATCAATGTGAAAAGATTAATCTATAGATAGCAATAGGAAATGAATCTCTACCATATTATGATCTTACTCAATTGATCGACAACAGTATTTAGATTATGAATACCAAAGTTGATAGCAATCACTGCATTCTACTACGTATTATATCAAATGCTATTTATTTGTTTTTGATGTTTTATAGAAATATAAACATCATTAATAGCGTGTACTAATGATGGATAAAACTTAACTATAATAAATCAAAAAAATATATAATCTAAAATATTGTTATATAATTGAAATTAATTGTTCTAATCGAAATATTGATACATATTGTATTAAATCTATATTAAGTTAGATAACATAAAAAAATTGTTTCTTAGAAGTATTTTTGATATTGTTTATTTCTATATTTTCAAAAAAACAGTAATTTTTAGTTAAATAAATTCATTTATATTCTTATTTATCATCATCATAATAAAATGACACTTCGTTCGATATTATACATTTGTATACTGATCGAATAGAATAATAGAGCGAAATCTAATCGTCTGTTGCAAACGTCTACGATCTTACCAATGGTTTATTATTTTTGTAATTCTTATCCTGATAAACTTCTATTATTTCATATTGAGAATAGTATAGCTTAGATCAATTATATACGAAAGAAAAAAGATAACTCTATAATTGTACTATGTTTAAGATAGACATAGTCAGAAGTCATGCGAGAATATCAAGATCGAGGGACAAGACATATAAGGAAATATCTTATAGAAACACTGAAAAATCTAAAACAATCTTGCTAGTTTTAGTGAATAATAATACAATGAATGTATATTATATTATTAAAAATAAGAAATGAAACTAAATCTAAGCAAAAAAGTCTTATTGAATACTAATTGTTCTATTAATAAACTTTTAATATTAGATAATAGTCTATGATTTCTAATACATCATCTCATCTTTCGTAATTATGTTTGCATGAAGAAAAGTAGTCATTAAAAAATACTTAGTTTATAACGATAAAAGTCAAAACAATATCTATTCGATTCTACATTTACAAAAATGCTTATTCATGTATTCTAAAGGAATAGTGTTAATAGATCCACGATGTAGAACTATACAAATGAGTATGTAAATTATTAATAATGAAAAATTGATGATTTAATGTAGAGATATTAATACGATTAACAAAACAAACGTTCATAAATAATATGATTTATATATTAATGCAATACAAAGAAATCGTTTAAATTTCTACTTCTCTTACTTAAGTAATAAACTACGTGAATAGTTACCCGTTGTATTGTAAAATATAATGATAGAATACATTTTGAGTGATAATTATGATTGAAAAGTCAGGTATTAATTAGTCTTTTAAAATGAAAGTCTTATTTTAACTATGTTGCATTGTTTGAGATCAACGAATGTCGATATAGTAGGAAAACTATAACGTATGATACCATGCTTAATATAAGACTGACTTTATCTCCTTGAAGAGTGTGAATGTCGTCGATGCGTATGATTCTATTATACTCATCTCTCATATTTCCATTCTGAATCATATTTATTCTCTAATAAAAGAAGATTAATATAAAGAAATATCTATTACTCAGACAGACAAAACTCAAAAAAAACGGAGAAAAACGTGTAGAAATTTTAACGAAAATAAAATTCGGGAAAGCGCACATTTTTACGATTTTTATCTCTATTAACCTTGTCTACTGTGCTTGACGCTTTTTTTTAAAGATCATGTCTGCTCATATACCTGTGGCTTTATAAAACTGAATTACATCTTGCATGTTTTGCTCAAAGAATCAATATTATAGAGACTAGAACTGATGTATAAGTAAAGTAGAGAAATCAATTGAAATATGTTAAAAATTAACTGTCTTTTTTTAGAAGTCAGTATGTAATGTAGATGAACCTATAGCAAAATGAATAAACAATATCGTCGCCCATCTAATTCCATAATATGTAATAAAAAATAATATAACTACAAAGTAGGTAGATGCAGAAATTTATTAGTACCATATGACAATACTTTAAATTAATACAATGCAACTAGTTATTAAATATTTGTTCTAAATGATGAAAAATACACTTTTGATGACAAACTATATCACCAAGAAATGCATATGTTGTATATGAAAAAAAAATGAATTTTGTACAAGAAAGAAAAAAAGCATTATCGTTCATAATACAAGAAACAGATTTTCTTATTTAATAAAATGATTATCTCAAGATGAGATATGAAAAAAAAAAAGAATGAATAAATTATTCCACATGAGTTATATCGTGTTTAGTTTTTCGACGATAATGATGTAGTATATGACGTTATTCATGTTTCAATTTTGAACCCTCTATAAAAAGAGAAAAAAAAAATTTTTCTTTTCTAATACGTAATAAAATTGATTCTTACGATCAATATATTGTCGTGCAATAAATTTCAATAATTCATCTATTAATATAACTGGTAAAGAAATTTTGATTACAGCCATCCATTCTTCTACTGAAAGTGGACAGATTTGAAATACAGTCTAAGAACATAGATATGCATGTATAATAAATTAAGTAGAGTAAGATATGAGACTTACATTGAACATAGGAATGTATAAAATCATCATATGTAATGACATTGATAAAGCAATAGCATATAATAGATATTTATTTTTCCATGGTGGCATTTTAATAAGAGATTGATTTTCCGACAAACTGAAAGAGAGAAGAGATTTATATTCAATTACGAGAAATATGAATTATACCTGTTAAGTGCATTTAACATTTCAATAGTGACAAGTACTGATAAAGCCATTGTCATTGGATGTGGATCTTCAAAAACAGAACAACTAATATTTTCCCATTCTTTACCACCTGCACGACATTTGAAATGATTTTTCTAAATATAAATAAAGACTCGAGATGACGAACTTATAAAATCACTAATTAGTCTTGTCTATTGAAAACATTAGAGAAAGTAGACATTGATGTATTTTAACCCGCTTAGAAATTTACTACATACCAAATGCCAATAGGAAAGTTTTGGACCATTTGATGCATGCATTGACCACCATGAAGCGCTCCATACTACAGCAAAACCAACATAACCTGTTAGAAGAAGAAGATGAAATAGTATAATGAAATTTTACACATTAAACATACTTCCGATAACTAAATAGCGAAAAAATAACCATGGTGTTATTAGAGCTTCTTTTGATTTTCGTGGTGCACGATCCATAATATCCAAATCAGGTGGATTGAAACCAAGTGCTGTTGCTGGTAAACCATCTGTGACCAAATTGACCCAAAGTAATTGAACAGGAATCAATGATTCGGGTAAACCAAGAGCAGCAGTCAAAAAAATGCACACAACCTAAATTAATATTATTATTCTCTATCTCTCATCTTATTTTAATTCTATTGTTTACCTCTCCAATATTTGATGAAATCAAATAACGAATAAATTGTTTCATGTTATTATAGATAGCACGACCTTCTTCAACAGCAGATACAATTGATGAAAAGTTATCATCAGCTAAAACCATTTCAGATGCTGATTTAGCAACAGCTGTACCGGAACCCATAGCAATACCAATTTCAGCTTTTTTCAAAGCAGGTGCATCGTTGACACCATCACCAGTCATAGCAGTAATTTCACCATGTGATTGTAGAAATGCTACAATCTTAGATTTATGTGATGGTTCAACACGTGCAAACATTTTTGCATGACGACAAGCTTCTGATTGTTCTTCAGTTGAAAGATCATCGAATTCTCGACCACTAAATGCTTTACCTTTAAGAAAAAAAGATAGTACATCCTTCAGATATTACTCTAAACTATATGTTTGTTACCTTTTGTGTCTTCTGAATCTCCAAAGATGCCAATACGATGACAAATAGCTTCGGCCGTGTTCTTATCATCACCAGTGATCATGATAACACGAATACCAGCGTTACGACATCGTTCAATAGCTTCACGCACTTCAGCACGTGGTGGATCAAGCATACCAACAACACCAACAAATGTAATGTTGTTCTATAATAATGAAGTATATCTGTTAGATATTCTTGTCAAGCATGAAATGTCCTACCTCATAAGTAACAAATTTTGTCGAGTCTTCTAGTTTCATATCTTCTTTTCTTAGTGGTTCATCAATTGTTCCTAAGGCCAAACAACGTAGTGTTTCCCGTCCTGTTCCATATTGACAAACTAATTTCATAATTGCTTTTTTTATTGTTTCAGTCATTGGAACTTTTTGTGTACCAACTCGAATATGTGTACATCTTTCGATTATTGCTTCAGGCGCGCCTTTTACAAACATTTTAGCTCCTGACTGACTACTGCCTGTAGGTGTCACATGACTTGACATTGATTTTCGATCACGTGAGAATTCTAATGTGAAATCTTTACGATATTTTTGGCGGATGACTGTATTCGATGACATTGCAAGTTCTTGAGGTGATAAACGAGATTTATCAGTATTGAATACATTCATCTTTTCGACAAGAACAGTCAAAGCTGTTTCTGTTGCTTCACCAACTCTTTCGAATGCTTTCTTTGTCTAATAATAGTAAAAAAAATGATTTCATAGAGAACAATAAAATACAAATCTAACCTCATTATAATCTAATGCTGAATCATTACACAAAGCTGCACATTCAGCAAGTTCAACCAATCCACTACGATCTGAACAGTTGAATTTTGATCCATTAAAGAGAATGTCACCTTTTGGTTCATAAGTTGATCCAGTTATTTCAAATTGATCAATTTGAAAGTCATTTCCTTCAACTTTACCGAATATGAACATCTAATAAAATACACAGTCAGATACATTACTATGAAAGAGACAAACATACTCGACAAATTGACATTTGATTAGTTGTTAATGTTCCAGTTTTATCAGAACAAATGACTGATGTACAACCAAGTGTTTCGACTGATGGTAATGAACGAACAATGGCATTCTTCTTAGCCATTCGACGAGTTCCCAATGCAAGACAAGTTGTAATGACAGCTGGTAAACCCTCAGGAATAGCAGCAACAGCTAAAAAATAAATATGATGATAAATGAGAAGAGATTTGATGAACTAAATAAATAAACAAACCAAGAGCAACAGCAATCTTGAAATAATAAACAGCACCACGAAGCCATGAACCACCATGAACTGGATCATTGAAATGACCAATATTGATAGCCCATACAGCGACGCAAATGATAGAAATAACCTATCATAAAATAGAATCGTATGATAGTTAATGAATCAATCAATGGCATATACTTTTGATAATTGTTCACTAAATTCGTCTAGTTTTTGTTGTAATGGTGTTTTTTCTTCTTCTTCTTCTGCTTCCGCCATCCCTGATCGAATCTTACCGATTTCAGTGTTCAATCCGGTTCCAATAACAACACCTCGACATTTACCAGCAGCAATGTTAGTTCCCTACAAAACATTGATTGATTTATTAATTCATTTAAAAAATAATTGATCTTACAGAAAAGAGAATATTGAGTTTATCTTGATTGACAGCACGTTCAACAGTTACTGGATCTGTATGTTTAATGACAGAATCGCTCTCGCCAGTTAATAATGATTGATCAATACGAACTGTTGTCGAATGGATAGATGTTATGCGAATATCAGCTGGAACCTTATCTCCAACAGCTACTTCAACAACATCTCCTGGTACAAGTTCTCGTGCTTTAATTTTTTGAATGTGTCCTGGTCGGTTTTGTCGAACAACTTTAGCTATTTCAGGTTCATATTCTTTTAATGCTTCGATAGCACTTTCTGCATTTCTTTCCTAGATATTTTCAAAGAAAAGTGATATATACGGAAGATAAATAGATGAATAGATATTACCTGCCATACACCGACAGTAGCATTTGCAATTAGAATAAGAAGAATAACAATTGGCTCAACAAAAGCAGCTACAAGACTTTCATCTTCTTTTTGTTCTTCAGTTAAGGCTAAGACCTATTTAAGAAGATAAAAAGTGAGAAATGGTATTGAATAAAAGAATAATAAAAACTAACGAATGAAATGCAAGCAGCTGCAAGTAAAATTTTGACTAGAAGATCGTTGAATTGTTCTAAGATAAGTTTCCAAAGTGGTTTACCCACTTCGGCAGGTAGTTCTACACACAAAAAAAGATAAATAAAATTTATGAAATCTATGTAATGAAATTACCATTTGGGCCATACAGTTCTAGATGTTTTCTGACAGTTTCTTCTGAAAGACCATTTTGTTCGTCAACATTATAAAGAGTAAATATATCTTCCTTAGTTTTTGCCCATGGAGAATCAATTACTATTTTTGACATAGATAATCGATTTATCTCACTTGTTCTATAGAGAAAAATCTAAATCGATAATTTATATAGTATTAATAATTTGTAATTTTATGTAACGCCTTTTTCTATTAGATGTAAGTCACAAAGTGCGTCTATTATTATTCATATCCACGTGGAATGCTATATAATAGACACGCGTCTTGTCAACAATCGAAGAAAATGATAAGTACAGATATGTCTCCAATCGTTGGTGATGAGAGGTCAAAAACGACAAAATAATTAATCTTTTGTGAGTAATATTACCATAATTGACTATTAGTAAATTGTTTATATTCATCAAAATGAATGATAGAGGGCGCTCGAATACATTTTTAACAAATGACTCAATAAGTTCTCAACCTCATGCAAAGTTCATAATTCCATTCATTGTGAAAAGATTCATTTAGCTATGGATTAAGCATTACGTCATAACTATAAATTATCATATTTTGTAACGACATATGAAAAAACAAGATATTTCTTGATTTATTTTATTTTTCGTATCATAAAAAAATAACAATAAAGAACCTGACTAAATTTCAAAAATATACATTTATAGTATTAAAATAGAATATAATCAATGAGCACCAAAGGATGCAATATTGCAGACATCAATTTTCGATAAACCACTACAAAAAAAAACATAAAATATATAATTAAAAATAATCAGTTAATTATATAATATACTTGTTTGTTTTCGAAACACGATAGCATTTATCTGCATATGCTGATTTACCAAGTGAATCAACGAAATCTTCATCATGTGTAATAATAATTAATTGAAAATTTTTTAAACTTGCTCGATTTTTAACAATTCTAAAATATTAATAAATATATTCTCTAACGAATTAAATATTTCTTTTTTTTCCATAATTATAGTTCTCTTTTTTCATACCGATTATACAATTTTAGGGATGAGTCAAATGTCAGAATCATGATAAATAACACAATCCAAGTCATAAAGGTTAAATTAAAAGGATTTAGTATTCTAATCATCACAAAATGTCCTAGGTAATAAATAGTAACCTACTCAATTAATGCTTGAGCTAATCCATCGATATTTTCAAAATCCAGATTAGTAGTTGGTTCATCTAAAGCTAAAATACCACAATTAAGACAAAATGCTTCAGCTAATGCAAGTCGAATAATAAGTGAAGCAAGAACTTTTTGACCAGCACTACACCGATTTCTCATATCCATAACAGAACCAGATTTAAGCATAACAACACGATAATTATATGTTCGACGAGTTTTCGATGCATTTTCTTCATCAGCATCTGAACGAATTTCAATTGCATCAATATCTGAACCACGATACGTTGTTCTCCAAAGATCACGAATAATTTTATTTAATTGATTCATTTTTTGTGTATGATATGTCATCATTGTTTGATCTAAAACTTTATAGAAACGTTCAAGATCTTGTGATGCAATTTCTTCAACAGTTTGTTGAACAAAATGTTGTAAATAACGTTCATGTGCATTTTTTAAATGTTCTTGTTCAAGTTCTTGTTCTAATTCAATTAATTGTTGATCTAATGTTGCTAAACGTGCTGATGCAGTATGTTTTTCTTTAAATAATAGTTCTTGTGTTGAACGTAATTGTTTTTCTTCACGTGTAAGTGAATCTAATCTGTAATAAAAGATTAATTCTAATAAAAACAAAAACAAAGAATAATAAATTTACTTTAATCCATGAGTTTGTTCTTCAAGTTCAATAAGATCTTTTTCTTTTTGTACAAGCTCAATTTGACTTCGAAGTAATTGACGATTATCATTTAATTGTCGATAACGAATATCAGTTCGTGCTAAATCATCTTTATGATTTGCTATTATTGTTATACATGATGATAAATCTGATTGTAATTGTTTTTCTTTTATATTTATTTGTTCGAAAGATGAACGAAGTTCTTCCAATAATTTCGATGTACGATCTTCATAGCTATAAAATAAAAACAAACTTGACTACTCATGAATAAGAATTATTCAGATTCAAATACACTTCTCTTAGTAAAATAAAATATTTACAGTCTCATTTGTAGAATATTGAAATTAGATAGAGTCAAGTAATACTATTCGAAATGCTTAGAGTTAATAAAGATAGCCGAAGTAATGTAGTGTTAATTGAATAAATCAAAACTAGTCTAAGTAATTATAGATGATTTTGAATATCTTTTATAGCCTGGAGTCAGCTGTTTTCGTATCGGATGATTTTTATAATTATTTCCATTAGCTTGGAATATTCTTTAGTCAGACAAAAAATTTCGATTTTAAAGAATTTATAAACATACTTATTAATTGCCGTTGATAATGTTTTCAAATCATTTAGTTTTTGTTCTAAGATATTGACCTAGAGAATAAAATAACCTTCAAAAAAATCCTAAAAAATATGATTACGAACAGATTCATTAAGTGAAGTTAATGTTTTTTCTTTTTCTGAAGATAATCGAGTTTTTTCCTTGGTTTTCATTTCAATATCATTCTAAATTAGAAATTTTTATTTAGAAAAAGAACACATTTTTTATTCTTAGTGAAACTTACAATAATTGGTTCTAATGATTGTTTATCATTTTCAATTTCATCTTTAAGTGTTTGAATAGAATTTGTTAATTTTTGTAATTGTTCATCAAGTCTTTCTTTTTTTTGTATATCAGAACTTAATTTTAATTTTTCATTTTTAAGTTCAGTTAATGATTCACGTAATTCTTGGACGAGATCTTGTTGAGAACGAAGTTCTTTATGTTTACGTTGTAGTTCTTTATCGAGTAAATCAAATTGACTTTGTACTTCATCTTTAATTTGTTTGACTTGATCAAGTGAACGTGAAGCCGATTTTTGACCTTTACCTAGAAGTCTTAGCCGTTAGTAAAAATAAACAAATCTCTCTTATTATGCTTATTTCAGTCATACTGAACGGATACAAATGATTTTATGTTGATAAAATATTTTTTCTGTCGAAACGAAATTATTAAATACATTTATAACTATGAAAAACTAGTTCTCTTACAATCGCAAACAGTGATATTCGCACAAATCAAACAATGAATTTATACATGTTGAGACATCTTAAGAATGTTTGCAGTTTTCTACTATCGGAGTTTTAAAAAAGGGCACCCAGGCAAAACAGTGGCGGATCTAGGATTTTGAAAGGGAGGGGTCATACTTCAGCAGGAGGGCGATTTCGGCTGATAACTATTTTTTCGTTCATTTTTGCTGTAAAAATCAAAGAATGTTTTTGAAGGAGGCGACCGCCCCCATCGCTCCTCCTCCTAAATCCACCACTGAGGTAAAATTCTTATAATCTTTTAACCAAAATAGGTTTACCCAAATTTCGCTTATGGCAAAAGCCTGTTATATATACTGTCGAGGGTTCAGTGGACATTCCCTAATTGACGAAATTCGTAAACCTTTTTGAAGCTATGTATGTATTCATTATTGAAAAGTTTGACTGTAATGTATATCCTAGGTCAAAAATAAGGAAAAGTTCAGTGTGCTCCAAATTTGGAGTTTATGAAAGTCTAAGTTTTCGCGAAAACTCTACTTGAAAACTGTAATCATCTGTTTTTAATTGCTCTAATAGATACTTTGAACTGTACGAAGTCGACTGGTGATCAGTGATGTATCTAGAGGGAGGGCAGTAATGGTAGCGCCCTCCCGGAAACCGATTTTGTCCTCCAGAAAATTGCAATTTTTGTGCTTATACTGTGTATTTTTCCTTCGAAAATTAGATTTTCGCCCTCCCGGAAATCGCTATCGCACTCTCGAAAGGAAAAATCTAGATAAAACACTGCTCATGATGCTAAAGAAGAAAAGGCCACAGTTACAAGCTACAATTTGCCGAAAAACTTTGAAACTCATAAACTGCAAATTTGGAGCTCCCCTAACTTGACCAAAAACAGAAATTTCTTTACCAAGTTTTTGTTGACAAACATTAATTTTTGTTTCAAATTCTTTTCTTTCATTAATATATTTATTAAGCATAATTATATCAGTTTTAATTTGTTCACATTGTTCTAATGGTAAACATATTTCATCATTTAATTCTTGTTCAATACTTGTTTGTTTATTTTTTAATTGATTTATTTCTTTATCAAGTTGTTTCATTTGAGTTTTTGATGCTGGTATATCTTTTTCTTCAAGATCTTGTAATTGACTATGAATTGGTTTAAGATTAAGACATTTTTCAAATCTTTCTTGTAATAACGTTAAATCTCGATCAATTTTACGTCGATATTCTGGACCTTTAATTTGTAATTCTATATCACGAATTAATTGTTCACCTTCGGTTTGTTTTTCAAATTTTCGATAACATAATGGACAACATCTATAATATGGAAAAAAAAGAAATAGATAGTTTATCTTTATTATATATCTGATATTTACGGATCATTTTTTAATGTTGATCGAACTTGATTAACAAATTTTTGATAAGTTTTTTCCATTCCAACAATATTTCCTTTTTCATCTTGTTTTTGTTTAACATCACTAGATAATTTTTCTAAATATTCTTCATAGACCTGTCCATTAAGTTGTTCCTGTAAACGATCACTATATTCATTTCGTAATGAATCTTTACGTTTTAATTCATCCGATAATAAACGTCGTTTTTCTTCTTTACCAGATAATTCTTGACGAATATCTTGAACTTGTTTTTCTAAACTCATACGAGTTTGTTGTAATTTACGATGTTCTATTTCAAATTGAGTGTAAATATTTGAATCTTGTTCAGGTATAGAACCATGAAAAATCGTCGTAAGAATTTCATGATGACGAAGTTTACTAAGAAAAAATAAAATTTCAAAGGGTCAAAAAAAAATTAAATATTTACATTTTTCTAATTTGTTCATCACGTTCCGATTTCTCTTTCTTAAACATTTCATATTCTGTATTAATTTTTGCATTAACAAGTAAATTATCAATTTCATCATTTAAATCTTTAAGTTCAAATTGTAATTGTACACGTTTTTGTTCATCTGTACTAATATCAAGTTTTAATTGTTCAAGATTAATACCATTAGTTAATTTTTGTTGATATTCATCTTCTTTACGTTCAATACGTTTATTAAGATCATTTAATTGTTTTAAATATTGTTCAATTTGTTTTTGTTGTTGTTTTATATCTTGAATTTCTTTTAAAGTTTTTTCAACTTGTGAACTTTTTAATTTTATTGTCGATTCAGTTTTAATACGTTGTTCTCGAAATTTATCGAAATCTTTTTGAATATTTGTTTCTTGTTGTTGATAAAATAAACGTTTTTCCATTAATTGTTTTTGTTCAGTTTTTATCTGTTTATCTAAATAATTTATTAAATCATTTTTATCAATTATTTGTGATGATTGTTGATTATATTCATTAAGAAATTGTAGACGACGTATTAGATTTGATTTATATTGTTTTTCTTCGAATTCATATGCTCCTAAACGAGTTGTATCGGATGTTCGTTTATCAGTAAGTTTTTTCATTTGACGTTCAGTGGCTAGCTTTTTAGCTTCCAACTAAAAATGAAATAAATTTAAAAGTTTCTAAATAGAAAGAATGTGTTCGATATTACAAATATTCTCTCTTATAGAATGGTTTGAAATAAGGTTAGAAATCATACTAGGTCAGTAGGGGAGAAAGACAAAACGTACTAAGTATCCCGAACACCTAGTAATTTGTCCAGGTGTTCAGATTCGACTTTTTTTTTAACATTCTTACCGGGAGTCCGTAAAACATGTTGGTTAGAGGGACCATAGCTTAAAAAATACAGGTAAATCGGAACGAAATGCTCAACAGTATGTAAAATATTTTCAGGAAATCGGGTGATGGTATGGCTGTGGATGTGTACTATGAGAAAAGAATGACTTATACAGTCACACCCACACTGACTCTAACACTTTGCTTGTTTTAAATCTTTTTCATTCCGAAGATTTTGTATATTTTTATATGTCGGGAAGTCGTGACGAACATCTTCTCAGGGAAACCGTAAAAAAAACTTGGCGCGTTATGTCTCTTTCCCGTCAGTAGTCTAGAAGAAGTTTTTTTCAAGGTATCGACAACATAAAATTTAAATAGTTCATGATTATCAATATAAAATAATCATGATCGAACTGTAATAAACCCACTTTGAAAAATTTCTCGAGAACATCTAAGTAGTACTTGACAGAAGAGACAAACTAGATCAAAACATTTCTCGTATTAATTACTTAAAACTATTCTTGTCAAAATTGTAATTTTTTTATTTACTATCAACTTTTCGTTTATGTTAATAATTATACTGCAAAGATATGTGTCAAAATTATTCAATCTTTATGTTATAGTAAAAATAAAACAATTTCTTACATCTTGAAGTTCACGTTTCTTTTTATCTTGATCACGTTGAAAATTTGAAATTAATAATTTAAGTTCATCTTCTGATCCTTGAAATGGTTCATCAATAACTGCATTTAATTCACGAATTTGTTTTTTTAATGCTTCACATTCATTTGTTAGACGATCTAAGAAATAAGAATAATATTAAAATTGAAATATTCTAGTTAAATAATATTACCTACACGTCGTTGAAAATCAATCATTTTCGAATTTTCTTTAACAATAAATTCCAAACGAGACTTTATAAAAGAAAATACACAATCAATATATAAGTTACTAGAAATTCTTCAAGTGTTTCAAAATATCAGTACTGTAATTATCAACAACCGTTTATATTTCACTGCGAACTCAGTAGTCTTTTCATATTATGCTATCTAGAGATCTGACTGAACTGATGTAAGACTTTTAACATTTCCGTTGAATTTATCTTAAGATTTATTTTTACTTACATCAATGGGTTCAAGTTTAAGTTTAATACTATCTACATTAGCTTTTGATGTTTGTCGACGTTCATCGATTTCTGCATGTTGTCTTCTTTTCTAAACAAATGAATATTTTTCTTTAAAAAAAACCTAAAGATGTTTGACATACTTGATTTAACATATCACGATATGTTTTTAAATGTCCAATTTCTGCTCGACTAATTTTAACAGTTTGTAACTATATTAAAGTTTTATATAAATAGAAATCTTATTTGAAAAAAAATAAATGCAACAAACTTTTTCTGTTCGAATTTTTCGAATTAATTCAAGTGCTTTCATATATTTTGTTGCAGCAAATATATCATCAAATTTATTTTTTAATTGTTTTCCTTCACTCAATGGCCTAAACAATCATTTTTATATATACATATATTCAAATAAAATCTTTCTATCTAACCAATTTGATTCTTCTTGATGACAAAAAATAACATTTTCAAGAATAGCTGTTGAAACACCAAATGCTGTTACCATTTCTTTATCAAGTTCAATACATTTTGATGTTATTTGTATAGGTTCACCATTGATACCTTCACGAATAATAACACCTTCAAGTGTTCTCAGACTTATACTTGTTTTCTATACAAACGAAAAAAATATAAAAATTCGAAATAGATCAATTTTTCTTGTACTTTTTGTGTAGCAACAAGTGTACGTTGAACTTGAACATTATGTCCTGTAACATCTTGGAATAAAAGTCGAATTTGTCCACGTACTTCAGTATCATGTGCTACTTTTGGATCATGTACAAATGCTCCACCTGTCTTAGCACCTGGTGGCATAATACCTGTTGCCATATATTTTAAACATTCAATGATTGTTGTTTTACCCGATCCATTTGGACCAACAATAACAGTTAATGGTGAAAAAAATGTTATAACTTGTGTATCTTGATCTCGATTTCCAAAGCTACGAATGCCTTGAACGGACATTTTATGTAAACGAGACATGATTATAATCTATCTATAAAAAATGACTTTTATTTTTCGAAGTAAAGTTAAATTAAATTGATGTAATTGCACAACAGATCCAATAGAAATTAATTTGTTATGAAATTTTCTTACAAATAAACATGATTTTGTTATATATCAAAGTTGTTCATCACATATCTATTATGTCTATTTTAATTTTTATTAGATGAAAATCGATAATATGAGGTCGCTAATTAATGGCATATTTGCTCGACCAATCAGAGATGATACAAAATTTTTCACTACTCTTTTTTTTTTATCGAAAAAAAACGAAGTCTTTTTAATAAATCAAATAAGAATATCTGATTGAATTATATAAACTGTTCCGCTGTAATAGAAAAATATGAAGTATGAAGAGGATTGTGAATAGTTAAATAATATTAGTCAATGTCATCTTAAAGAATATACAAGTGCTTCGGGGAAGCAAAGAATATATAAGAAATGAATATTACATTAGTTGGTTAATTATGATATAATTAAATTATAGTAAATGAATTACTTCTCTCTATGATATGCTGCAGATTGAGAGAAATAAGCAGAATGTTTTAGAAAATAAATCAAGTTAATCATTCGACAAGTATTCGAACTGAAATAGATAACGATACAACATTATTTTAACTTCGATTTTTTAAGTTTGATACAATGATAGTATTTTAAGGGATACTTCGTTTTGTTCGATAAGGAAATATATGAGAAGAGGCACATTCTCTCGATATAATAAATTGTATCGATCTATTACAGACATAGCTTCATATGCCTTCATACATTCTTTGTTATCGATATCTGGTTTTCTCTGTTCACATTCTTTGCTCCGTTTTTCTTTTTCTTTTTTATGTTTTTTGTTATTCATTCGAATGAGATAAAATGGAGAGACGAGTCGAAAGAACAGAAAGGACTATAATACATACAAAATATATTCCTTTTATTTTTATTAAGAATGACTTATACAAAAGATTTTATAAAACCTTTCTAGATATATATATATTACCATCGAAATCTAGTCATTATGGGTTGGCAATTATCCGATTTAACTAGTGCAGTATATGATTCAAAACGTCGAGAATTTTTAGGTAGAGATGGAGCTAAATGGCGTAAGTTAGAATTGATAATTTAAAGAGTATTTTCATTATGTATTGATTTTTTTTATAGTAAAATTAAGTACTTTTTATTGCTTTTACTACATTGGTTCGGTGGGATTTTTTTGTACCATGGTGGCTATACTAATGGGAATAACACCGCATGATCGTCCACGTTATTCAGGAGAATCATCAAGTATGGAAACTCGTTCGAATCCACTTTCACCCGGTTTGTATTTTAAAAAAAACGAATTTTTGAATAAATTAATTATAAATTTAATTTTTAGGTCTTGGATTTCGACCACAACCAACTACAAAAAATGATAGTAGTCTTGTTTTTGTTAATACTAATGATTATGAATCGGATCCTTATATTCAAAATCTTGATCAATACCTTAGAATTTGTATGTACTAAATCGATTATTTGACATAATTGATTCTCTTCTTTTTATTAAATATTAATAACATAAACTAGTGACGTTTCGTATCTTGATAAGATACTTCGTCAGGCATAAATATTAAACGAAAATCAACGTACAATAAACAGAACAATGATAGAAAACACTAATAAATTAGGCTGTTTTTAGTCAATTTTGATAGTGATGCGGAAAAAGGATGATATCCTTACCCAGACACCTGTTTATTGTACGTTCATTTTCGTTTAATATTTATGTCTGATGAAGTATCTTATCAAGATACGAAACGTCACTAGTTTATGTTATTAATATTTAATAAAAAGAAGAGAATTAATTATGTCAAATATTAATTTAACTTTCTTTACAAGACAAGAATAAATCGATTATTTACCAAAATGAATTATTTTTCTTTATTAGATTATTGGAATAATAATCATTCTGCGGAAGTAAATAAATTTACAATTGATAATCCAGGTAGTTGTACGCCTAATAATCATTATGGATTTTCTAATGGAACACCATGTATACTCGTTAAAATGAATAAAGTAAAACGAAATAGAAATTAATTAATTAAAATTATATTTCTATATTAGATTGTTGATTTTGAACCACGTCCAGGCCATAAATTAGAAGATAAGGATGCATATAAAGCTGCTGGATGTCAACCAGGTCCTAACGCTATTGCTGTTCACTGCTATGGAGAAGTAATAAATAAATTTATTTGTAAAATACACATTGAAAGGAGTAGAATTGAAAGCTGTATTGTATTACCTATGCAAAAAATTTGACCCATAAAAGTGGCTATTAACTACTTTCAATAGTTGTTTTTTGACAGAGAATAGTACTTATAAGTAAACCTCTTTAAGTATTTTTCATACTTTTTGGCTAAAAAGTACTTTAGGAAGTCCAAAAAAGTAATAAACCATACTTTGAAGCTAGTAAAAGTACGATTAAATACTTTGGTAGGTGGGAAAAGTATTCTAAAGTACTATGCAAATTGAAAAAGAGTAAAAAAAGTCGCTTAATTAACATGAAAAATTAATTATAAGTGAACTTTGCTCACTTTTTTTTTACATGGGCAAGAACTTTCATGAGTTTATAAGTGAACTGACCCCCTCTCTTAAGTATTTCCATAACATACATTAAGGCGATAACTGAAAGATATCAACTTTAGAGCCATCTATAAGGTATTGTTCGTTTCCAAATAGAAAGAAGTGTCATCGAAACGCACAAGAAAGATAACTTAATAGGTTTCTGTGAGTTTTCTGGTAATGAAAATGAGTATCTTTAAATTTTCTGAACAATTCTTTTTTGACAACAACAAAATTCACTTTCTGATAATTATGAAACCAATACTTGGAAAAATACGTATCATACCTATACATATGATTAATAACTTATCTCTATTTAGTATCCAATCGACGTTGACAATATTGGTGGTAATATAACATATATATCAGAAAAGAATCGCGATCATAAATGTGGTTCGCTTGAAACAAAATGGTTTCCTTATACGTACGAAAATTCGTTTTTCTAATTATATTGTATATAAAAAATATCTTTTAGAGGTAAGCAACAACGTCGGAATGTATATCAAGCACCATATGTATGGGTTCAATTTAATAATCCTAAACCAAATGTATTAATCAATGTGATTTGTCGAGTATATGCCGAGAATATTATTTTTGATAAAAAAAAAGGACAAGGTTCAACACGTTTTCAAATCTATGTCAAAGATTTACCACGTCATAAATTATCAAAACAAAATCAAAAGATATAAAATTTTCTTTTGTTTACGTATAAATAAAAATAATCTCAATTGATATATGTATAATTATTTTTTATTATATGTAATAATTAATAAATAAAACTTATTTTGATAATTTTAATCGATCTGATAAATATCTAAACTATTAATTGTTCTTAATATTAGATAATGTCCATCGATTGTAATAGCTAAATTACGTAATTCTTTTTTATATTTAATATAATTACATTGATTATCAATAAAAGTTAATTCATTATCAAAATATTTACTAAGTAACCATCCATTTTTTGAAGTTTGTCGATTTCGTACTGATGTGATTGTCCAATAAAGATCATCGGCACCACTAAAATAAATCACTCGTATTGGAGACATCGTATATGTTGAAATAAGAATAAGTCGACGTCGTCGTTGAATACCAACAGTTATATTCTGATTTCTTTCAGCTATTAATAAAGCTAAACATTGTCCATTTTGATTATTTTCAATAGCACATATTGTATCCGTTCGATATAAACCTAATTTATCTAAAGAAATCGATTTCCTATATTCCCATTCTGAAAGATCATAATGAACAAGTATTTGTTTTTTGTTTAGATTCAATAAACATACAAGCCATAAATCTATTTGATGACAGGTAAAAAATTGTAGCTGTTCATGAGATTTAAATGTTTTTTTTATTTGTAATAATTCATATGTAGAGAAATTAAAAAGTGAAAAATATCGTGCAGTCATTATCAAATACGAACAATAATATGATGACCAACGAATTTGTTTAATAGAATCATAAATATTTGTATTCCAAGGTATTCGATATAGTTGACCATTAATATTATATAAAGTTAAATATTGTCCGCCATAGACAAGAAATGAATATTCACCAGCTCCTAATGGTGTATCATTTTCACATTCAAATGAATTAATTAAAGATTTATCATTAAGTAAATTCAAGAATGATTTAGATATATCTCCAGTCATTGGCGAATTCAAATATGTATTTGCAAAATTACTCGATTTAATAAAATGTAATACTGATGAATTATTTTTAATCATAATGAAAAAAACAAAAATCGCACAAGTTTAGTAAATTAAAACGCGCTACGATTAGTATTATAATAATTGTATGATTTGAAACTCGAGTGTATTAGGCAACAAAATCCTCTTCTCTTAATTAGTAAATTATAGATGTATTTTTTTATTCGTTGATAAATTAAACCTTGAAATAAATTCTTTATTGAAAAATATTTTCTAAAATGATGTCATACTATGTAATAAACTAAATTCATACATAAAAATAATAGATACTACGGGAAATTCTATGTATGGGGTTATAATAAAATATCATTCAATTTTCGACTAGTGAGCGATAATGTTTGGATAGATATAATTTGATAATTTTATTTCTTTGCTTTTCCTTGATTAGCAACTTGATCAATAGCTTGTTGAACAACATCATCAGGTGCAACATAATAATGTTTAATTGGATTTAAATTTTCATCAAGTTCATAAACAAGAGGAATACCTTAATATTAAAAAAACATGATTAATATTTTTACGTGAGACGATTTATATACCTGTTGGTAAATTAAGTTCAACTATTTCTTGATCAGGTACATTATCAAGATATTTAATTAATGCTCGTAATGAATTACCATGTGCAGCAATAAGTACTTTTTGACCTGAACGAATTGCTGGTACAATAGCATCATGCCAATATGGTAATGCACGTTCAACAGTATCTTTTAAACATTCAGTTAATGGTAATACACGTCGATCTAAATTCTAAAGAACAAAAAGCTATTATTGAAATGAATAATGGCTAAATCTAATTATTATAGAAAGGCTTGTTTTTAGAACTACAAGTTGTCATAGATGTTTCCTAAGAGTATTACCTTGTATTTGCTATCATTTCTTGGATTATATTCGCTTGATTCTTCAAGTTGTGGTGGTGGAATATCATAAGCACGTCGCCATACCTATATAAATAATATTATTATTGAATAAAAACTTTTCATATTACTAACTTTAACTTGATCTTCACCATATTTAGCTGCTGTTTCTGATTTATTTTTTCCTTGTAAAGCGCCATACATACGTTCATTAAGACGCCAATGACGATGAACAGGGATCCAATGAAGATCTAATTCTTGTTGAATACTATAAAGAGTTTTAACTGCTCGTTTTAATACTGATGTAAAAGCTACATCAAATGTATAACCATTTTCTTTAAGCCACTAAAATTCAAATAATCGATAATTTAGCTTTTAATAGAAAAAAAGAACGAACTTGGCCAGCTTGTTTAGCTTCTTGACAACCTTTTTCTGATAAATCAGCATCATACCAACCACAAAATAAATTCTTTTGATTCCATTCACTATAGAATTAAATATAGAAATATATCTTGAAAATTTCGTTTTCTTTTTCTCTACCTTTCACCATGACGAACTAAAAGAAAGAGAAAATTTTATAATTAAAATAATAGAGAGAAAAATAATCCTACCCAAAACTAATTTGTGTACAGCCATGATCGAAGTGTTTCGATAAAAATTAGAAAATGATTGAACACGCGTGGCGCGAGATCAAAGTACCCGAAAAAGAAAAATGCAAGAAAAGAAAAAAACACAACTAAAAAACAATATGACGACCTCTACTGGAATAATATTGGCTAATGTATTAACAAATACAAACAAAGAGATCTTTCTTTCTTTACGGCGGTTTTCATATTATATCGATAATCTATTGCACTTGAAATGAACTGGTTACATAAACTCTCGTCATATGAAAATGATGAGAAATTGAAAAGAATATATAAATCGTTTTTGAATTTCTTCTCAAATGAATTCACAGTATTTCACTCTATTCTATGAAGAACTTTGTAGTAAATATGTCAGTTTCCTGTCTTAAGTGCTTTTCTATGATGACAATCAGTGATCTTAGAATGTTCATTTGACCTCTCCTGTCTGTCCTTAAATTTAGTTATAGATGAGATATTTGATTAAACCATCTACATGAGATTGATAGCATTAGAAGTTATTTAAAGTATTATTATTTCAGATTAGTATTTTTTTATCATATTGACAATGCCAGTTGGCCTGCGATCACGTTCATTGAAAATAAAAGTATGTTTTTTCTATTATGAATTGATTATTTCATTCCTATACTTGTTCAGACCGAACCTGAGGAGATCTCTTCACCACCTCGAATAAAACGTCGAGCACAAACGAAAGTAAGAAAATCAATGTTGTCTTCCAACAACACAATTTACTGATTTTATTTTTTTTCTAGGTAGAACTTCCTGAACAAGATGAAAATAAAGAAGAACCCGTACGTAATGTTGAGGAAATTCGTCGAAAAAATCTTGAGGATAACAAAGCATTTTTAGAAGGTTTATTAATGACAAAAGTAAAATTATTTTCTTTTCTTGTTTAAAAATGTAATTTTTTTTTTCTCCTAATGTTAGATTCGTGATGATTTCAAAACTTTAACAAGTGCATTACAAACAACAATTAAAAAAGAAGCAAAAAAAAATGGTTATAAATAGTATGTTCATATCTAACGAATAATTTTATATTTTGAAACTTCTGTATCGTCATTTTAGTGTTACTGTTTCGGAAAATGTTCCTGTTAGACGATCACGTCGTCTTGCACATATGGATATTAATGGAAATAAACTTCCATCACCCGAAGAAAGTGATAATGAAATGGATACTACTACTCAAGTAAATAAATATTATTTTAATTTTTGTAAGTAAAATTTTCATTTTTGAATAGAATGAAATTGTTGCTCCTACATATCAACGAAAAATACAAAAACGAATAATAGAAATTTCTCCAGAAGAACAAAAAGAACTCAACGAAAAGATTAAAATGTATTTTGGAGATAATAATCAAAATATCGAATCGAAAAAGTAATATAAATCTTTTTTTTCCAAAAAATTCTATTATAAATTCATTAGATCAACTTTTAATTTTTCTGATATGGAAATCCTTGATCAAAATTTTCTTAAATTAACACCTGATCGTCTTATATCCATGGATATTCATTCTCGTTCAGATATTCTAGCTATTGCTGGTTGCGATCGAAAGGGTACAATTGGTCTTGTTGTTAAAGTAAACGAAATTTTACGGAATCAAATTAAAAGATTCATAAAATTTTCTTTTAGCCAACCGATAATTTAAATGGTGCATGGTGTAAAATTAATTATAGTTTTCATAAAGAATACGCTACATGTTGCCGTTTTGATAAACTTAATTCAAATTGTATCAATTCAACATCTTTTGATTCAACATTTCGCACATGTGATATAACAAAAAATGTTTCCACTGAAGTATATATATACGATTTATTTCTTAACTATAAATGAATTAGTAGCGTTAGCTTATACGCCAATCTCATAGGATTTTTTTTGATATTAGACGTCTAGAATTCGTTCTATCCTAGTTGACTTGATTCAGTTCTATGTATTAGATTAACATAACATCTGACGTCAGAATCTAAACCAAAAGATTTTACTATTATTCATTGACATAAATATTTAGATATTTAAAGATTCTCAACAAAATGGATTAACAGCGTTTGATTATTATTCATTACAAACATTTTTGCTTTCTCGAGCCAATGGTGATGTATTATTAGTTGATACACGAGCAAAGTAAACATTTTATTTTTCAATTTCATATTTATAATGGACTAATTTTTGATTTAGCCCAGTGTCAATGGAATCTTTTGATGTGACAAAAAAACGTATTCGTACTCTTGATATTAATCCGATGCAAAGAGAAGAATTTTGTATTGCTGGAACTGATAAGTATGTTTTAATGTGGATAACTCGTTAAATTTTATGAAGATTCTGGTTTTTTTCTTAGTTGTGTCAAAATCTGGGATTTAAGAAGGATGACAACGATGAAATATTGCTTAGAAACTGGTCATTCATGTTATGGAGCTTATTATAGTCAATCGGGTAGTCATATTATGGCTACAACTCGAGATGATAAGGTTATATCATTTTCGAGCAATGATATACAAAATTCAATTGATCCACTTAATATTCGACCAACAACAAAGATTTATCATCGAAATTATGTTAATCGTTTTGTAACACCATTTATGGCTGAATCTTATTCTATGTTTGATTCTTACTTTCTTATTGGTTCAAATGATCATCCTCGAGAAGTAAATTGTTCATAATGTTTTTTCTTTTCCTAAAATCTATTTCTATTTATAAATTTAGATAACTGTTATTGATGAAAATTGTAAAAAAATATGTTCATTACGTAGTGAAAATTTAAATTCATTAGCTACAGTTAATGTTGGTCATCAAACACTTCCAATAATTGTTGGTGGAAATTCAAGTGGACGTATTCATGTCTTTACAGGTCAAATTTAGTTAATGAAATCTACATTTATTTTTTTTTGTGAAAATTAGACGACTCTTGATTGTAAATTAAATAAAAATTATGTTTATGAATTAAGATATTATTAATGATATTCATCAATAGATCTATGTAGAATTTATTTTAAAATATTGAGATATTTATCTGATCTATTTTGACTAATAGAATCATTAATAACAGCGAATAACACCTTCTTGAGTGCATGTTACAACAAGTCGTCCATCTCGTGTCCATATTTTTCCGAAAGTTAAAGCACGATTATTCATTGCAATCGGACATTCTAATTCATAGAGTAACCAATCATCAGCACGTACTGGTAATTTCGATGGAATCGATGGTATATCAGCATGACGACGAATTGGTTTTGGAGGATCATCTTCTGTTGATGAATCAATTTGAGAAGTCGTATCAAAACTAAAATCATCATGAAACCACATTGTATGATCAAGTGATGCTTGCATGTGGATACGTGGACTAAATACATTGAGAGCATACGGAAGAAGAGCACTAGTTAGTAAGACTCGATCACTACAATAAGCTACAGCAGATCGATGTAAATATGAATCATTCGGTAATGGATCTATTGTTTTTATCCAAATAAGTTGTCGTGCTGGCCATTTAGGTGTAGGTCGAAGTAAATCACGTGGATGACAATGTCGAATATCAATACGTGCAGGCATGTCGAGTCCGAGTTCAACAAAAGATCGAAGTTCAGGTTTAAGACGTTCGTCATTTAGAAGATTTTTAAAACGATGTCTTGTTGATTGAAGTTGTTCAGGTGGAACAACATCTAAAGAAAGATAAACGATCATTTTTCGATTTAATTATATTCATGAAAAGTTACCATCTTTCGGCATGATTGGTTGATGTGCCATGTTTCCTTGTTCTTTTTTGTGAAAGCTAATTGCACATTCAAAAATTATTTTATTATCTTGTCGAGCTGTAACACTTCGTGTTTCAAATGATTTACCATCACGTAATCGTTTAATTGTATATATAATTGGTGAAGAATTATCAGCTGCTGCAAGAAAATATGAATGAAGACTATGCAATGGATAATCTTTTGTTAATGTTAGGTGAGCAGCATACATAGCTGAACCAATAATTTGACCACCAAATACACTTGTACGATAAGGATATACGAATAAACTTTCTGCAGGTTGTGTAAAAACATCAGGTGCAGTTTGATGGACTTTTAATGATTCATAAAGAGTTGGTCTTTCTGATGATAAACATCGATAGATAATAGTATTCAATAATGAATATCGCTTTAAAAGCATTGTAAAATTTTTGCTTCGATCAATGCTGTTTTATTTTCTTTCCATTGGATGTATGATGAATCAGAAAACATTGTTTGTTTTTCTTCTGCAGATCTTTTTTCTGCTACGGGAAGAACAGACAAAAAATTCATTGGTTGCCAATAATGCAAAAAAAAATATTCCCTATAGTTTATATCGAACAAGAAAATAGAGTCATCTCGTCGAATTTTAGATTTAATTCGATTAGATTATCTTAGACTTTTGGTTTATGATGTATACCCATATAGACTGCTGAACTCCAACGTCCTTTTAATGTTATACCAGGTTGTGTTATACGTGAACACAAGGCTTTATCATTAAATGGTGTGTAATAAGGTATTGCACATTGTTGGACTTTTTTCGATGATAATAGACGTTTTCCGATAGTAAATGATGGTAATTGATAACGATTTGTCTTATCTGAATAATAAAAAGGTGGACTTGTGTGTACTGTTGATCTATCTCTATTCGATACAAAACGATGTTTTTGTGTGAAACCAGGTTGTGGTCGAGGTAGAACATCTTCATCATATTCATACATAGGATAAGCAGCTGGTCCTGGTGAAATTGATGAAAAATTCTGATCTAAAGGTTTTCGTGATACTGCTGGACCGTACAAAGGTCGAAGAAGAGGAGTTTGACGGTGAGAAATTAGATTTGATGAAGTATAAAAACGTCTAGAATAATTTGATTGATATTCATGTTTAATTCGACGTGGTGTAATAGAAATTGTAGGCATCCGTGTGTTGGATATGTACTGATCATTAGGATAATAGTGTGCTAATAGATAAGTTGAGATTGGTGGATTTGTTTCGTAACGACTACCGATAGTTTTACCTAAATAGATTGTATATGTTCAGTCTATTTGATAAAATATATAATCTTATAAACCTGGTCGTTCATAGAGAGATCGATCGGGAATATTATAATAACCTGGACCTGGTTTTTTAATATGATTCTCTTTTGGTTGAAATAACCGTGGTTTAATAACCCATGCTGGACCATGATAAAAAGTATCATTATGTACATTATAAAATGGTGGTGCTTTCACAATTTTTTTCTTATTAAATGTGCCATTTTGTTGTATCGATTGTACTTCTCTCTTTAACATATATTCAATACAACTATTTTTATTTCATCAAAAACAAGAATCAAATTATGTTGCTAAGCTAAAAAATGTTTTTTCTTAATTTTTAATTTTCATGTTTAACAAACAACAGAAGAAATCAACTGCAATCATCTTGAATCAAATCAGTTCTTGGAAAGTTCGTCCTATTTACGGTTTTGAAAAACAACTATTTCCAAATCTTCTAACATCTTTCAATGATAGTATTATACCTCTCAAATATAAACGAACAGTTAAGATTGATCCAGCACGATTTATCTATCCACGCGATGCAATGGGTAATATGCTTGTACCATTATCTAATCGAAATACTTTTATACCATTTTATTTACCTAAATATGATTCTATTAAAACTCGTTCACCAGTATGGACTATCAAAAATGTTCAGCATTCTAAAGCAATTATTCGTCATATTGGTCCAATGACATACGATAGTGTAAATGATAAATCACAATTATCATGTCAGACTGGTTGGACACAAATAGGGCGACGAGCATTAAATATCCACTCAGGATTTACAGTACCATTTTATGATACAAGAAAATATAAACAAGTTGGCGATTCATATTCCGTATGTTTTATTCTTATCTACATATTTTATATGTTCGATCTCTATTGAATAACAGCGTGCTGTAATTATTGGACAACGAAATAATATCAAACAGAAGAAATAATACAATAATGAACAGAATCAAGTTAATTCATAGATGGCGTTAGATATAAACTAAATTATTTTATTTTTACAATTAAATAAAAATAACTTAAATCAAGCTTATGAACTTATTGAATTATAAAATTTATTTTTAATATTTAAGTAAACTAATCTAAAATGTATATTATTTAATTTATGACTACAAATTATCAGATAGGTCATCCATATTATACCATAGATGGTATCCAAAATCAGTTTTAATCATTCATAAACAACTTGGTCAAGTTCTTAATACTATTTGTATAATATATTTTAGATTACGTCTCCATCGATTCAATCGGGCCGTCATGAAGTATATAATTAGAAAAATTCAATATTTCTTTTATCTATTTAATTTTTATTCATTTAGACTCGAAATCTGCAATTATAGTGGATATAAAATATATCCTGGTCATGGTAAACGTGCCGTCAAAACTGATGGCAAAGTATGTTATTATTATTAATTGACTTGTTCATATAATTAAAAGTTACATTTTATTTAGATACACATTTACTTGAGTTCCAAATGTCAACGAGCAGCTGATATGCGACGAAATCCTCGTCGTGTTACATGGACTGTTTATTATCGACGAAAACATCGAAAAGGTGCAGCTGAACAAGAAGTTAAAAAACGTACACGTCGTAATATTAAATTTCAACGTGCTATTACTGGTGTAACATGGAATGAAATTCTTGCTAAACGTAATCAACAACCAGAATTTCGTAAAGCTCAACGACAAGATGCTATCAAGTAGAAGACAATTATAACTATTTATTTTATAAGAAAAATATATGTATAATTTTTAGTGCTGCCAAACAAGCTAAAAAGGTTAAAGCTCAACAGAAAAAAGTTGCACAACCATCTGGTCTTAAAGTAATTTTTATTGTAAAGAAAAAAATAAAATTTTATATTTAATCATTCAATATTTAGTCTGCTAAACCAGCAAAAAAACCAGAAAAAATTCAAAAGAATGTACCAAAAGCTGGCCCAAAAAAAGGCACTCAACGTTAAAACAGATTATTGATTTGTTTACATTGCCGCTTCGTTTTTCATTTTTTTTGCTTTTATCCTAGCAAACGTTGTGTGCATTCTCATCTGTTTTTGTTTCGATTAACATTTAATAAGGTGAAATAAACAGAAACAAGAAGAATTATAATCGAATATTTTAAGATTTTAAACGCATAATGAAAGAAAAAAAACACATAAAATAGTCGATATTTCGATCGATTCTACTTATTTTAGATTGTTTGTTTTTTTTTTAATTTTTAATTATGGGAAATGAACAATCTGCAGGAAATGCTACCAGTACATCAGTATCTCCTAAAAGTAAAAAGAAACTATTGTCTTTCTTTCTTTTTTTATTGTAATGAAATCTATCATATTGTATAGCACCAGTCTATCATCCGAATATTACGGTAGTTAATTCTGGTCCGATTGCTGGAAGTGGTTCTGGTACAACAGCATCGAATACATCTATATCAGACGATACTGATTTAAATAAATTAGCAGCTATTCCAAAATTTTTACCAATTCTTCGATCTTCAATTAATCAACAGAATGATCCAGTACAAATTCCACATCTTGAAAATCGATCGGTAGGAATTTAATATTAGAAAACTTGAGGGTGTGGATGTGGGTGTTGTATCCTTCTCCTGTCAACACCCACACCCTTGAGCCACCCACGCTCACACCTACACCCTCACCTTCGTTCTTTTCTTTCACTCCTTGTATATATAAGAGTAAATCCTTTATTCGACTTACTTAGAACACTATGAATTTTAATTAAATTACAGCGTCGTCTATGTTTTAGAAACACTTCATTCGAAATTCTCTTAGTTAAGCATGAGGGACATTTTTTTCAAGGGGTTCTTTGAAAGTTTTGAGTCAAAACCCGCAGAACAACAAGATTTCTCGTTAAAAAAAATACAATTACAATGTTTTTATTTTAGCTTTTACAACTATCTATGCGTTTACAAACTCATTTTCGTTCTTGTGCTGAAGTTATTCAAACTGAACAAATACAATTGATAAGTCGAATGAAAGAAGTTGATACACGTTCAAATGCTGTTCAACAACGTATGATTGATAAACAAAAACGTTTTACTAATTATTGTGAACATTCAAAAAAACTGCGTGATGTGGCTACATCATTAAAACGACTTGATCAATCATTAACTACTTTAGCCGAACGAATGCGTGTAATTAATTTATGTTTACCATCTGATGATCAATTACCATCACTATCTTTTCGCAATCAATCATCTACTCCTTCTTCTTGATATATATATATATGAAACTTTTATTGTAATCTTTTCTTTTATCATTTTTGCATTCCGAAAAACAAAGAAACAAAGAAACAATTTTTTTTGTCAAATAATATATTGTAATTTATTATTTTAAGATGTTTGGTAGTCGTTCTCGACATACTCATTATCAACAACCGAATCGATCATATTATGGTATTATACTTCTACTCGCTGAATTAAGTCGTTCATCACATCTACCACCAATAACACTCGGTGTTATTATTATTAATGTATTAATCTATTTTGACATATTTCCATTATTTGGTTTATCAAGTAATTTACAAAATGTCTGTGTTAGCACACATGCTGTACTTGATCAAGGAGATTATATGCGTATTTTATTAGCACCATTATTTCATGGTGATGATATGCATTTGTACTATAATATGGCATCATTTTTATACAAAGGCCAACAACTTGAAACTCTATTTGGAAGTCCATATTTTGCAATTTTATTATCAATATTAACTGTATCATCAAGTTTAATGCTTGTTATACTTGGTCAATTAGCATCCAGTATATTTGATAATCCAGAATATTTATTTACATGTGCCGTTGGTTTTAGTGGAGTTATTTTTGCATTAAAAGTTATAACAACACATTACACGCCTACTTATGGTTCAAATTCATTTTTAGCTGGTTTTATTCCAATATCAACGAAATATGCTGTATGGGTTGAACTTATTGTTATTCAATTAATTACACCTAATGTGTCCTTTCTCGGTAAATTTCATGATTTTTTTTGTCTCTCAACTATTTTACATCAAACATGTCTCTTTTTTTTTGAAATTTAGGTCATTTAGCAGGAATTTTAATTGGTCTTTTGTATATATATGGTCCACTACGATACGTCTGCAATAATTTATATAATCTGATCTGTTAATATTTTGTTCATCAAGTGAATTATATATTCGGACAAAAAAAAATGGTTCTTTTGTTTTATTCGAAATGTCTTAATCCAGCGGAAATACCAGATAATCTTGATAATGTTTTCTTTTTATTATTATGCAACATATTTTTTGTAAATAAATATACTGGTGAACATAAATGTTTAGTTATGATAAAGTACTGCACATAGAATATCAATTAAGTTAAGTGAATTATAAAACTAATGCTAAATATGATAGAAATCACGAATGTTGCTTTGATTAGTAGCGACATCTGTTTGCTTTTTTACTCATACGATTTTAAAACAAATAAATTCTTCTGATGTATTAGAAATCGACAATAAAATGAATACATTTTTCTACTAATATCTCTATGATCTTATTTAATCCGATTAGTTTGATAGATTCTCTAAATTGAATAATAGCAATCACGATGATTGTATTGTTTCGTATATAGTTTTGTTTTATGAGTGATGATGAGTACAACGACGAATTGGATGACATATAAACGCGTTTGGTTGATATCTTATCGTGTTGATTAGCATAGAAAATATTTTATATAGATGCCATATGAAATAAATTAGATATTTCACGATGAGACATATCAAATGAAAAATATTTATAATGAAATTAATTATTATTTTCAAATACTGATGTAGTTGATACCAATTATTATTTGATTTTTTAATAGGAAAATAATCAATTTTACGTTTATTAAATTTATCTATTTGTATTTTATTATTATAATCATTACCTTTAGATGATACATATTTTGGAGCGAATCTATCATCAGTACATAAATCAAATACAAGTTTAATTTGTTCAGGATGACGAATACTTTTAAAATTTTTTATTCCTAAATGATGACATTGATTCATTACTGAACAAAATAAAAAAAAATTAAATGTTGAGAAAAAGAAATATCTATGGAAACATTAATATTTTAGATATAAATGACTAGTTAAGTAATACGTTTGAATAATGAATGGTTTAGTTACATTAATAACAGGTGGTGCAGCTGGTTTAGGTCTTGCTTGTGCTAAACGTTTTGCTCAGCAAGGTGCTCGTGTCATTATATGTGATTTACCATCATCAAAAGGTAATGAAATTGTCGAAAAATGGTCTTCAGTATTTGTATCATCTTCCAATTCAGAAATTAATGAACCAGAAGAAAAATTAATTGTAAAATTTTTATTAAAAATAATTTTTTTTATCTTTAGTATTTATTTCAGTTTCAATCAAATAAACAAAACTATAAATTTAATTCGGAAAAATCGAAGCCTGATTTTTTTCCTGCTGATGTAACTAATGAAAAGCAAGTACAAGAAATGTTCAATAAAATTAAAGAACAATATGGTCAACTTGATGTTCTATTGAATTGTGCTGGTATTGGTATAGCTCTTCGAACATATAATATAAATAAAGTAATGATATAAAAGTATAAATTAATAATATTTTTATATCTTATATTCAGCATTTAATGCATAGTCTTGATGAATTTAATCGCGTACTTAATGTGAATGTATGTGGTACATTTAATGTTATACGTTGGGCTTGTCATGTAATGTCGGATAATCAACTTAATTCTCAAGGACAACGTGGTGTTATTGTAAATATAGGATCTATTGCTGCTAGTGAAGGTCAAGTTGGACAAGTAGCATATGCTGGATCAAAAGGTGCTATTGCATCAATGACATTACCATTAGCAAGAGATCTATCAAGTATGGGTGTACGAGTTTGTACTATATCTCCTGGTGTTTTTCATACGCCAGTACTTGCTGCTTTACCAGAAAAAGTTCGAAAATTACTCGGTAATATGGTTCCATTTCCATCAAGACTTGGACGATCGGATGATTTTGCTCGTTTAGCACAAACTATTGTTGAAAATCCATATCTTAATGGTGAAGTTATTCGTTTAGATGGTGCAATTCGTATGCCAGCTTAACATAAACATCACTTTTATTGCTTATTCTAACATCTAATTCTTTTTTCATCTATTTTATGATAAATAGTGTAGTTTTTTTTATAAATTATAGGTAAATGATTTGCATCTCAAAGTATAATTTATGTTCACATAATTCTTTTAGTTTCAGATACGAAAATGATTCAGTTGATAGCCAAAACTAAATTCTCATATAAATCGCTTTTACCGTTCTTATTTAATCATACAACCACTCGATATTCAAGTCAATTATCAAAATCAAATGAACAAACAAGAATTTTTTCTTTATTTGCTCCAACTGTAGCTGAAGTTAATTTTGTTAGTTCATTTTCACATTGGAAATCAATTCAAATGGAAAAAGATCTTAATACAGGTATATTTCATATACCAACAACCTTAAAAATCCCTGATGGTGAACATGAATATAAATATTTCGTACGAAAAAATGCTAAACAAAAATATTGGACATCAGTTATTGATCCATATGTTGAAAAATATGATGCTAAACATCAACATGGTTTAATAACAATACGTAATGGAAAAAAATATACCGATACATACGAATGGAAATATGATCATATAAAATTACCTGAGAATGATCAATTAATTATCTATGAAATTTATGTTGCTGATTTTACTGAAAATGGACAATTTTCAGGTATTTTATCAAAATTAGATTATTTATCTGATCTTGGTATTAATGCAATTGAACTTATGCCTGTACAAGGTAAAAAATATAAGAATAAAAAGAGATTTTATTTTTATTTCTATAGATTATATGGGTAACGAACATAATTGGGGTTATAGTCCAACACATCATTTTGCTTTGAAAGCAACTTATGGGACAAAACATGATTTAAAAAACCTTGTTGACGAATGTCATAGACGTGGTATTCGTGTATTTCTTGATGGAGTTTTTAATCATTCAAGTTTAGTATGTCCACTAGTCCTTATCGATAAATACTATTGGGTAAAATGATTTATTTATTCTATTTGCTCATTAAGAAAATTATTCAGTATTATAGCGAAAAACATCATCCAGATGATCCTTATTATTGGGGACCGGAATTTAATTATGATTATTATGATGAGAAATTAAAATCAAAACCAGCTGTAAAATATGCTCAAGATATAGTTCGATATTGGATTGAAGAATTTCATTTAGATGGTATTCGTTTTGATGCTGGTAGATAAATTTAATTTTTAATTAGAAGATGATATTGTCATATTTGTTTTGTTTTTATAGCTAAACAAATGGATAATTATAATATTTTATATGAATTAGATCATGTAGGACGATCTAGCCGTCGAAATCAACCTTTTTTTACGCAAGCTGAACATGTCCCTGAAAAAGTCGATATTACTAAAGCAAATAAGGGTCCTGTTGATGCATGTTGGTCATCTACATTTCATGGAATTGTTTCTGACGTTTTAATTAATCAAAAGAAATTTGAATTAGATTCTCTTAAATATATTATAAGTGCAAAAAATCTTGTTAATTATTTAGCTTGTCATGATAATGAACGATTAATGTATTTAATTGGTCATTTAGGTAAAACTTTTGATAATGATGCTTTTCAACGAATACGTCTTGGTACAATTATTCTTATGACTTCCGTTAGTATTCCACTTATATGGCAAGGTGATGAATTTGGTCAAGCGTCTCAATTAGGTACTAATGATCCACATCGAAAAATCATTTCTATGGAATGGTCTCTATTAAAAAACGAACAAAATAAAAATTTATATAATATATTTAAACGTTTAATACAATTTCGACATACAATATTAAATAAAGAAAAATACAATAAAGTTAATTTCATTTATACAGATATTAATCAACGAATTTTAGCTTATACAAGATCGAATGATACAGATAATGAAGATATTCTTATTATTACAAATTTTTCTAATCAGATAAAAACTGACATTGAAATAAAACATATATTACATAATGGTCAATGGATTGATTGGTTAACGAATGATATTTTTACAGTAAATAACTCAATGCTCAAACTTGATCTCAAACCATTTGATGGTAAAATACTTCTTAGACAAAAATAAGTTTCTGATAAACTTTTGTACATTGAAATTATATCCATGTATGATGAATGATAACGTTTTTAATTACGAAATAAATATTGAGATTCATATGAAAACATCTGTTATATATACTTTTCTTGTCTTATATAAGAATAATTATATCCGTCTTGCACTTTCTTTTTCTTCACCTTTTCTCGTTTCTACTTAATTGATTCAATTCATTAATATTTGCAAGACTTTCGATATGATACTATTTTTTGAATCGTCAAGATCATGATTTAATTCTAATAGGAATGTAAGAATAAAAGGAGAGGGAGTAAAACTTAGTTTATATACTTTTGCATAATTATCGTTGAACCATTAATAAAGAAGTTTCTTGAAGTACAAGCGTCCAATACTTCTACAAGGTAAATTTTAAAATTTATCATATCACATAGTTTTATTGTGTTAAACTTAAGCTTATGCGCGATATCCAGTGCTAGAAGATTTGACTTTTACTTGCGCACATATACTACAAATATTGAAACTGTTGATATAAAATCGTTTGAGATTAAACACATCGTCGTCTGCTAGTACTTCTCTTCTTTGAACAGTCAATAATCATAATTATGATAGCGAATAGTAATGATTTGAAGAGCTACAGTTATTGATAATAAAGTGCAATCAATATTGTTTTATAAAATTTATACATTGAGAAGCTTTTTAGAATCATAAGTCTGTCTATACTCAATATTGTAATGTTAATAGATTTGAATTATCATAACTTTTTACTCATAAATTGAACTTTACTGATAATTAAATAGTCTTTAACAATATCACGTACACTCGGTTGACATGAATAAATGATAAATGAATTTATAACGTGTAGATAAAAAAAACGCAAAAATTACAATTAAAAACCAACAATTGACGTCAAATGTATTATGGAAGATATTTATTATTTGCCATATGTTATTAGAAAAAATTTTGCCATTTGTACTATACCATGATAATTGGTCTGAGAAATAGATATTCATTATTCTGTTTCGATACACTTTCTTAGTATTGATTATGTGTATTTGAAAAAAAAGTTGATATTTGTTGAAAATTAAAATATTCTCGGATTATTTTACAAATAACGTGTAAGTCAAAAGTTTCGAGAGGAAAATACTTGTGCAACATGATTTCAAAGATTTGTGAATTATGATCTGTTTAGATTAATTCTTGGATTCATATAGATCCTTAGATACAATTTAATTTTTATGGATTATAAATAGTTAATTATTCAAATTGAAAAAGAATCGATTTCTATAAGAGAAAAGCAAATATACTTAACTTCTTTCATATACAGTTAAAAACACTTCTAATGGAATACATGTTGTAATATCATACAACAAGAAAAGGTGAGCAACTGCATTCGGTACTAGGAAGTTTATGCGAAGTGAGATACGTAATGATAAAATATTAACTAACGACCACGTTATGTGTTTAATAAGAAGTATCATAGGATCTTTTATTGATGACGTAAAACTGGTAATCTATTTTTGCAAAGATAAAGCGACTATGCAGACGTAAGTGTAACGTCATTGTTCAACGCCCTGAGCTGTTATAACAGAAAAAAGCACCAAGACTGAGCTTGAACTTGCTCTTAATTACATTTACAACGTAGTCGCGCTTCATAAAAGGAAATAAATATTTAAAAAACTGTTGTATTTTTGTCACCTTCTGTTCAAATTTTTACAAACTACGTATATCATTATCGTGTATCGTTTTTGAATGACGTATATGGTTATGGTTCTAACTTATAATCTACGTCATATCCATATCTACCACATGTTACTTAGCCGATCATTATAAATAGTTGTAGAGATTTAGTATTATTCTTATATTCAGTTATTTGATATAAAAGAAATTCTTTATTTTTTGACAGCATTACAGTCATGAAGCCAATTATCATATTATGCTCATTATTTATTATTTTATCGTTCATTAATACTGGTAAGTCGAATGAAAATTAATAATAAAAAAATTTAGATTTTCTCTTTTTAGTTATTTCATATTCACATAATACAAATCGTTTATACAATCTACTTCGTCGATCTATGAATAAAAACGATGATTCACTAATATCAAACGTTCAAACTTCTAAATTTATACGTTCACTAATACCTATATCAATCCATCAGCAATCAAGTTCAGTAGAAGATAATGAACAATTCGATGAAGTAAAACGTGACGCTTGGGATTCAGGTGAAGAACAATATTTTAAATGGGCTTCGTTAAATCGTCGACCTATGGAATCATTAGTAGGACGAAAACGATCCGCCGAACTTATTATATCAGGACCACGACCTAGTCGAATTGTTAATGGTATATGGCGTACTGGACTTGTTGGTTAAAATAGAATGATCCGTTTTTGTTTGAAAATAATAAATAACATTTCTTGTTTTTGTTGTCAAAACGACTGAATTTTGAATAAAAGTGATTGAATTTTAAAAACTTACATATCTTTCTTAATCTTTAGTTATTAACATCTGGCAATATTATAATATATATTCTATTCTATTCAACTAATGAAACAATACGATATACTGTCTTTCATATTAATTTAATAACACGGAAATTATTGGTATAGACGTTTATACAATGTAGGATATATATATATATATTAATCATTACAGAATAATAAAATATAAGAGCTAATCAACAAGCGTTTCATCACTTTTGTTTTAGTCATTCTCAACCGTAAGTCTAATCCAAATATTACTACTAATGAAATGTTAACTTTAATTCCTTTTAAACTTTCTCTTAAGTTTTATGCTTAATAAATTATTTTTGAGTATTCGAGAATAGACAAGATTTCATTTCGAATCAATTTTTGATTTGTTTATATATTTGAACATAGTTCCATTATATACAATTAGTAACAGTAAAAATAGAATAAAGTCTCTTGATAATCGAAAGTGTTAATTGTTAAACCTTATTTAGTGTCTGAATAAAATCATGCTCAATCTATAATTGCTAAAAATACATTTTACATGACCTTATATATTATCATTCATAACATACGGTTTGCTTCCTTTAGTACGAACGTCATTTACTATGCTACCCACTCATTTAATGTAATCATGAACATTTTAAGCGAGAAATATTTATCAAAGGCAACTATTTAGCATTGCTTCTTTCTATTATTCTTAGAACTGGAGATATCATACGTATTTTAATTCATGTATCAGCAGCTATTTTTTTTTTCGTATACACTTATGTAGAATAAGTAACATGAACAAAAAAAAAAGAAAGCAATGTTTTTTCTTCTTCTTTAAACCATTTTATTGTTCGCTACACTTGTTCAATGCATGTTCAATAGCGTGAAAATCAGGAATTTTTCCTGGATCATCTAGTATATCAATATGTTGAATAATTCCTTTTCGATCAATAACAAATGCTGCACGTTTTGTTACACGTTTCATATTAAATAATGGAAATTCTTCATGAAGAACATGAAATTTTCGTGCAACATCTTTATTAAAATCAGATAATAAATCAAATTGTAATTGTTTTTCTTCTTTAAATTTATTTAGAGCAAACATTGAATCAACAGATATACCAATAATATGAGCATTTAATTGATTAAATTTATTTATATTATCACGAATTGAACATAATTCATTTGTACATACATCAGTAAAAGCCAATGGAAAAAATAAAATAACTACATTCGATTTATGAATTAAATCATTTAATGATATTTGTTCATGAGCTGTATTATAAAGATTGAAATCTGGTGCATGATCACCGACATGTAAACTATCTTTTTTAACGGAAGATGTTCTATACAACAAAAAAACAATTTTCTAATTTTATATTTAAAAAATTTGTACGATATACTGTTTTGTAGTTTTACGATGTTTTGCTGCTTCAAGAAGTTTTTCACTATATGGGATAAATGGTGTCTTCAACATGATGTATAAAAAAATTTTTCGATCACAACTGTTTCTGTTCTTTTCAATCGAAGATGATTAGTAGCCTCTATTATAACTCAACACTTTCATCATGCCGTAAAAAAGGAAGGTCAAATATTTACTGTTGTTCTTCTTCTTGTTTCATGGTTTTATATGGAAGTTGGAGAACACAGAAGCGTAAAAAAAAGTATTAATACACTTTTTCTTTTTCTTACTTTTTAAATTATTGCAACACATTGTATAAAATAATAACATGAGATTATTATTTATATTATCTTTTGTAAGACGATCAAGATCATGTTATTCTATATTATTATGAAAATAATCTTGAAGAAAATCATTAAAATATTCCTATAGATTTCTTTCATTATTAGATGCTAATTTTTCATCAAGTCATACATTTCTAACAATATCGTTTTATTTAAAAGTATTTTCACTACAATCTGTATGAATGCCAAAAGTAATAGAAAGTGTTTACACTATTAAAAACTCTATTACTTTTGTGCTTATTAATAAATATTTAGCATAGTCTTCATCTGAAAAAGTATAAATATATTGAATTGATATGTTTTAACTGTAACTAAGACACATGAATATGTTTGAATTCATAGAATTATACGATGATAGCATATATATATATTGCTTGATTATTAGTTACTTACAGTTGTACAACAAGACTAATAGGAGTGATTACTAGTCAATTGAGATACTACTAGTTCTGTTCATATATGTTATTTGAGTAGAGTAATTACAACAGCAGTATTAGTTACATGGACAATATTATCTCGCAATAAAAATCATACGTATGAATGCATTGACTTTAATAATTGGAATAATTTGAGGGTGTGAATGTAGATATTGTATTATCATACATCCACACCCACACCCTCAGCTACTTCTCAAAACTTAGCGTCCAATTCTAAAATATTTCTCAAAGAAATTTGAAATCATTGTCTGTGAACAAGAATGCAACATTTAAAAGGACTTTTTATAATGAGTTTTGACTTGAAACATGGCTTGACTTGACTTGACTTGACTTGTGAAAACGTCTGACTTGCCCATCTCTGACGGAGATCATCTTTTGGGAGGTCTCTACAATGTCCATATATGACAAGTAACACTCGTTCGAGGACTCGCTTAGCTCTTTCTCGTAGAAATGCATCCTCTTCACATTTACGGAAAAAACAATTGAGCACCTTGCTCCCCTTTGTTGTTCCATATTCTTAGCATATACTCGCATTCTACTCACAGGTAAACGCAGATCAAAACATATTTGAGCTGCCGGCACCAGTGGCTTCTCAAACTACCCTTAAACGCGAATAAGTGAAGTGTTAGTAATCTTATACGCAAGAAAATCAATCGTTTATGACAGCCACACTCTACGCTACAAGCAGTGGAACATTTGAATACCGACAAAAATGCGTTATCAAAAAACTCGATTTCTATTAGTCCACGTCACTTCTTCCAATTCACATGTCTCTTCAGCAGTCTGAGCAAATGAGGCGCACAGCTGAATTCTTCACATCGAAATACCTCAAGAAATATCTTTTCCAAAAAATCGGTCTTCGATATTTTGTGGACCCTGCGGACACACAAGCAAGCAGACAATTTATGTTTGCAAGACTTTTCTCGACGAGAAAGAGTATATAGAATGAAATGAAAGAATGCAATCGAATGAAGGCTAGCTAATGAAAAGAAGTTACCTTTTGATAGTTAGCAGAGATATAGAAGAACAGAAAAAAAGTTGTTCACATACAGATTATTTGAAATAATCGAATTGCGAATAAAGTTCATTTTCGCAAAAAAGTTATAAAATAAATATTTCTGATCGATTTCATTTGAAATTATTGTTGTCAGTACACGAAAAACCAGGCCAACTTATATTTCATATTAACCAAAACAAGCATAATAATCACTACCAGAACCATCATCACCAGAACCATCGTCACCGGAACCATCATCATCAGAAGTACAGGAAGAACCAGAATAATAACCACCGTTATAGGGAGAACAATAAACTAGAGCATTACTACTATCAAGACAAGCAATACAACCAGTGCTACCAGCACAACAAACAACACTGCACAAAGGAGCTGAGGCTAAAATTTAAAAAAACGTATTAATAGATAAGTAACGCTCGTCTGCGCGGACTCGCTTATCTCTTTTTCGTAGAAATGCATCTTTTTCCCATTTCCTGAAAAAACAATCGAAAACCGTGCTCTCCTTTATTGTTCATTACTCTTAGTGCATACTCACATTCCACTCAGTGGTAAACATAGATCAAAACATATTTGAGCTGCCGGCACCAGTGGCTTCTCGAACTAGCCTTTAACGAATAGGTGAAGTGTTAGTGATCTTGTACGCAAGAAAGTCAACAGTTTATGGTCGCCACACTTTACATTACAAGCCAGGGAACATTTGAATACCGACAAAAATGCATTACCCGAAAACTTCGTTTCTATCAGTCTACGTCACTTCTTCCAATCCACACTCTCCTTCAGTAGTCTGAGCAAATGAGGCGCACATTTGAGTTCGCCTGCATCGAAATACCTCAAGAAATGTCTTTTCCTAAAAACCTGTTTTCGGCGTTTTTTTGACTTCTCCCGCCCACCCACTCACCAGTCATCCAGCAGATCTCAGATTCGAAGCCCCCACAACGAAATATCTCAAGAAATTGTTTTTCCTGAAAATTGGTCTTCGATGTTTTTTGACCCTGAGGACACACAAGCAAGCAATTTATTCTTGGAAAACTCTTCTCTACAAGAAAGAGAATAATAGAAAATTTTCAACTTTTGTGCTCACGGTCACGCCGGTCTCTAATCGTCATGTCTAGTAATCATTCTCTGAGTCACTACAAATGATTTAACATAGTACTCACTCGATATTGCTGTTGTTGTTGTGGTAGTAGTAGTCGTACTTGTTGTTGTTGTTGTTGTGGTAGTAGTAGTCGTACTTGTTGTTGTTGTTGTTGTTGTGGTAGTAGTAGTCGTACTTGTTGTTGTTGTTGTTGTTGTGGTAGTAGTAGTCGTACTTGTTGTTGTTGTGGTACTAGTAGTAGTCGTACTTGTTGTTGAAGTTGTTGTCGTTGATGCTGAAGTTGTTGTAGATGATGTTGAAATTGTTGTTGATGGTGTAGTGGATGTTGTTATTGTAGATGTTGTTGATGTTGATGATGATGATAATGTTATTGACATTTCTGTTTTTATTATTGTTGTCGTTTGTGTCACAGGTTTTTTTGTTGTCGTTGCGGATGTAGCGTCACTCTGCTTTCCGTTTGGCATAGTTACATTATAGAAATATGCCTGTTTTATTTGATCTTCCGTCATTTGAACTCCCGACAGATCACTATTTGAAAAGTATGCACCTGTCAGATTTGCACCAATAAAACTAGCACAAAGTAAAGATGAATCAAAAAATTTCGCCTTATCTAACCGTGCTCCATCAAATGATGCACCATTTAAATTAACAGATGTAAACTCCGCATTTGACATTGATACTTGATCAAAAGAAACACATTGTAAATTCAGCTTATTCAATGCACCAGTTTCACTTGCAAGACGTACATTATCAAAGTTTAACTCATTTAAACGAATTATATCATCTAATTTTGTCGTTTTACATCCATTAGTACAATTATTTGTACCAATTAACAGGCCCATAGTAAGAAGTTTTCCAAGGGGAGTGCCCGACTTGTTAAGGGGATGCACACTAGTAGGAGAATAATGTTTTGCTTCGTAAATAAAATTCGCGTCCGTACTTCCTTTCAAGGTTTTTTCCACCAAAGGGGGTGCACGAGCATCCCATGCATCCCCCCTGGCTACGGACCTGCCAATTAATTGTTTTTCTTTCAGAAATTGTATAACATCTGCTTTACGTATTGTATCCCATTGACGATGTGCAGCACGATAATATGCATTTGCAAATGCCCATGGGTTTTTTGTGTCATTGAGATAACCATCTTTATCTAATTTATAGATATTATTTAAAAATCCATCATAAAGTGTTTGTTGTCTTAATTCTTTTGATTGTGCAAAATCAAACTGCTGTTTTTTCTCAGCTTGTTGTTTTTGTTGTGCAGAACCGATTGAAGTATAAATAGCCAGGGCTATGGGTATCGCGACTGAACTTATAATAGCTAATATGTCTTTAAATGTAAAATTCCAAAAAGATCGTTTGTTAAAATCTACCATTGTCTCAATCTGATTTTAGAACGAACAATAAACTATTGTGATGTATTCGAATATAAAGTATATACGACTACTGCTAATAACTAGTCTTTCTCTCGTTTTTTATTTCTCTCTTATTTAACAACATATTAAGTAACAGCTTCTAATCATGTTTTATACATCACAGTGTCCTGGTTTTTCCAGTGGGAGATATCCTATCTAAATAATTTTGTAAAAGTCATGACAAAGACTGCGATGTATGATATTTTCAAAATCATATGTTAACAAAAAAACAAAAGGAATGAACAGGTAAGTATTCATTACAAACATAACAATACTTAGAAAAATAGTCTCTAGTTACTTTCAGTATATTGAACATTGAATTTGATCTAGAATAATAAGAATATATAAATACTGATAAATGAAGATCAATGCGGGCGATGAAAGAAGAAAACTTATACTATTGATTTAAAGATCGGAGATTTCTTCGTTTGTCCAAATACAATACAAAATCATGGAAAATATATTTTGGCAGTAAACTGTAAAATGATCTGATTATATCCATTACAAAGTTCGACAAAATAAAAGAAAAGGGCTACTAATGACTTGATGAATCATTTTTTAGTCAAATGATATCTTCTATATACGAACAGTTCTAAATCATTTTTTCTCTTTTAGAGTTTTTACAAAATATCCATGATATGCATAAGTTAGAAGAAACAGTTTTATAACTAACTAAATTATCAATTAGATCAATCTATCGTATTTCTGTATTCATATGAAATAAACAATACGTGAAGAAATATTCTTATATTAATCAACTAGACAGCAATGATTTATGAACTTTTTTGAATTTACTATTTCCTTTTATTTCTTTTGCTTAAGATTTATGTTCTCTTCTTCTCTCAACAAAAAAATATCAATTTCAAGCAAAGAAATATGATCTACTCATATAATGATACGTCATAGGCATTCACGTGTAGATTATTGATCATTACGTTAATTTAAATATAATTAGATCGATCATCTAAATGTTTATTTCAGATATTTTGAAATTCGATTCCTATGAAATGTTTAATATACTAGTCATTTATATTGTTATCAAAAATCTGTAAGTTAAGATATTTTATTTCAGTCTTTTGAATCATTACATGTGTTAACTGAAAACGATATGAAGTATCTTATAATACCTTATAATCTATTCATTATACAATATCCGTAAGGTCTAATATCATCAGCACCAGGTGATATCCAATAATCATCGACTGCAGTTTTACCACCATCAATTTTTATTAGAGTCTCTGAATTGACTCGATTCTGAAGCACAACATAATATTGTTCTCCATTATAAGTAAAAGTAGAAGCATAAATTTTGCTATATTATATATAAAAAAACCAAATTGGCGATAATAAGATTGCATATAATTGATGAAAATATCATAATTCATTGACTGATCTAAACGGATATATATGGAGCAAAAACAAAGCAATTCCAATGAGTCAGAATGGAATATGTTCTATTGTTAGATATCTATTTGATGCTAATAACACAGTTGATTAATTTCATAAGTACGAATGTATATATTTCAATGAGAAAAAACGGCTTCCAAAGAAAAAGACAACAAGAAATTGAAACTCAAAAAAACAAGAATACGAATACCTATCTGTGAAGCTTGTTATTCGCTTGAAGTTTTATTTATCACACACACGCTCGACACAAAATGAATGACTATATATAGGTTGGCAAAAGGAGAAAACCCCATACGTGAATGCGAAAGGAAAATCCCTAAAATGAACATCTCCTAGAATAACATGAAAGATAAGATAACAGAGAGAGGACTAATCCCTTATATATGAATGAGAGGTAAATACCTATATAAGAAGAGGAACAGAAAGGAAAATGCCTATCGATGACAAGAGAAGATAATACATATGTAAGGATAAGATTACAAAGGAAAATATAAAACAGAACGAAAGAAGACATAACACATATACGATCGTAGTGATGATCGTTCTTATGAACTGCATCTAGGTAAGAAGCAGGGCATAACACTCGTTTGTATCAAGAACAAAATAACCAAAAGAAAAAAGAAAAAGTAGCAAGAGCAATGTGATCGCTAACATTGGAAAAAGCCAAATTACTTCGACGCACTATAAATACAAAGCGATATCAGCTACCAAGACATTAAGCAAACTCGCATATTTCACAACGGTATCACACAATATACAAGTAAGTTTGATTTTTAATAGTAATTTGACTGTAACGTTAAGATTCTTTTAGATTTCACGAAAGTTTATCTGAATAAAACATGGCGACACCCTCTGATGCAAGCAAAAATCACCGCCTTGGCATAATCATTTTAGGTAATAGTGGAGCAGGCAAAAGTTATATTGGTAACATCCTCTGTGATTGTGAGGCATTCGAATCCTCTTTCCAAGCAAATTCAGTGACTCGTGAAGCAATCTCAAAAAAGATAGAGTTAGGGAACGATGGGATATATTTTTTCGACACTCCGGGCTTAGTGGAACTCGATGAAGCAAGTATCAAAAATAACATAACGGAGATCGAGAAAGCTTTCAAAACGATTCCGATGTCCGTAGTGGCCTTTGTATGGTCGCAAAATAATGGACGCCCGCTACCAGAAGATGCTGTTGCCTTCAAGGCTCTTTATGATTCGTATCAGTTTCCGCAGATATCTCTGCTACATATTATAAACAACATACCAAAAGAAGAGACATCGGATTCGTACAAACATAGCTTCGTTGACGCAGTGGCAGGCAAGTTAATTCGTCTTGGCATGGACAAGACGAAAATACCGTTCAACTACGAGAACTTTATTTTGGTCAAAAATATACAATCCGCAGATATGGATGAAAAAAAGAAAATGCGTGAAGACTTCGTGAAAATCATGGCTTCTTATTATCCAGTCGAGCAAAAACAAATAAAACCGATTGAACTTGATGCTGCACAGGTGCGAGAAACAGTAATACAACTTAGGTCTGTTAATAACAATGAACTTCGTGCTGATGGTGCTGCTGCTCTTAGTTTGAATCAAGTTGGTACTGGTGTTGCTGTTCTCGGTGGTGGTGCTACTGTTATTGGTTCTGCTGTAATTATTTGTGAAGCTACTGTAACTATTATTGAAGGTGCAGTTATTGTTGGTGCTGGTAGTATGCTCGGCCCTGCTATTTTGGTTGGTGGTATTGCTGCTCTTGGCATTGGGGCTTTGCTTCAGTCTATTAATAAATGAAACCAGGTCGAACTTTATCAAGAAGGAACATGTTAGTGATAATAGTAGTAGAAGAATAAACACATGTGTAAAACAAAAAATCATACAAAATAAACTCTTTTGGTTTAAATTGTATCTTAATAAAATTTTTCAAGTCGATAATTTTTATGACATAAATTCTTATTGTAATGATCATAAACTGCAAGTCAAAAAGAAATAGTTAGGAATTTTTCTATAATTATTTACATCTTCAGATTTTTTATAAGCAAGTTGCTTAAAGCAACTGAAAAGATCAATATACATTATGCATTAATAATTTGTAATTTATTTCTATAAGAATTAATTCAATCGAGAGAGAAAGCATCAAAATCTCAGAAGAGACGATAAAGTTTTTTTAAATATAAACAAACATTACATTGAAGTGTTATCAGTATGAACAAAAATCTCTCATGATACTGTTTATTGAAAAGTAGATCCTAAGTAAAAAAAAAGTCAGACCACTAATACTATTCAAATACACTTGTTTGTTGCTATCGATATTATGAAATGTCATTTCATCTTCTCATCTATATACTACTGAGTTTTTATAAAGTTCAAAATTTTTTTGATTTTTTGTTGCATATTATTACACCACGGATACAATTTTCATTAGATTGATATGTTTTCTTTATAAAGAAGTTTTCTATTATTATTATTTCGACCAATCAAATTCTTTCTTCAATCCTCTCTATTGATCTCTCATAAATAATCATTTGTTTTCTTATGAATTTGAACACTGAAAGTGTTTATTTTCTCTTGTTATTTTAAGATTTTTTCATAAATGTTACTTGTTATAATAAATAGTATGAATGGTGTGAGTCAATAAACAAATTAACAATGGATGAAAGAAAAAAAAATCCACGATTCATTTTCTGTTTAATATTTATTTGTTATTTGTTCAGATAAATCATGACGTATTACACTTATTATTCGTCATATCAATGTAGAAGCAAAAAGAATGCTCTTCGTATTTAAAAAAAAGTCGGAAGATTCGAACTTGATATGTAGAAAAAGAACAAAACTGTTGTACAATTTGAATAAATAAATATTTATTATTTTTCAGATAATCTATTCTTTCAACTTCTAACTTAAATCTCTCGGTATTTCTTGTCTCTAATCACAATGTCAGGTGTTACTGAAAAATGTCCCGCATACTCAGCCTTTTTTGGCTCTATGGGTGCAACTGCAGCCGTTGTATTTAGTGGTATATTATTTTCTTAAATCTTTTAAAAATAAATTCATTTTTTTTTAATTTAATTTCTAGCATTAGGTGCCGCTTATGGTACTGCTAAATCTGGTTGTGGTATCTCTGCTATGGCTGTTATGAGACCTGAATTTATAATGAAAAGTGTAATTCCTGTAGTCATGGCTGGTATTATTGCTATTTATGGTCTTGTCGTTGCTGTTCTCATTGCTAATAACATTAGCGCAGAAAACTATGGTCTTTATAAGTAAGAAAAACAAAACATTTTGGTAAAGAAATTTTTCTTATTTAAATCATAAATATTTTTCTAGAGCTTTTCTTCAATTGGGAGCTGGTTTATCTGTTGGATTAAGTGGATTAGCAGCTGGATTTGCAGTTGGTATTGTTGGTGATGCTGGTGTACGAGGAACAGCACAACAACCACGGTTAGTAAATTAAATTTTATTCATATCTAAATATATTAGTTAAATGATTATTTGCTTAGATTATATGTTGGAATGATTTTAATTTTAATTTTTGCTGAAGTACTTGGTCTCTATGGTTTAATCGTCGCTTTAATTATGACAACAAAAAATCAACCTGGTTGCGATTAATTGATAAATGTTAAACATATATATATATATATATGCGCATAGTATTCATTTCTCGTGTATGTTTTTCTTTTTGTCCTTCTTTAAATCTGTATTACTACTTTTCATCATTATCCTATTTGTTGTGTGTTTAGTCTTGAACATTTATTTAATTGTTGTTTGTTCGTATCAGTACCGCGCATAAGAGTATATTTCTTGATACAGTCGTAAATGATTCCATGACGTTTACACCCCCTTTATATATTTTTTTTTGCCCATGACATTAAGACAAAAAAAAAAAAGTCAAATTAACCGATGTGCAATGATTTCATTCTAGTGTATGTTGTATTCGCATTTATTCAATGTCTTTTCAACTTCTCGGTGTTAGTTTATATAAATCAGTATGGTACAAGTTTTCTTCTTCCCTCATCATTTCTTTATCGTTTGATGTTATATTATAAAACATATGCATATGTATTTCTTAATCGTTATTTATTAAATTCTATGAACAAACTATCATTATTAATAGTCTCAAATTCAATAGTTATAAAAAATATAAATATGAATAGAATGAGTCTATATGTATGGTAGTTACGAAACTTGAAAATCTCGAGGGATAAATTTTCATGGATTAAAAGACTTATACGTAGATAGTTTCTTTTTGAAGACATACAGACTAAAATTTCAATGTTTTATGAAATCACTAACAATTGAACGATATTAACTGATCTACCAGAGTTTATGAATGCCAGACATGACATTAATAACATAGTTCAATTATTGGCACATCAAAACAAATAATAATAAAATGTTTTTGAGAGATCGAGGTCATAAGAAACTTTTGTATTTCGATCAAAGATGTTGTCATTTATTAACCATGAATTAATATTTTACGAATGAATGACAAGTCGTAATGCTATATAATTTTTAGACAATCTGATGACTACCTTAACATATTTTTGGTATCTTCTGCAATGTATGAGTACTACGCATATGAAGTTATTTATCATATATCTCCTAATCCGTAAGAATTAGCTGAGATTAGAAATCCATTATTGATGAAGAGCTTCTCTTGTACAGCATAATTAATAAATTAAGATGATATATTTTTGTAAAATTCCACATTACTAATACATTTAATATTTATTTTGAGATAATATATACTTAAATATGCTTGACTTTATACAAAACGAAATAGAATTAAAAAAAATTTAAATATCTTTTTGTGTTTCTGCCGGTGGTCGTTTAGTTTGAATAAGTGATGGTTTCATTATTAATTTGTCTCGGTTTACATTATATATTTCATCATTATCATCACATGTATGAATGACAATGGCTGGAGCTTTTGAACCATGTTCATTTGATAATAATTCATGAGGTTGATCTAAAACGAAATTAATTTATTCAAAATCATATATATATTCATGTTGAACATACTAGGTTGCAATTGTGCAATAGCAGCAATGAGATTCAAATCAACAACAGGTGGATCTTCGAGTTTTTGTTCCCATCCAATAGGTGGACTTGCTGGTGGTGATATAAGAAAAAGTTTTTCTGGCTCAGGTGGTCGTAAATATGTATCAGGATTTGCACCACGAAATACAATCGGCTATGTAAAAAAAAACATACGTATTTACATAACAAAGAAATATCTTGTCACTTACACAGGCAAAATATGTTTTAAGTACTGTACCATGAAATGGATATTCATGAAGATTCAAACGAGCTTGTAAAGCATTACATGATGATGTAAATGTAATACGTATACGTTGAAAAAATTTTAAATAAAGTACGATTATTTGTGGATCATATACACGAAATAATTGTTCAAATTCATCCTATTTTTTTCGAAAAATTAAAATTAGATAAAATCATATATACACAAATCTTTATACTTTAAGTTGTTGATTAGTAAATAATTCTTGAGGTACTGGAGTTATAATAAGACTATTTGGTAATGATGATACATCAGTATCATCATCATGTTCAATTGGTGAATGAGTAGATTCATTGTCAGTGGTATTATTATCTCCAGGTGCATTTGAATCATCACTTATATAATTAATAAAATATTTTGATGAATCTTCATCATCTAACTGAAGTGATTTTAGATCATGCATCATATGATCAAACTTTGAAACAAAAAAGAAATACGACAATCTATAAGATTATAATACTGAAAAATTATCATCAGACGGAATTTTTGTTTACATATATGAGTCATTGAGTATATTTTCTCGATGATTCTAGCAACAATCTATATATGGTTGTATGGAAATGGTAAAAGTAGGCAATAGTGGAAAAACCAATTAGTAGATTTTTCATAAGCGACATCTAGCATAACATGATATATCTTCATAGTGTGCTCATCAATTTATTTTTCTTTGAGCATGATACATCATTTCTTTTTTAGTCTTGTATGATTAATATAAGTCATCTATTATTTACCAAATTACAACTGTAATTTGCAAAGCAAGCAATGTACATAATTATTATCTGTGTATTACACGTTCATTGGAAATACTTTTTAATTTAACATATCTTATAGATACTCTCAGATGAAAGATTTTCCTTATTTGACTTAGAGTATATGCAATAGGAAATTACAATTCTAATAAGAAAGAGTTCTTATACATTGGAATAAAATATCGTGTTTAACTAACCGGAAGATTAAATACTTTATATTCATTTCATTATAATTCAAAATGATAACACAAATTCTATGTATTTTCTATTATGTCTATCCTTGAGAACTTCAGAATGCAATACACCTCTTCCTGGTGATCATAGAATAAATATTGTGAAGAAATGCTTTTTCATTCTTATCCTATGACATTTGCATGATTATTATTAACTTCATTTAATCTAGTCCATGCGTGTATAGTGTCTCGTTAACATGAATAACACTGATTACAAGTTAAATATTAAAGGAGAAAATACATATATATGTAATTATAAATTATTTATGAAGTAGTTATTGTTAAAAACTATGACTTCTCTAATTTATTTCCTGCAGTATTTTATTTATGCCAGACAATAACAATAAAAAAAAAGGTTTACACCATTATCTGACATCATTGTCTATATCCTTACTATATATATTAATTTGTCGTTTACAGAATTACGTGCTGTTGTAAGACAGATCTTTCTAACAACTGTTTATGTTTATCATAAGTACCGAAATGGAATTGGATAACTATACGCCTGTTGTTGATAGTAAGATAATATTAACCTTAGGCTGTATATTCAAGGAATCGAGGGACAAGTGTTATTCAATTAATTAGTATGAACATAATTTATGATGTATAATAAATATTGTGAATATACGTAAATAATACAATTAGATCTAGAGTAATCATGCCTTTTAAAATAAACAGGATCAATTTATATATTTTTTTTCAAGTATTACTTATAGGCGTCTTAATGGTTAAAAAGAAAAGTTCGATTTGTCAATAGTAACCAATCTGTTAAAAAAATAAAGCAGTAAGCTTCAACAAAACAGAGATTTACTTCTTTTTTTTTGTTTGATTATTCTCAAAAATTAAAGCATCTATTTCGATCATACGTACAGGCGTAGCATTTTTTACATCTGTATGGCATCTGCTGTTACAAGTTCATTATTTCAACAACAACCACAACCTCCTACATATATTTTACAAAGTTGGCATCGTGAACAACCAACATCTCATGATGCATTTTTAATCGAACAAGTATTTCTAATAGGACCGGATGCAGCTGTACCAAGCTCAAGATTACGACAATGTATAGAAGATGTTTATGAACAACGAGCACAAGCTCTTATTATTGTTAATTATGATCCATGGGAAAAAATACCACCAGTTAAATCAAAATCAAAATCAAAAGCAACATCAACACATGATCTTCCAAAAACTCATGTACATTAAAAATTACTATTTACTTAATGGAACATTTTTTTTTCCTTTTTGTTTGACTTTATAACATACGATTACTGCTAATGTTGATACTATCAACGATCTGTAAAAGAATAACTTCATATGCTTTAGTATGCGTTACAAAACTGATCAATAATGATTGATCACTCACTCACTCAAACATTAATAAACAAAGCACAACAGACTAACACGTCATCAAATTCACTTCCTTTACTTTACATTTCAAAACAATTTCCGTATAAAACGGAATTGATTTAACACGTGATAGATTTTTTCCTAGATAATAAATGACAACATTACTGATATACTTGTGTTCTAGCAATGGCCAGTTCATATAGTTCATACAGGAAAGCTAACAAAGAAGAAAAGCAGAAAAAAAAACTATCTTGATAGTTGACAATTGCGTTTTTTGGCTTCTTTTCCGTTTCATGTTTTCATGATTGTACTCACATATTTTCCTCTCTCTCTCGTTTTCTCTTCTTCCTCCTCCTCGTCATCTCCTTCTTCTTTTTTTTCCTCTTTTTTTTTTCTTTTTCTTACTAGTTTGCCTAGAAGACGAAAGGTTATAACTTAGTATCTCTAAGCATTACATACAAGTTTTCTTTCATTCATCAATTTACAAACAGATAACAGCAACATAACATTATTCAATTATATTTTATCAATCTAACTATAATCATGACTGATGCGTAAGTATTTGTATAGTCTGATATATACAGATATATTTCAAAAGAAAAAACGTTTGATAATCTTTAGAATACGATGTTTTTTTATTAATATATAACAGCATCTGGCTAGCGTTAACTGCTTTACTGAGTTACAGAATTCTATATATTCTATCATAAACATGGAATAATGTCCAAGGATATAAATAGAACACAAAAACGCGATGAAGGATCATATCGACAAAAATGATTCTTATTGTGGAAATAGAACACCAAGACAAATTTATTTATCTGGCATTCATGCATAAGTATGAGTAGATTCCCTACGGCGACAGCTCAACATTACGTTCTTCATTCTTTCAAATCTAATCCTAGCTTACATTTTTTTTCCTCCTTCTCTTTTTATGCTGTCGTAAAACGACTAATCTAGCAAAAATAACGCCTCATATTGGTTTTCTTCATTAACTATATCTTTGTTAAGTAGATCAATGAAACAATATGTCTGACGAGATTGAAGACTCATTCACGACATTGATTGACATAACATATCTATCCTTTTCTCTTGTTATTTATTCTAGTCTATTTTTATTTCACAACAATAGGCGTCATAATGATTCATTTTGAGGAACATGTTGAGTAAACATTTATGACTCTTATTCATCAGTAATCAATTAATATGATAATGAATCATCATCCGTAATAGAATTTTTGTCAGGTTTTATTCATAAACGAATCTCTTGAGAAAATTTATCAGTCATTAGAGACTTATTCTTACGTTCATAGACAATGACATAACTAGAAAAGAAAAACATAGTTATACACTTGAGAATAGAAATAACCATGAGTATTGTCATAAACAGAGAAAAGAAATTTAAAAATTAATAGGCTGTGTAAAATATTATAGTCAAAAACAATTGTGATATATGTTGTTTACTTTAACGTTTGTAGTTCTATCAAGTATAAATTCTAATTACTTGAAGTGTTTTTAGAAATATTACTTTTAATTGCGTTTTTTTGAATTTGAAAAAATGTATATCGTATGTTAATGATATATTTCAAGGATGAATAATTCATTTCTTTTATGTTATGTTTAGAATTTAAGCTTAAATGATCAATTATCTTAATATCGGATATTAAAGACTAGTTGTTTGATCTACTTTGTTGATAAATATTTTATACCTTAGATTAGAACTATAAATCTTAGTTAAAATTAGATTTTTCTTATAGTTATCAATTCCAGTTATGTCAGAACTATAGATCTACTGAATATTTTCATGTCAAGATCATCATCACGCATGATCGAAGAAAACTAATGAATATTTAGTACTTTAAAATTTTGGTAATTGCCTCTCTCGATCTTTACATAGATCGAATCTATCACATCGTTGATGTGTTATTAAAACTATGAGTGTCTTTTACCCTTTTGTATACTTAAGATCATTTCTATGATAATAAATTTTTAAAGAATTTTTTCTATTCATTTGTATATTCTATGTTATTTATTTATGAATATGAAAAATAAATATAGAAAGCGAGACAGTTAACTATGTTTGTTAAGAGAAAAAAATCTCGAAATAGTATCAGATATATCTAATGAACTGGTAATGTATATCTGCAGATTTTCTTTCTATAGTAATATAACTGACAAAAACGATCGAATTTCATACAAATCTCTTGAAGCTATCATAACTATATAAACGTTTCTTGATCTTCATTGACGTCACTGTAATACATAACGAATTCCTTTAATTTCATAGAATTCAATTAAAATCTCGAAGCTTAACAATTTCATGTCTATCGTTTCCTTTTAAGAAGCTTAAAATAACACATATCTAAATATAGAAAAATGAAGACATCGAATATGTAAGAATAACTATGAACGAAATCTTTAAATAATAAATATAAAAGATAATCCATTAATATTTTATTCATTCTGACATTCATATATGAATAAATCAAAAACTAAATTGAACCAATTACACTTAGAGAAAGTTGTCGAAACTAATTATCATAAGACAGACATTTAATTTTATTAAAATTTGATCAATTAAACCAGGGGTTGATCTAGCTATTCGGCGCCCCTCGAAAACAGGTAGAACACTATAAGTTTCTCTCCTAAGCTGAATTAAACTTATAAGGAAATTATTAAGATTCAAAATTTGTTATTACAAATGAATTCATGTAACACATTCAAAATCCTATAGGAATTGTAACGCAAGTGTTAAAAAGTTTGAAAAAATAACCTAACTCCTACAAACATTATTCGTATTCATTATCTAATTATATACGATAATTAAATTTGAATCTTATAGAAATATGCCATTGATGACAAGTGTTATGTTCTTGCTTTTTTTTATTTATTTACATACTATATCAATAAAACATTGATTTGATTGTTAGATTTCTTATTACTTTTTCCTTCATATTCTTGACAAGATAGATAATATGTTGTTCCTTCGAATCTAATCTCTACATGCTAATTATATGAAATATATACATACATACATCAATAATAGTTAGATAAAATAAAATAAGTCAATGCATGCATGTGTATCCAATCAGATGAAAACAAATCTAAATAACCTTCTTTTCAAATACAACTTTTTTATTCTATCGACAAACATAGATTTATTCATGTGTAATAATCATTAACTTGTTCCAGCAATAGAATACCAATATTTATATATACACATGTGTTTATTGAACGAACAAATGAGGGTCATTATTTTATCTATAGAAAGATTCTTCGACGGAAAATCTCTACTATTATAATCGTACTAATCCAAGAATTAGCTATACTCAATTGCTTTCATGTGTAATAAGCATACGACAATCATCGTTCGAGATTTTACTATGATACCTCCTACCCAAGACTTAAAGACGTTCAACGACGATTTTATTTGTCTTTTTCTCTCTCTCTTTTTCTATATTATTGTCTTTACACTGTCATTTAAGGAAACGTCAGTATCTATCACTTTTTTCCCTTTCGTCACTTTTCTTCCAATGCTCATCTTCTTTCTCTCGTCATACACGATAAAGTCACCATTTTCCAGGGAAAACATATTTTAGAACGACACACACATTATTTTCTATGCGTTTACTAAGTATGTAAGTGTATGTTACGCCTTCAGTTGTATTGTTATTGATGATGATGAAGAAATATATCTAGTTTAATTGACCCGATATATTTACTTAATCGACAAGACAAAAGACTACTAATGTTTCATGTATATATATATGATTGAAACATTTTGAAAAGAAAACAATTCTCCGAAAAAACATATATTGCGTATGAAGATGATGGCAGAAACGCCAATATCTTCATTACTTCGTCGACAATCTACTCAACGAAAAAAAGTTAAATTTACCAGGTAAAAAATAATATCATTTTGCTTCTTACAAATTAAATTACTTTATATAATAAATAGAACTAATTATTTAAATGATTCTTATTAGATTAGTTACGTTTTCTTCTCTTTTTTTTTGCTGACAATGTTGAAGAATCCGACAGATATTACCGACGGATGACGGAAGTCAAGTCAACGTCAAGCTAATAATTATGTTCGTTATCTTCGAATCTATCTTAAGGTTCTTTTTTCTGTCATTTTCTATTAATAAGATAAATTAGAATGAATGAAATGTATTAAGAATATTTTAGATCAATCCCATTGACTTTAACATTTCTTGTTCTATTCTTATTGACTTTGTTATTGTTGAGAGATGCTGAAAGATACATAACTGTGTGCAAATATCCGGTCTTTTTTTCAATCCAACTACTTGTTTTCTTCTTTAACGATTCATGAAAAGGAAAAATGATTTTTTTCTTCTTCTTCTTTTCTTTCTTTAATGGTTGTTATTTGTTATACCTTAAAAAAGAATTTTATATTTAGACAATTTCCTCTTTTCTTTTTTCTTTTTTTTTTTTTTGAGATCGGCAAAAACCAATCTTATCCTTTCTCTTGTGACGCTAGTTCAATTTGATGTGTCTCACGATGCTCGACTAATGGATGTACTCCTATTCGTCTATATCAATTTTCTTTTTTACTATTTGATATGAAATGAATAAAAGAATTGTTAGAAAGAAAAAAGTGAATGATCAAGTAGTTTAAATAGAAAGATGACAAAGATTATATTATCAAAAAGATAAATCTATCTATATATATATATATTGACACTAAAATATTCATAAAAGAAAAATTGAAATAATGTACTATAATTGTTCTATTTAATCAAAAAAAAGAGATAAATAATGATATGCTTGACATTCATAAATAGATCACGTCGAATAGTTATTTATCATATTTTTTTCTGATATAGAATATACGAACCACATCTTCATCAACAAGCAATTGTGGATGATGTCAATGAATTGATAAATGATCGTATACCAGAAAATGATGTTCCACGAACAAGTTCAAGAATATCAGTTCATTGGAAATCGAATCGAGAAGATAAGATGACTGTCAAACATCAAATTAATACCGATACTGAACAATTTGATGCATTATTTGCACGTTCAAATGCTTCATCGCCACCTTCACCACATCCTCGTTGTTATAGTTCAACGACACCTGTTACTATTCCATTTCAAATATTTACCGATACATCATTACATAATTATGCTAAATCTCAACCACATTTAACATCATCTCCTTCACGTTCAATTAAACTAATAGATGTTGTTCGTCGACAATCAAATGCATCATCAACAAAAAGTCAACAATCAAATGTAACTGTATCACCAAATTCAGCACAAACAAAAAGAAAAAAATTTTTCTTAACTCATGCCGCACAAGTTTTTCTTCAATCATCAAATTCCCAAAGCGAACAGTTAGGACCATTAGCACGGTCGTGTTCTTATAAACGTCCTCAATCGATAAAAAAATATCGACAACAAAAGAAGGGAAAAGAAAAAGAACAGAAAGAACAGAAAGAATATTCTTCTTCTTCTTCTCCACGCAAATATAGCACGTATAACAATAATATTCTTCACACAGTTACTTCCGATTCTACTCGCAAATCGGTTAGTAGTGGTGTTCCATCAAGAATTTCTGCAACTGATCTTATGGCAACTGTTGATCCACATGATCAATGGTCAAGTCCCAAAGCACTTCGATCAGGACGAGTTGGTAAGATAAAAAAAGATCTGATTTCTTCTTCTGCTTCGTTTTTTCTCTCTTCTTCTTCTTCCCTAATGACTCCTCCCCAACTTCCTATAAAAAGAAAAAAAAAAAAGAAGCAAAAAGCACCAGCTGTTCTTTGAGTCAAACTTATATTAAGTGATAACTCTATTGATCATGACAACAGATACAAAAACGAATCGATTACTCCTACATTCTTCTATAGGCTCATTACCACTGGATCAATTATTACAATTACCTCATGATGGAGATGAAGAAATCTATCGTGTAAGACAATTTCATACAACATCAAAGGGATTTGTTAATCGAGGGTATATGTTCATATAAATATTTATTTGAAATCTCTTTATTTATGATTTTTTCTTCTTCTATAGTGATTCATTTAAACGTTCATTTAAACGAAGTGGTTCGACAAGTCGTCGTAGTTCATTTCGTAAAAGTGATCGTACACCATCACAAGAACATGTTAATGAGTCTATTCAATTAAATAATGAAATGCGTACAAGTTCAAATTCATTAACTGTTTCTAATATAACACCGGCCGGACCTAATCTCAATGGAATACTTGATAACAATTTTATTGATTCAACTATCGAGAACATTTCAACATCACCAGCAATTGATGATGAAAATGATGAGGATGATGATGATAATCTACTTGTTGATCGTATTGAAACAGAAGATGGTCGTGTACAAGATATACGTGTTTATCAAGTTTATTTACTTGGTATGAGTGGAACAGGAAAATGTTCACTATTAAGACAATTTAAAACAACAGAATATCGAGGCATTTATGAATATTCAAGTTCAGTTGGTAAGTTAATATATATATATAAATATTGCCTGACAGATATGATTGTTGTTTGATAACTGACGGCATCGACATTTACATACAGATGGTAAAGAGAATGATTGTTAATAAGCGATATGGATAGACTGTTAGTATGAATTAGGCACAATCTGATGAGTATTACAACATATATAAACAACAATATTACATAAAAGAAAAGCAGTTATAATGATGAATGAGAAAAGACAATGAGATTGTTGAGATGTTTTGTTAATGCTCTTTATGTATGTATACTCAACAGTTAAGTAGCATACTTGAAGGAAATCAATATATAAATAAGTGTTGAAGTAGCTATACACACACATATATATATATATAGCATGGAAAAGAGTCATAATTTTCTTCATTATAACTATCTATGTTTATCTCTAAAAGCTTTCACCAAATAATTATAAATATGAAGTTCGATCTAAACAGTCATTGACCTGTCCTATTACATAGAACAACTTATAATTGATTGAACTTCATATACTCAATAAATAAACACATAGTTAATCAGACTGTCATATCTTATAAAACTGTATTTGTTATACATGTCTTGATAGAATACATTCTGCCGCTATATTAGACAACATATCGCTTCGTCATACTATATTAATGGTTAGAAAATTCTATGGAAAGAAAGAAAAAAAAGTGAAAGAGAATAAAGAATCATTATAGTCTTCGTATACATTAATGATCAACTATACTTTTCTTTAATAATTTCCGATAGACATTTTTATTTTGTTATTTATAAATATTATTCAAAAAAAAAAGAAGACGTTCTACTTCGGAATTCTTTTACAATTCAACAGACTATAAAAGAAATTAATATAATTTAATAAAACCAAAATCTGATTTTATCTAATAAAAAATCTATTTAGAATCTTCGAAGTATTGCAACTCAAGTCAAAAGAAAATATATATTTTTCATTATACTATATACTTAACAATGTCATAACTGTGTTATCTAATATGATAAATAATGATTTTATCAGTAACAGAAAGTCATTTCTTGAAGAAACATTAAGATTAATTTTTCTCGATTCTACTTGATAGATATTCAGAATGATTAGTTCACATGGGAATCATCAGAAATACTGATAATATTTAAAAAAAAAATTGAATATGATTTTATTTATTTATGATCGATTCATTTTTCTTAACAGAAGATGATCCTGACAATACTGTATCAATAATGCTCGATGGAATTGAATCTCGTTTACATATAATTAACATCGATGTTGATCTTGTATGTATAAATCTTTATTTCAAAAACGAAACGAAAAAAAAAATAATTAATTCTTTAGAAAATAACTGGCGTTGGAGGTGATGCATGTGTTGTCGTATATTCGATAACTGATCGCCAATCCTTTCAAACAGCAATTCAATTAATAAAACATATTCGTGAAAAAGAACTAACCGATAATATATCAACAATAAAACGTTCTATACCAATTATTTTAGTTGGAAATAAATCTGATCTTGTACGTAAACGAGCTGTAACAAAAGAAAGTAAGTTTTATTTTTCTATGGTATGAATACAAAAAATTTTATTTCTTATTTTTTTTTCAAGCTGCTCGTCATGCAGCCTTTCGATATGATTGTAAATTTGTCGAAACATCAGCTGCAATTAACGATAAAGTTGATGATTTACTTGCTGGTACATTGAAACAAATACGTATAAATGAACAAAAACGTTTTGAACAACGACGTCGTTTAACTGTTACGAATGGTGCAATCGATATTACGGATGTTAATGCTGATAAATTATCTGATTCAGCTATACGAAAAAATTCAACCGTATATAATCGAAATTCTAAAAATGTTTTTTCCAAATTTTTAAATGTTTTCCGAAAAAAACCATCAAGATTACCAGCCGATGTGGAAAATTTAAATACAGATATTCGTTAAAAAGAAATTAACATTCGTATTACATGTTTATGTATATATCTATATATATCAAACAAGAGCAAAAGAAACAAATGTAATTTTTATTTATCTGTATTGTTTTATGCATTGAATAAGAAAAAAAATATTGAAGATTATCCTGCTATTAAATGACTAGTTTATACATGTTAAAGATTTTGTTAACTTGTAAAAGTAAATTACGATTGAATAAAAGAATTTTTGTCTTTTATATATTGTTCTTTCATTTGATTTAAATATATCTGATTAATTCTTTGCAATGTTTAAAAATAGGTCAGTTATCATGTTATATATTGTAGTTACTTGCCGTGTACAAAAAAAACAAAGTTCTCTTCTTTGATTATTTTTCTGAAAGAGAAAGGTATTTTCTTCAATTGGATACACATGAAAATATTGAGACCAGAAGTCATCCTTGTTATCTGAAACATATTGTAGATCGTAAGAGTCATTCATAAAAATAAGTGGCTAAGATATCGATGTAATTTGCGGAACGACCATCAGACCCTGAGGGTATGAGTCTTCTTTTGAACTATTATTACAGACTAACATCCGCTTTCATTGGATCGTGATAAACCGTTCATTATAGTTGCAATTCACTGAAATAACCAAGGAAGTTTTGTTTTTTTCAATTATTTCTGATTAAAATCAATTGAAAGCATATGATTATAACAGTAGAAAGTGTGCTATCTGCCAGTACATGAAAATTAGGCAATAATAGAAATTTATTTCAATAAATCGAGCCTATCCAGCCCCACTGGCTCCATCGCCTATGTGTTGAGAATTAATTCAAAATGAAATACGTTCACGGACATAGGAAGAGTATTTCTAGAAGAAAGTGTACAAACGAATATAATCATTGAAGCAAATATTTTTGCGGAGAAGATAAAACAAACTATTGACCATTATAAAAAATAAACTTAGATATTAAATGTATTCACGTCATTCAATCGAACGAAACAAAATTCAATGAACACAGTTATCGATTTAAAATGAAGCTAATACTATATTTTGTTTTTGATCTAGACGAAATCTATGTATGAAGTAACTGATTACAGTTGTTGAATGAATTGATAATGTTCGATACGGTAAAGTTGTTATGCATCTATAGAGCTCTTTTCGTAACTAATGTTACAATCTTTGTTTTGATTTCGATTCAAGATTTTTTTACGACAACCATTCATAGACTTCTATGAATACTTGCGCAATCACTTGTAGATTATTTGTGAATGATTGATTACTTGATGATTTTGATTGAATCGCTATATATTATTTAATTATGACAAATGAAATAACAAGTTAGTTACAATTTCTCTGTACTCCAATTCCATCTTGGCTTCGTGTTATATCATTTACATTTACGATTTCGAAAATATGGGAATGGTATGATACAACTATTCTGATATGGAAAGGAAACTCGCTAAGAAAGACAGGATTTCTACATATTTATCATCATGCCACAACATTTCTATTATTTATAATTATCATGGATTTTCCTGGTACAGAAAAGAGTGGTATGTTAATCAATGGTTTTGTTCATACACTGATGTACTATCATTTTGCTTTTCGTTTACTCAAATTCTTACGACCAATAATAACAACAACAATGCAAATTGTACAACTTGTCACAGTTATATACATATGGTGAATTATACCGAGTTCATGTCCAGCATATGAACGTTTTATTGAACGAATTTCATTTTTATTTTCACATAACTCAGTAGTTGTGGAAGTAGATTTCATCAAGAGGGAACAAACTGATTTCATTATTTTTTGAGTACATTTGTAAGAGTTAACTATAATATTTATTTAAAAATTCTTTGAACTATATTTGTAATATCTATATGAAAGAAAATACCGAAATCATTTTGAATAAATAAAGCTGATATAACATATAACAATGAAAGAAAAAGAGACATCCATTAGTTTCAAACACTAAGAAACTCGTTAATACTACGTTCGTGTCGTTCAAGAACAAGTCGACGAATATTGATTTGTTCGAAGACTTTTTTAGTTGGCCTATCTAATAATGGATTTGGATGATCAACATAAAATTTCTAAAAAAAAATAAAATATTAAGTTTATTTAATAGTTAAAATCTTACTTGAACTTCTTCAGCTCGCTCTTTCGTAACAAAGTGACTTGGGCAATGCTAAAATAAATAAATATTTATATAGAAAAATATCTTAGTTTATTATACTTCAACAGCATGTATCAAATGACTATCATTTTCACCATAAATTTCTTCAATTTTATCCCAATTTTGTTGCATATAATTCCATACTATTTCACAACCTTTTGGATTATGTGCTGCTAATGATTTAAATGCAGTAATATGATCTTGTTTTCGAACTTCATCCTATAATAAAATCATGTCGTATTATATTTCAAACATGAAAATCGCAATTACTTCATTCCATATATATTCAAGTGCTTGACGTTGAATATTTTCATCATCAAAACAAGTAAGTGCAATTAATAAACGAATACGTTCTTCTTGTATTTCAGATTCACGATAAAGCTAAAAGAAAAAAAATGATTAAATCTATCATTGTTTATTGGAATTATTACTAATTTAAGTTTGTCAAATATATCTTGATTTCCTGTTTTAGCAACAGTTAAATAAATTGCAGAACGAATATTTGGATTAATCGATTGATGATTTTGATTATTGCCAGCAAATAATTGTTCAAAACGTTTATGTGCCTCATCACGTGTTTTATTATGTCCATTAATACCCATTTGAGTTAATATTAAACCACGAAGCATAGCTGTTTGTGAACCTTCATTTGGTAAAGGATCCCATAATAATTTACCATATATATGTGATAGAAAATCACATACATATGTTTCAAAAAGTTTTTTTGTATTCTTAATTGAACCATAATCAAGTATAGAATTAAGATCATTTAATTGTTTTATGATTGATTTCCAAACAGTGAAATTATCTTCATGTTTATATGCTTGCCGAAGGAATTTTAAAAAATCAACATAACTAACATGATTAGAACGTGCTAATGCATATAAATCTGCTTGAATATTGAAACGATCTTGAGGAGAAAGAGTTTGATCTTGTATACCATGTGTTAATGCATCAAGCATAGATTGTGGATAATTAACACGATACACACCAACGCTAAAATCAATAGAAATAACATATTGCTTCTGTTACATCGTAATACTCTTATTCTAGTTTGACTGAAACTATGCTCGAGTCGTTCAACAGTTTCGGATTTGCATTTAAGAGAACTTTTGCCTATTGGATATAAGTTCCTAGATACCTCTACGTCTATCTTGTCATCAAAAACATACCTGAATAAATTTAATTTAATCCAATCTGTTTCTGGTATTTTTTCTAATAAAAATTCTTGTTTTTTAGTTCCATCCATAAATAATTGATGAACACTCTCATTTGGATTTGATTTTGTACAGATATTTATTGGAATTTTCCATTTAGGATTATCATCTATTGATCCATCAGCAAGAAATCGTGTTTGTTCAATTGTTAACAATCGATTATTTCCTTTTTGTTCTTGGGTTATCTTTTTGTTTTTCAAGAAAATCAAAATTAAGAGATAAAAAATCAATTTGTAAACATACGTTTAAAACTGGATAGCCCACTTGTTTTGTCCATGACGAAAGAATATCCGATAAATGAGATCGGTTCGCCGTTCGAGATAAATGTGACCAAAGATTTTCTGTTATTGTATTTTTATATGCATATTCAGCAAGATAATTAGCTAAACCTGTACGAAATGCTTCATCACCAATATACGAATGAAGAAAACGAATAACACTTGCACCTTAACAAATTAATCCTTTCAAAAGATGAATATTTTCAATTTAAAATCATACCTTTTTCATATGTAATATCATCGAATATTTCACTTATTTCACTTGGCCGCTTTATATCAATTTCAATAGGATGACTATTATGAAGAGCATCTGGAATCATACATGTTGGCAAATTATCAGCTACAAATTGTGTCCATATATCATATTCAGGATAAACATGATCAACAGCTAAAAATTGAATCCAAGCTGCAAAACGTAAAACAAAAGAAGAAGAAGAAAAAATACAAGACATAAAATATTGTATGAAATACTTATCTTCATTAAGCCATAGATCATTCCACCATTCCATTGTCTATATAAATGATAATTTTTTTGTAAGAAAATTAAAGAGAATAAAAAAATGACTTACAACTAAATTTCCAAACCATTGATGTGCTAATTCATGAGCAACAATAAGAGCAACTTCTTGTTTAGTTTCTTGAGTAGTATTATGAGTATCGACAAGTAAATATGTTTCATGATATGTTATTAAACTAAATATTTTAACAAAAATGCAAATTTTAAAATTATAGAATATTTAAATTACCCCCAATTTTCCATTGCACCTAAAAAGAAAACGATCAATTAAATAAAATAATCAATTTTTGTTATTTACCAGAACCAAAATCTGCAATAGCAACATTATCGACTTTACTTAATGGATATTTAATACCGAAATATTCAGCATAGAATGGAAGAATTTTAGCTGTAGTCTATAAAAAAAAGAAGAATTTAAAATAGATTTTAATCAAACAAAAAACTAACATGTAAAGCAAATAATCCTTGTTCTTTTTTGCCAACTGGTGTATAAACTCGAATTAATACATTATTTGTATCATAAGTTTCAACATAATCATAAGCTCCAATAACATAAGCAACTAAATATGTTGACATAATTGGTGATGTTTCAAATTCATAAGTACATGTATTATTTTCATCATCTTTTTGTGATTTAATTGGCTACGAAAGACAAAAAAAGATAATTCATCGTTGAAAAAGATTTGTTTTTTTCTATACCATGTTACTTAATGTTGTTAAATGTTTAGGTGCTCGAATAGTTATAGTAAAATTTGCTTTAAATGATGGTTCATCAAAACAAGGAAAAGCACGACGTGCATATGCAGGCTAGAAATAAACAAATTTCAAATGAAATCTTTGAGAGAAAATAAATCGTATGTACTTCAAATTGTGTACATGCACCAATTTTATTTTTATCTTTAGTTCGATAAAAACCATGAAGTTCATCTTCTATTGTTCCATTAAATTCAATATGAAGACGACCATTTCCAGACTAGAGAAAAAACAATGAAATTAATTTTTCAAAAATATGTATAGAATTTTTACATCGATTGGTTGTGAAAATCGTATAATTGCTAGTTCATATTCATCATTTAATTCAACAGATCCATTCAAAGAAGAAGTTGAATTATTTTGTTGATATTCAATTTTTGTTATATTTAAATCAACACTATTCAATATAATTTCATTTACAATTTCATTAATCTAAGTAATCAATAATTTCTTTTGAAATTTTCTATTTTTCGAATTCTCTTACTTGAACATCTATATCTACAATTCCTTGAAAAAGATATTGATCAAGTTGACTAACATCAAGATATAATTGATAATGTTTCGGTATAACAGTTGTGGGTAAGCGATTACTTAATTCACAAACTGATTTATCAGATGGAGTCGTCATGGAACTACTTGATATATCTAAATAATACAATTTGAATAAAATCGATTAATACAATTAGAAAAACATACGAATAAAAACGCAAAGAACGATAAGCCCAACTGAAATACAAGTCAGCCAGTTAAATCGTCCTCTAATGTTATCAAATAGTTTGCACATCATATTTCTTATCTTATTCTGTAAATGTGTAATCATTTCCTTTCTCTATTCATACAGTCATGCGAATAATACGCATACATATATATATACTTGCATACCGTCTATACTTAGAACGAAAACAATTTATTTCCAAAAGACAAAAATATAGTATGAATCTTATTCAATTGATTTTTTCTTTACGTTAGAAAATTTGTCGCTAACTTATAACAGACAGTTGTATTAATATACATATAAATAAAAAACTTGTTAGTATTATTATGATGAGTCATCTGGAATGAACTTTAAATTAATCAAAGTATAATTATGTATTTTATCATATAAGCATGTTACTTCATAATTAGTTTTAGTTGCAAAGAAAAAACAAGATTAATTTACATATATTCTATTAACTATGTAATGAATACATATCTATTTATTTTCTGTATATTCTAATTTCATTCAATAATCGATAGATAAAATTTCGGTCAAAAATATTAAATTATTAATGAACTGAAGTTAGTAAGAGAAAATCGTATATTATATAAAGAAATGATACATCGATGAATGTACAATTGACAGATTCGAATGACTTATATATAAAGATTCTCATCTCACTCATACTAATAAAATGATATTGTATTTTTTTTATAATATTATTAATATATACTTATTTTTGCTTATCATTTTATAGACCAATAAAAAATAAAATAATGTCTCTACAGTGCTTTTCAAATGCATAAAAACAACATGCTTTCGCACAATGACAGCAAGTGTTAAATTGTCAGTAGTAGACGAGCGCTCATCACTAGATTATATTTACTATTAAACATAGTACTCATACATGTCGAGTATTTTAAATGAAAAGTAAAGAAATACATTACAGATATGATAACCTAAGTAGAAAATAGCGTATATAAAGAATAAAATATTCAACAGATTTTTTATTGATAAAAGATGTGCGTCTACAATACACAACTTAGCTATACATTTGAACTTAAGAGCTGATACCGATGCTTAACCGGTATAGATATTAAAAATTAAATTGTAAAATTAACTACTTGGAACTCAATGAAAATGGTTTAGTCGTAATACGTTTTTAGAATACGAATAAATAAAATCATTATATATTTATGGTAGTAAGCAACATATACTCAAAGTAAATTTGATGCAAAGATAAGATGCGCTCACTGTAATTATAATATTTTACGTATTTGGCATTTTTTCCTCACGATAAACTATCTAAAACATTTCACAAATTAATCAGGCATACGATTATGTTGTTATAGTCTATGGCGGTGTTTTTAGTTGACATCCAGTTATATAACACTATTTTTTATTTTCCTAAATACTTGATTGATTAAGAAAGAGAAGCAACAACTATCTGGTCATTATTATGGGTGTAATAGTTCAAGCTCCAATTCACTTGAACTGATGCATCACTTTTCCCTCTTAGAACTGATATGAAACTATTACATTCCTATTCGAAATATTAATCAATTTTTTTTACTTTAATATATATGATTTACACCTATCCTATAATAGTTAATAAATTGTTTATTACAAACAATCATAGAGATTTGTTATTTTGATAAACCAAGTATACTTGTGAAATCTTATCCTTATGTAACTCTATAATCTATATTGTGAGTAGTTATAATAATAGAACGTATCATAAATCGTAACTATTTGATAAATTAATATATCGAACTTTTAGAAAATAATCAAGATGAATCAACATACTTTTTTATACTCAACAAATCTGATAGACTATCATGTTTTTATGACTTATATGTCGATTATAAACAGTCTATATAAGTTCAATTAAGTAATATTATCTTATTCAATTATTATTAGCCTTCGATACTATTAGAATCATTTGTCTGATGCATATATCTTATCAGTTAATATTATACAAACATTTGTATATGACTAGTACGCTGAGCTATCAATATTTTCAAATATTTCATATTGATAGAAATTCAAAAAAAATAAGTAAGACACTGAAAGAAGTAGTAGGTTTTTTAATTGAATTGCCATTATTTTCATGTATAGACGAACTTAGAATAATGATGTAATACATGCTGTTCCATACTCATTGACTGTAAGGACAATTTTCCATGAAGAATATTTTAGATGACAAAGTAATATAATAGTTACTGTAAAGGAATTAACATAAGAATTATTTCTCTAATGATCCAAAAGATATGAATATATGTTTTGTAGTTTCTAATTGATAATGAAAATGTCAATGACAAATATTTTTCGATCAAAATGTTTAAACAATCAAGTGATATATTGAAACTTTAATTTTAATATAGAATTCATTTTCATAATTCTTTCGATTTGTTTAAATATTTTTAAGAGAAAAAATAAAAGATTGAAAAGAAATTAAAAGAAAAAGAATAAATATAGAGAAGAATTAAGACGAAAAAGAAAAATTACAAGAAGCTTATTGACATAAAAATAAAGAATAAAATTTATAGTCATTGAAGATATATTTAACAGCGAAGGTAAAGTGTTCTGATAGTTTGATCGTTTGCGACAACAAGTGTTGGTTTACCATCGCTATTAATATTAATCATCGCTGCATACTCTGGTTCGTCAATGTTTTCAATAATTTTTTGCTCTATAAATGTTCCGTTACCTTCATTGAAAAAAATACTAATTTTATTGTCTTTACTATGTGAAAGAATAACATCCACTTTTTGGTCATTATTGAAATCGGCTATTTCTAAAGATAACAATTGATAATTACTGCGACAGCGAATTGGATCGGCGAATGTACCATTACCAAAACCGAAATGTATCTGAAAATCATAAGCGTATCCCACGATGAAGTCTATTTCATTGTCATCGTTTATATCAATAGCTTTAATGGAAACAGGCCTTTGGCCAAGCGAAATAGGCATTTGCTCGGTAAAATTTCCATTATTGGTATTTAAAATTACAAGCGTTCCATACCTTTGCCCAGTTTGTGTTGCAATGATATCAGGCGAAGCATCATTATTTACATCAATTACTTCCAGATTGGTTGGATTAAAAGTAGCGTCATACTCGATTTGTTTACTAAATACGCCATTACCATCATTCAAAAAAACGATAATATAGTTATACGAGTGAACGGCAATAAGATCAAGTTTATTGTCTTTATTAATATCATCTGCTTTCACGATAGATAGAATTGCTTCTGTTGGAATGATGATCGAATTGTTAAAATTACCATTGCCAGCATTATAAAAAACAGTGATGCCCGATGCATCGCTATCGGTAGCAATAATATCGAGCTTGCCATCATTATTAATATCACCTGCAGTTATACACGATGGTATGATTTCATTTGAAACAATTTTCGATTGAGTAAATGCTCCATTGTCAAGATTTAAGAATATTATAATAGTTTTTTCACCATAGTTTCCGACAATAATATCTAATTTGGTATCTTCATTAATATCAGCTAATAATACAAAGCTGGACGGACCACGTAAAGGCTTGAAACTTATTAGCACAGAATCTATCAAACATGAACCTAATACAAAAAACAATAATTTTAGATTATGCAGTGATTGTGAAGATGTAACTAATAAAAATAATGTTGACAGTCTTAATCAATTATCTATCCATTCTCAAATGCTCTTAATTTATGACATACAAGATTTCAAAAGCTTATGTACTATGAGTTATCAAGAGTGAACGACCGACTAATTTCTATTTTCATTCTAAGAGAGTTATACCGCTCGTTGTCGTCGTCGTTGTTGTTGTTGTTGTTGTTGCTGTTATCATTATTGTTGTTGTTGCTGTTGTTATCATTGTAGTTGTTGCTGTTCCTGTTGTTATTATTGCTGTTGCTTTTGTTGATAATGTTTTTTCTGTATCTCCACTTCTCTTTTTCATAATAATTATGGGAATAATAATAATTAGTATAATCAAAATAATGACCAGAATCGGTAATACAATCCGCATCCATTTTCTTGTTCGAATTTGTTCCCATCTAAAAATAATAAATACTTTTAATCATGAAACTCAGTTATGCTCTCATCCCATCCAATTTGTGTTTAATCTTAATACCGATATTTTATCATACTGTATTCTTATAAATATTTTATTAGTATTTTCATGATACATATATTCGTTTGTAAAAGCAAATTTCAATCGAAAAACACGATACTATCAATATATAATAATCAAAATGATAAAATACTTATGAGAAAAACAATATTTAAAAAATTGTCAATAGAAGAAGTGCTTTAATCAGACTAAGATCGAACTATTCGACTTTACTACATATAGAATTGAAAGTATACATACAATGTTCGTGATTGAGTTGTTGAACTTTGATCTATATTGATGCTACTTGATTGAGACTAAAATAATAAAAATTAAATTAAAATAAGCTCATATTATATTTTTAATAATTACATCACGAACACTTGTATTGTTGTAATGAATAGGTGATACTTCGTTCAACTTCACCATTTTGAAAAGATATACTTGCAAAAATATTTTTATTCCAAAGATTTTTACTAATCTAAAATAAAAGTTTGTCATAGTTTTACATGAAAAAAAGTATCTAAAACTATGATGAACTACTAATATCTTGATTATGTGAGACTTTCCATCAAAATAAGAAAAAGTACTTATAATAATAGAAATGTTATTTAAAATTTAACAATGTATTCTCAAGAGAAAACGAGAGGAAACAATAATACTTCTATAACTTTGAATGAGAAATCATTTCCTTGACTTATTGAATAGATATCAACTATTCAGAAAATCATCAAAATGCTTGTAGATGTTCTTCTACCTGGGCTGCGATTCGACCTATTTTTCCTATAAATCCTATATTTTTGACGAATCCTCTAATTTGTCCTATATTTCGACTGCTTTTCCTATTTTACCTATATTTTATCGAAAAACAGAGAAATATAACTGATTTTATAAAAATATGAGAAAATAAAAGATTATTCAAAGAGTATTAGCCGAATTTTACACCGACAAGCTAGTGAGTACTGAGAAAGTCAGTCTTTATACATTAAAAAAAAGATCGAATATATATATATATATATATATGCGCATGTAGAGACGCTGTCAATTAATACACGTAAGACGGCGATATCTATTGTACGTAATATTATTTGTATTTTCACATCTTCGACGAATTTGCTAAGAAATTATTTAATTAAATCTTCTACAGATCCAAAAGTCAAAAGAATAAAACTAATGTATAGAAAATAATCATATGTTCTGCGAACCTTTTTTCGCAGTTTCACGTATGTACAAATGTGCGTATTTTTGTGATAAGTTTTAGCAGATAGATGCAACATGTATAAAGGGAGTGATAAAAAAATCATCACTTTTTACTCACGCTAGAAATGTCATAATACGAAAGTCCCTATTACCTAGCTCACAAATCCGGTATCTATTCGTCTAAGTCTGATCCTTTTTTTTTTGGTGTTTCCCGAAGGGCGATACCTGGCTCTCAGTACTAGACTCAGGTACCCCTCATAGAAATCGCTGAAAAAAGGAGCAGATCTAGATAAGCGGATGTCAGAATCGTGATCCAGGTGACAAGGACTTTCCTATTATGACATTTCTAACGTGAGTAAAAATTCATGATTTTCGAACATCCTCTCTAACCCTTTGATTACGTGTCACATATATATATATGTGCTGACTACTACATTTTGATACATTTCTAAAAGTGCTTAACCCTTTCAGGACCGTGGCACATTTGTTGTACCACCTATCTGAAGGGAGACCCAGCCCTTTCAGAAATAATTTTTTTTTCTGAGATCGCCATCAAAGAGATAGTTTGTGAATGACACACCGATGTGAAAAAGATAAAAGCAAAATTGGTCCTGAAAGGGTTAAATATAACAAGAAAGTTTATTTTAGCATTTTGTATGATAAAAAAACCATTTTATTCTAAATAAAAATTCCTTAATCAAAGGGTTAAATAAGCATTTATTTATTCATCAGATTTAATTATGAGAAAAGTATTTGTTTGCTTTTTCGCTATTTATTTTTGAAAGTTTACGTTTTACTTCTTTTTTTGTTATTTACTGAAATGTGAATAAACTACATTATAATCGAAATTTCAAACGCCATTTGATTTATATGATTATTTTGATAGCAAAGAATTAAGCAACTGTAAGTAAAGTGTGATCGTTTGCTCTAATTCTATCAAAGGAAAAATATGGAGTAATAAAACTAACAAAACTATATGTTTTCACAAAAATAATACATACCTATATTTTTGCCATTTTTTATGGAAAATCCTATTTTTACACAAAAATAATCCTCTAAGGATTCCTATTTTTTTGAAAATTCGCAATCGGAGGCCAGTCTTCTACTTTTAAGAACATACTTACAAATATGAATCTTTCAAAGAGAATGTGGTTGATATATGAGAACAAATTACTTATCCCTATTTGTAATATTGTCTAGATGAAATAAATATTACAGCTGAGAAATACATGCGTGTTGCCTCTCCATCAAACATAAATTTACTTGATAAACAGGTGATCTTAGAGTTGACAGTATTGAACCTGAAAACTACGTGCCAAAAATCATGTTTCCTATAAAAAAGTTAAAAGACATTCGAAAAAGTGATCGATCATTTTTCTGTTGTGGTTCTCCCAGATATATCTTTATCAATACTTTTTTATGAACGATTTTGTACTTGTAGTTATCAAATTTCCTGAAAAAAAGTAGTGGAGCTATTGTGACCATTTATATGAAATTATTTCGATATTATTTATAGTCACAAAAAAAAAGATGAGACAAAAAATATTATATACAACATTTGAAAATAAGTTTTTAGATGTAATAAAAAAAAAGCAAATATTGTTGATCATGTATTAATGAACATGCATCATAAGTAATGTACACTCTGCTTCTAGTAAAACAACATATGAACGATGGATGATAGGAGATATATTTTACAGAAACATTCATATGAAATAGTCATTTATCAAGTCATTTTAGACAAGGAATGTGACTATTAAAGCTCGTGAGCTCGTGATAAATTTTTTTCAAATAAATTTGAACTGATATGGAACTGTCATATATCTGGTCATTATCTCTTATATTTGAAGTTATAGATGAGTTGATGGTTTAAAAAAACATAATATGAAAATAGTTAATAATATTTTATAACCAAACTACCATGCATTGACCAAGGATGTTTTTATATAAGACGCACTTGCAACAATCAAGATTAAAAGGACAAAGATTATATAGTCACATATATTTTAAATTATATTGATGAATCGAGCAGTCAATGTAGTAAAAATGACATATATTTTGTATATAAAAGAGAAAAAGAATAATTTGTGGCTGAAGATCTTCTATATGATTTGTTTTAATGATCAGTTTTTGCAAAAACTATTATTAATCGGCTATCTCGATATACAGCACACTCGTGTTGTTCTTCTTTTTATTCATTTTGCCAAAACTTCATGCTTTTTTTCAGTGATAATCAAAGAGCAAAAATTATGTAAATGGATAAAAATTTCTTTAAAACATATCAATATGCTACTCGCCTTTTGTTTTGAGAATCTACTTTTGAATCATTTAAAAAAAATATATATTTATTAAAGAAAAGTAATATAATTTTAGTATATTCAATTATTCATGCCGATAAATTAGCCATATGAAACTCTCAACCAAATCCAAACTCATAAGAGTATATGAATACTAGTCATAACATTCAATAGACTTGAAATCTATAATTCGACTAACATTAAAACAAAAGTGAACTGATATTATCATTGCCATATTAACATCCTATAAATTCTAAACAATTGAAATATATGTTCGTAATATCAATATTAAAAATAACAAACAATTATTTTTTTTTAAATGAAAATCTATTCACTCAATCAATCATCATATAAATCTCAGTCAACATGGAATTTTGTCATTCATGAGCATCAGTCGGCCCTTCCAATTCATCTTTGACTTATATGGTGTTGATAATTCATATAGATAGATTCGAACTCACATCCTTCCTCTTCCAAATAAATATCATTATAATTATTTGAAACTACCAAAGCCATTCAACTAAATATTCATATTAAAAATACTTACGAATTATCTCTTAAATAAATATCATTTAAATATAGAATGTACTTAGAAATCAATATGATAGGATTTCATCATCTGTGACTAAAATGACCATAAAGTAAATAATATATAGAATTATACAAATAAATTTTGACGAGAAAGAGAAAGAAATGAACAAACACAAATAACAATTGATGAGACAGACGAAATTTTGTATATCGTCGACATTTGTATCGTTTGCAAAGAAACAAAAAAAAACAATCATTGTCTTCTAAGGAAAACACATAGGCATAGATAATAAATGATCATTTTTGTTGTTCTCTGTACATATATCATTAGAACAAGACAAAGACGAAGAGAAGAATAAATCAATCATGCCTATAAATAATGATAAAACAAAAAGAAAAAGAAAAAAAAAATGTTATTCAATTCTAACGATGACTTACAACATCAAAGAATTTTTTTTTTCAAAATAGTTTTTTTTTCGAAAGAAAAAGAAAGTTTTTGTTACTATTATTCTGCTTACCTTAAGAAGAAGGTGCAGTTGTTGAACTGCTACCATTAGTAGTATTTGCCGTTGTTGAACCAACGCCATTTGTACCATTATTCCATTGTGCATAGGCTCCCCATGGATTACCAGCTGACATCATCATAGCAGCAGCAGCGGCGGCTTGTGCGGCAGCAGTTGAATCCGTTGACGATGAATTTGTTGTACTTGTATCAGATGTGGATGTTGCCGTCGAACCAGGCTATAATAGAATATGATTGTGTTTTCAATAACACCAATATAAATAATAAAATTATTACCTGTTTCATTTGTTGCATGATTTGATCAGCAACATCATTTTGTCCAATGGATCGATAATATTCAATCCATTGTTGACTATAATCGGGTTGTCCAGTAGTTGGATTTATTGCTATAATAAATATTTTTAACAAATAGAACTAATGATAAAGAAAGTAAATATATACAAACCAGGTGTAGTAGAAGTATTATTGTTAGTAGCTGTGGAATCTGTTGCTTTAGTTGTTGTTGTAGGTGTTGATGTACCAGAAGAAGTTGCTCCTGTCATACTTGCTTGCATCATATTATAATAACTCATTGATTGATAATAAGCTAACCAAGCTGGATCCATTTGTGACATTGCAGAAGCATCTGTAGCTGCCGATGAATTATTGTTCGTTGCATTAGTATCATAAGGATTCACTAGTAAAAAGGTAAAAGACATATATATATATATATATATTTATTTATTAAAAATAAAAAATTAATACTTGTAGGCCATTGTCCATAAGCACTAGCCCATTGACTATAAGGATCAAGTGCAGCAGCTGCTCCATTAGTATCATGTCCATATGGATCATTATTTCCACTCCATGAATCAGTTAGATTTGATCCAGCCAATGGTAAATTAAATTGTTGTTGAAATTGTGCTGGTGTTAACGTATCACCAGGACCACCAGGACTATTAATAATTTTATCATACATTAATTGTTGTGCTACAACGATTTGATCAGGTGTACCACGTAATTTAAATACTCTATCCGAAGAATTTCCAATTGCAGGTACATATGCTTTATCAAGTTCAACAAAAGCACCTGATTTTCGATTAATTTCTTTAATACTTTCACCACCTAAATTTATTTTTAAGATAAAAAATAAAATAAAATAAATCTATATACCTTTGCCAATTATAATTCCTGCTTTTTCATGAGGTGCATGATAAGTTGCTTCATTACATGGACCACTCATTGGTGCACTACCAGCCTAAAAATTATACTTTTCATTAAATTATAATTTAACAATGAAATATTTACTCGTGAACCATAATCAGTAAAAGTTGAATTCGTTGAATTTGTACTCGAACGATTTGGTAATGGTATACCACCTGATTTTGCTAATGAGTCAAGTATATATTGTTTAGCACGCTACAATAAAATAAAAAATTATCAATAATAATCTTCTTTTTGTCGAATCTCTATATTACTTCAACTTTATCAGCTTCTCCTGTCATTTTTAATGGTTTATGTTCAATTCCATCAATCTCAGATGTTTCTTGAGCAACATACATCTTAACACCAAATTCTTCCTAAAAGAAAATTTTTTTTATCAAATAAAAAAAATCGAAATGATTCTATCTACTTACGCATACTCGCTTAATATTTTCTCCACCTTTACCAATAACTAATCCACATTTAGCTGTTGGTAACATAACATCAATAGATTTTATATTTGTTCCACCCATAGAATATGGATTAATACCAAGTGGACCACCTTCAGCCATTTTACCTTTTGCAATTATATCATCCATAACACGTCTAGCACGATCAATAGCTTCTCTTGATCCACATAAATTTGCTAAACGATCAGGTGGATTTGGACCACCAGGTACAGGTTCAGGTCGTGTTTGACATATTTGAACTTTACAACCACTTTCAGCTTGAAGTCGTATTATTTGTTCTCCACCTTTACCAATAATTAAACCAACAAATTTATCTGGAATTTTATAATCTTCTTGAAATGTATTTTGATTTGATAATGGTAATAATGATGAATCAGTAGATGATGATTTAACACCTAATTGAGAATTAATTTGTTGTGCAACAAGCTGTGCTCGTAAAACTGGTGTAGGTATATCAGACGATTGTGTTGGAGAAGTTATTGCTGGACGTTTATTAAAAGAATCATCTTCACTATTTGGTCGTTTTAATGATGTATTTCCAGATACGTTTGGTGCTGATGCACTTAATTTTTGTGCTATTTGTTTAGCACGTGCAACAGCATCTTGAAAAGATGAAGAATTATTTATCATATTTTTATATGATTTTTTTGTTTGAATAATGCTTGTTACAAACTATTCATTGTGTGTATGTCTGTATGTGTCTATCAGCCATTGTCGTTTTTTTTTCAAAATGCATTAATGCATAGAAAAGAAATAATCGAATGAAAGAGGATTGTTACTATGGTGATAGAAACAACCAATGGAGAATAGTGACATGAGACAAGCATGAATTTAATGTGTAACGTATCTTCTGATGTCTTGAAACTAAATCTACAGGTGTTTATTTTATAAAACTTAATTTTTTAGAGTATATATATGTATATTTGGAATGTAATAAGAAGAAAATGAGTAGTGGAGATACCGTTCGTGATCAATTTTCTGCCTTACAAAGACAACAAAAAGAACGTCTTAATCAATTACAAGAAAAATCAACAAAGAAAAAAGTGCCAACAATTGATGTTAGTCAAAGATTTTGATTTTATTTGATTTGTTTTTTATTTAAAATATTTAGGCAAGTAATTCAATGAATTTTGAAGTTGATTCTGGTCCATTTCCACATGAAGAAGTGCGTAATTTTCTTTTTCATTACTTTCAAATGAACGATTTATTTAGAATAATAATGTCATTGCATCTATTATCGCTGTTCAACAAGAAAATCAAAGTGAACAACTTCGAGTAAGAAAAATAATATGAACTGATTAAAATGATATTATTTATTGTAAAGGAATTACGTGATGAAAATGGTCGTCTACGAAAACTTCTAGCTGAAAAAGATTATGAAATTGATTATTTACGTCGTATACAAGAAGAAGAACGTCAAGCATTCACAGGTAAAGTAAGTGTTGATTAGAAATTTTTGATTTAATTATGAAGACATTTTTTCTGTTTAGGTCCTAATGCAATTGGTGGCGATGCGATAGCAACGAAAGTTGTTGATTTATCAAAAAAGAATAGAGAATTATCTGCTGAATTAGAAAGTGAACGAGCAAAATTAAAAAAATTATCAATTAAATGTAAAGAATTAGAATTAATGGTAACTATTAGCGAAGCAAAATATTCTGAATTATCTTATTTTTCTTTTTAGACTAAAAATGCCAATGTCGATGTACGACAATCTTCAGCTCCTGTTGATGAAGTAAATATAAATTAATTATAAAATTCGAATTACTTTAAAATTTTTTTTTGCTAGAATAAAACAGAAAAAGAAATGAAAGAGTTACGTGATAAACTAAAAGATTTACAAGCTCGTCATACAGAAGCTAAATCTCAACTTGATATTTCAAAACAAGAACTAAAAAAAACTCAAAAGGTATTATTTCATTATATATATATGGAGAAAAACAAATTGTCTCGATCTCTATTTTAGGCATTAGAAAAAGAAGTTGGTGATACAGTCAATATTCAAGCAATATTAAATGGTACAAGTAATTGGCGTGGTCGTCAACAACAAATAATAGCTTTACAAGAAAAAGTATTTTGTACAAATAAAATCGTTTAAATTTAATTTTCTATTATAGTTAAATGAATTCAAAGCACGAGCAACTCGAAGTTCAAGTCCTAGTTTAAATGAAGATTGGGATGGTAATTTATTAGGATCAAAATATGATGAAACATCATCATCAAGTGCTCAACAACGTCATCGTGATGAAATACGTCGTATGGAACGCGAGCGAAAAGATGTACTTGAACAACAAAAACAAGAACTTCAAACATTACGTACTGAACATCAGACATTAAAAGATAAATTTGAACAATCAAAAACTCGTAATACAGTTTTATCGAATGAAGTTAAAACATTACGTGAACAATTGAAAGCATCATTAGAAAAAAGTAAACATGATGATGAACTTGTTGATGTATTACTTAAACAACAACAACAAATGAAAACAACACAAGAACAAATACAAAAAGATCTTGATGTTAAATCAAAAATTACTACAGAAGTCGAACAAACAAATAAACTTGATCAAATGAAACAAGCAAATATGGTTAAACAATTACAATTAATTGTTGATCAAAAAGAGATGAAAATTCGTGAACTTGAAATGCATTTAGATGAAAATAGAATAAAAGTATGATATCTCTTATAAGATATACCGATAAAAAATCTTTAATTTTTATTTAAGTATGAAAGAGACAATAGTGATGCACGTTTATCAAATGGTAAACTTAATGATTCACTTGCATTCGTTAATATTACTAGCCGACATACTCCAGTACAAAGTGTTACTGTAGCACCTATGCAATTAACTGCATTAAAACAATCGTCAACAACAGATGCAGTTCTGAGTCGTTTAGAAAAAAGTGGATTTACGACTTCTTTAAATAATCGACCATCAAGTGCAGTTAATATCAAACGATCTTCAGTAAAATAACTAAAAATTATATATATATTTTTATTCATTTTCAACATTTTCTAAGGATGATAAAGATCTTCAATGTATGAATGCTGCATTAGAAGTTGAACGAAGTCGTCTTGTTGAATTTATTCAAACATTACAAAAACGTCTTGATACTTCTAATGCACATCATGTTGAACAAGAAAATAAACTGATTGAACAACGTAAAATGAATGTTCGTCTAGAAAAAGAAATGGAAAAAATTAAACTTGATTTAAATAATGTTAAAAATCGAACAGGTAAATTCGATACATGTTATTTTCGTTTAAAAAATTATACATAAAAACTTTATTTTCTATAGTTAAAGGACGTGGAGCAGTTCCATTATCAAAATCATCATCAACACAGTCGAATAATCATGAAACAATTGAAGAACTTGAAATGCGTTTAACACTTAAAACAGATGAAAATGATGCACTTAAAAATGCACTTAAATCAATGTTAGATGCAAAAGAAGAAGATTTAAAATTATATAATGAAACAATACAATCAGTTAAAGATATTTTTTTACAAGGAATTCAACATTATAAACCTTTACAAACTACAACAGACTAAATATAAAGATTTTTTAAACATAATTTTTTGGTTTTATTCGTACTTGGTACGAGTTGTTTTACAACAGATATAAATGTGTGTACTAAAAAAGTTTTTAAATAAAAATGTACGTCTATGCGTGTGCAAATAAAACGAAAAATGGCATTACATATGTCGCGGATGAATTGATAATGGCAGCGATCAGTTTTTTAAAATTGAAATATTGAAGAATTTCATAGCTGTAAACGAACCATGTTTTTGATCCATTTTAACTTCCGACTAGTAATGTGAAATGCCAAGTATCAAGTGAACAAATCATCTATGACCTAACCTCGATCATATCTCAAGAGTTAAGAACCATAAAAACAAATGCTTTCAAAAAATTTCTAGTCTTACTAATGTCAATCCACAGCTAAGAAATGCAGTTGAAACTGTTAAATGACCTGGATACAACGTCTCTGATGTCGTTTACTTATGATCAGTAAATATCAAAGTTATACTGCTGACGAACAGATGACTGATACTAAACGTATCAACAATATAGTTTATGTTACATTGTCATTCACATATACATGTATTTTTTTCTTTCTTCTATCAGATAACTTATATAATACAAATACATGTGTTCATTTCGTTTTCTTTAGTGCTTGAAATTTTCCACGTGTTCTCTTCTATCATGTTTCTTTTCGTAATTCATTCGATTTATTCTAGGCTCGTTCTCTCTATTCTCTTTCTCGTAGAGAAGAGTCCAGTAAACATAAATTGTTTGCTTCCTTGCTTGCTTGTTATGTCCGCAGGGTCAAAAAAACATCGAAGACCAATTTTTCAGAAAAGACATCTCTAAAGGTATTTCGATGCGGGAAGTTCAAATTTGATGTTACTTTTTTAAAATTCTTTAGAAAGAAAATGTTTTAGACAAAGGATCATTTTTTTACAAAAAAACTTTTTTTTCATATAAAATTTAACGAAATGGTTTTTGAGGACGGGGAACACGAATCTGATGTTAGTGTTTGCAAGTTATATAAGCAAAAGGTCCCGTAGCATTGTAGAACATCATTTCTACAAGAAAGAGCTAAGCGCATCCTTAGACGAGCGTTACTTGTATATATAGAGCCTATTTAGAAAAGAAAGCGGGGTATTTTTTTTGAACGATTAGATCATCCATTCGATCGATTTTTGTCTGTTGAAAAATGTCACAAGCATGAAACAATCTAGTTGATGAAACAAGACGTATGCGACGAATTCTATTTGTAAGACCTACAGGTGTTGGAAAATCTACTTTAATTAATATGTTAATCAATAATAATGTAAATGAAGATTCGAAAGCATGTCCGACTAGAATTGGTGATACTTCTCAAGGACACACATCATTATTTGTTGCATATTATGATTTGTCAAATAACGCCTACGCTGATTCTATAGGACTTGCTCACAACCGTTTTAAACCTGAACATGTTATGCATTCATTAAAGTCGATTCTAAAAAATTCTTCTGTTGGTTACAATAAAGTTTATATATGTATTCAATATGGTCGCATATAATCTGATACACGACGTTATATTGATTTGCTAACTACTATATTTGGTGATAGTGTATTAAAATGGTGTTCAATTATATTTATCTACTGTAATGATCAAAAGATGACAAAAGAAAATTATATATCAAAAAATAGTCAAGATCAAATGGAATTGAAATTATCAATCAAGTACAAACTATTATATTTGGTGATAATATGACGGATCAACCCAGGTCGATGATTTCTGAAGCAGCATTCCATGAGTTTCTGGTGAAAGTCCTCAGGAAGCTCACCGTTTTTTGCAGGAACTCTGCCGGAAAATACCATGAATTCGACCTCGGAATCAGTTACGGATGAAACCAAACAAATCCGGTCACCGGGAATACTGCTTCCATGAAATCTGCAAAATACCACGGAACTGACCGTTTCCATGCTGGATTGTTCGACCTGGAAAGATCGAGAAATGGAAGCCGTTTAAAAAAAACAAAGACTAGATTTTCTTAACAAAGGAAGATATGACTGATCACAATCTGCCTGTAATAACACAATGTAATCACATATTCCATAAAGTTTGTTTGGTGCGATGCGTTGAAGAAACACATAACAGGAATTGTCCAAAATGTCGTACAAATTTCAGTAATGCTCAAGAGACTTTCTGCACTATTTTAACAAATGATAGTTAGAGTACGAAATACTTTTTTGAAAAGAAGACTTTTTTGTATTAATATTTCAGCATATTATATAAATAAACTTGAAACAAAAAAACAGCAGATCTTACAATCGAAAATGCTCATTAGTACTTGAACTCGTTTGTTTAGAAGTATTTTACAATCACCCATTAATTGTTTATCTTCGAGGAATATTGAAATTAATAAATATATTTGAATTAAAGTTGTTAGATAAAACTGACCAAACAACACAATTAATCATGTTGAACTGATTGGGAACCATTCGATTGTTACAGGATGTGGGTGTGGGTGGGTTTGGTTGTGTGGTTGTCAGTATGCGAGTATGAGTGTGGGTATGGGTATCTATCATCTTTTAACCCACACCGGCATATCGGCACCCACATCCCCAAGAGAACGATGGATCGTAGTTATTGAAGCAGTAAAAGTGATTCTCTGGATTTGCGTAGGTTTACTGTTTTTGATAATAGATCTTATTTAGTTTATGAGAATGACAGTCTGTTTTGAAGAATAAAGAATGATTCTTACGCGTGCTCTTTATTCATTAATAGTCAAGTCTATCAATCATTTTACTTTAACAGAAATAATTCGAGAAAAAATCATGATTTTATTAGTTTTCAAGTTAAAAAAGAAAAATGATTGAATACATGCAATAACATTTGACGTCAATAGAGAAATGTCTTTAAAATATAGTTATAACAGCAAATTTTAAAACACAATCCCTTTGACGTTCTCGCGATTAGGTGTTCAACGTTATCTATAAAGATAATAGTTCTTTCTCAGGTATGTAGGCCTTACTAATACTCTTGCTTCTTTCATAAATATTACTGATATAAACAACGTTTTCCGTAGTGAAACCATGATTAAAAGTACATCAATAAGAGCATCTTTAAATTACTATCGAACTAAGTCTATTTATGTTGCGCTGTATGTATAAAAAACATCTAAAATTTGTCAGAGGTTCCTGAATTTTTGAACCGGAATTCAGATCAGCCAAAGATGTCTATCGGAAGCCCAAACCAATCTACTTTATTTAGTAAATTTATGCTCAAAACCGAATAATCCAAAGTGAAATATATAATTCATTTTGTAAAAAGAATCTGATGAAAATCAGCTTGAAAAGTATAAGTTTTAGCCCTGAATTAGAAATTTATGTTTTACCAATCTCTACTTCAGTGATAAATCTACGATTCGTGAAGGACATAACACAAGTTTAGGCAGAACTAAGGCTTTGCGAGCCAAATATGATAGTGTAAACTTGTTCTTTAAGCGTTTTCTTTAGAAAGATCCGATAGATTTTCTTGAAACAAAGAGAGACTCACTGATGAAATTGCCAAGCCCGTAAACTAGCTTTGTGGGTGTGGGTCTGGGGTTTATCCTCGTCGGATAGCAACTTTAAGTACTAAACTTCCTAAATTTAAATCGAATTTCACCATTGGATAAGCCCTCTTAGCATAGTAGAAACATATGTCGTGGTAGCTTATCATGCCCATACCCAGACCTACGCCCACACCCACCCTAGTTGAGCTTTTTAGATAATTTTGTTTTTCAGCATTGTAATCAATTGTTGTATGCTCATATGTTGATTTTATTGTCAGTTGTTAATGTAATGTCGTAAAATATAAACGTTTCTCTTCTAGAACGCAATATTAGCATTATTAGTGAAGCTGTAATATAGACATTTAATTGTTCAAAGAATTAATTCTTTGATCACAGTTGCTCTTTCAAGGATGCATCCCAAAATTTTATTTCGATGGCTATATAATAAAGTATGTAATTATAATCTTTTCATGCTCGAAGATGATGAGTATATTGATGACGATGATGAACCAGAAGAACCAACAACTGTTCTTAAAAAGCAAAAATATACAACCTGGTTGTATATTCTTTTTCTCATGGGTAAGTAAAGTGTGGAAGTGAGTATTATGTCGGTATCATACATACCTTCACTAGAGTTCATGATTTTTTGGAGATAGAGCCGCATGCTAATTATACTCATACTATTGTCAACAAAACCTTTTTATCTTGTTACTTGATAGTGACTCTACTAATACAAATTGCTTGTTTTTTACTTATCTATATTGTTAACTAATAGATTTCGTACTTCTACTCATCCACACATTCTCAAAAGTGAAATATAGATTTCATAAATATTAAAAATTAGTCAATGAATGCGTACAAGATAATAGATATTTAGTTATTGAAACTATGAAATCTTAGTTCTAATTAATAAATTCTGTCGAAAGTGGCAGATAGATTTTATTTGCTTTTGTAAATGAATCTCACTGTTATGTTATTCTTTATACTGTATTATCCTATATTTGTGTAGTTGAAGTAAATTTAAAAACAATTGTTTATCGAAAGATTCGAAGAAAAAACAATTCTATTGATATTTATGTTTCTTTATTTGTTTTCAGTGTCTCTATATATTCTTTTTTACATCGCTTTAATCAAGCCACAACTTCGAACGATCACTAAGCCATACATTACTACTGATATTTTCAATCAACTGTATGTTAAATATCCAGAAACTCTTAAATGCACCTGTTCGAACGTAACATTACCGTATGAAACTTTTGTTTCGCATAAAATCACATTTCATCCGGTTTGTTCGAGTATTTTCATTACTGAAAAATGGATTAAAGAATTGTATTTCTCAAATGCAAGTCAATATGGACCGTCGGATTTTCGAACAATAGCTAATTCTCAGGTTAGTCAATTTTATTTTCAAAACACCGATTTAATTACAAATAAAAATCATATCTATAAAGATAAAAGATCAGTCTTGATTATTGATCTATATTAAGTATAAAAACTATTTTCTTAATAAAATCATGTTTTTCTATTGATATCAATGAACCGAATTGAATCATCTCACGGAGTTTCGAGTAATGAATGATTAACAAATCTTGGAATCTTAATCTGATTAATACTTATTCAATTAGCATCTATATCATTGGTATTCATCGTAACGTAACTACACATGTTTTAGAATAATGTTTCAGAATTATTCTAAAAAAAGTAGTACGTTACCTTTCGGAATAAAGGAGTAGCAAATATTGTAGAATCCTACGATACTATGCATGATCGAGAAATTTCTGGAATATTCTGCAATTTTCATAAAAAACAGTATATACGACAGGATGTAGGTATGACTGAAGAAAAGACATTCGCATTATACAATCAATCTAGCAAAACATATTTAAGGGACTGAGAAGATTAATCTGTAAGATTATTTGAAATTGAGCTATTTTGTTTATGAATTATCTCGCGATGATTAATGTTTAGAGCAGAATAGAAATTACCAGAATTTCTAATATGATAATGATATATCCACTTAATCTATCGTAAATAATATGTTCAAAGTTGATTACTTTAATTGATTTTCTTTTTCAGTTTCAACTTCTGGCCAAATTTTGTTTACTCTCTGATCAAATAGTTCAGCAGAATCGTATTGATATTGACAAGAATGAATTTGTTACTATTAATCTTCTTTCTGAAGAACAATTTCATATACAAGTCAATGCTACCATTGAATCTTTTAAGAATAACGCATCTCTTCGAATTATTTCGTTCTTGAACTATTTTAGAACGAATACTCGAGCAGATTACTATACTTCAGCTCTCAATACAAACTTATTAATCACAGCTATGCCCGTGGATAGTCGCGATATAAAACTGCAGCGCAACCCAATAACAGAGTGAGTAGCGGATTCGAATATTTCCTATTGATGTATATTGATGAAACTGTACTTGATTCAAACTTCAGTTCTGCATCTAGTGGTGATATTAACGAAAAGGAAGAGAAAGGAATCATCAACAAAACAGTGAAGAGGACACTGGGGATAAAGCTGAATACATTGGACTTTTTTTAAGGGTGTTGGTGTGGATGTGAGGGCATTTCTTATCTTCATACTCACATCCACACTCACCTTGCTCTTAGCTGACTAGTAAATAAGATTAGCAACTATCTTCGATATACTCTACATCGTGCTTCTATAGTACAGAATTTTTTGTTGAGATAACATTTGTTTTCTTCTTCGTTATTCACATTTCATATCATGTATATTACACTCTACAGACCAGTAGCATTCTTCATTATTTCGGATAAATTGACGTTCACATTATTGTCTATCAACAAGTTGGAAAAGTAAAATAGAGTGAATCTCTGTATAAAGTGTTTTGGTTACATAGAAACAACTGAAAATTCTTAGATTCTTCATTTTTGAGACTTCAATTTTTGAGAAAAGAATCAAAAATCATTGGAAACAAGTAACTTATAGTCAGCAATTGCATACTATGTAATGAAGCGTTTCTAAGGTAGTTTATAATTTGATTTGAATATCAATCATAACTATATAATGAAATCATTTGAAAATATCATCATTGAGAAAAATCAACGAAAAAATAATGTTACAATTTTACTTAAGATATCAACAAAAAATATTCAAATCTTTTATTAACTTTATCTATGTATATAATGTATTATTTAAATATCTTTAGTAAAGTTGAGGGACCTTTGGCCAAGACTTGTGAACAAGATAATTTAATTGTTAACACTACTTTCACTTCATGGTCAGACGGATTAAGCATTACTCCTAAAAGACAAAAGCTTGAGTATTGGGCCGATGCTCCATTTGTCATTGGATTTTTTGCTGGATGTACTCCTCTTGAAGGTCTTCTTGTGAGCACTCTCGACTGTTTATATGATATAAAATGCGTTCAGATATTGGCTGATTATTTTCCAACACTTAATCGAGTATGTATAATGTTATTTTATTTCAACTACATATTATTTTTGCTTAGTTGAATATACCCTTGATGGATTCTATTCTCCTTCCACCAAATCAAAATAAATCTGTGTATGATCATTTACTTACGCTTTTCATTGATGAATGGTCAATACATATAAATTATTCGAAATACTATGATGAGTGTGCTCCTACATCTTGCACATATACTATAATTGATCGAATTAATTTTTCTTCTGCATTTACTCTTCTTATCAGTATCTATGGTGGCCTCATTATTATACTTCGTTTGATTACACCATTCTTAGTCAATATGTCAATGAAATTCAATTGTTGTTCAAGAAATAGAGGTGTTCATTTGTGTATGTTTTCAATAGAATTAAAATAGTCTTATCTCTAATGTAATTTCTATCTATCATTTGTAGTGTCTTATAAGATATCTTTAAAACGATTAGGTCAATCAGTGAAACGGTTAAACTTGTTTAAGATGGCTGATGATCGAACAGAAAACAGCATTAAACAACAGAAGATTACCACATATGTTTATTTGATTTTATTAACAGGTACAGTTATTTTATTCTATATATATTTGCCATTGTATAAGATCGAAATAAGTTGATTCGTTAAAAGCATCTAGGTACCATGTTATCGAATGATGAATAGAATATTTTCATTCACATTCATCCTCATCTTAGTTGAAATATATATTTATTCAATTATAAATTCTTTCACTAAGTTTAGCCAGTCTTAGACAAGATTGTACTATTGAAAGTATATTTGTATGAAAACATCATTTTCTTATTTTTATTTCAACAGGCTCACTTCTGATTCTCATTATCTTTACATCTCTAAGTACTCAAATAGTTACAATAACTGAATCAAATCCATCTTTAATAACTTATGATAAATTACAAGCTATGTATCCGAACACACTCAAATGTCCTTGTTCTAATACAGTTATACGTTATGATAAGTTTATGTCATTGTCTCCAATTTTACATCAAGTATGCTCCAGTGGTTTTATCCATGAAGATTTTCTTTCAGTAATGAAACAAAAGGTACCAACTTTAGGCACTAAGAGTGATTGGACTAATCGAGCATTCTCACATTTTGAGTTGTTGATGAACTTTTGTCGACTAGCTAATAAGACTATCAAGGCCGCCGTTGATCGTTTTATTATGCGATCCATCGTTATTTCGAACATGCTTAATGAAAATGATTTTAATACACAAATAAACGTAACTCTCGATCAATTTTATCAATCGACAGTTGCCGATTTTCGTTTTGCAGTTGACATACAACGTCTTTTTATGCAAATTGATCAGCCTTATACAGGAAAAGGATCAATACGGTCCAGCAACACTGTTGAAGATCTAATCATAAAGGAAAATATAGCACATTCAGTAAACAATCAAAAACTATCACAGGTTATATTATTTTTTCAATAGATAAAACGTTTCTTTTATATCCTACTAGCAATACTATATTATACTAGTGAATAAATGAGATATTGAAAAATATGATTGTGGGAGTTTCTTTGCTAGTCATAGAATAAACTGCTATGTACATAATGTTACTATGTTTTATGAACATTAATGATTTGAAGTAAATGAAAACAAGGAGAAAATACTGAATTAGAAGAGGATCATCTTGAGGGCGGGTGGGTGTGTGTGTGAGTGTGAACATTATATTAGCCTTACTCTGACACCCACACCCTCCATTGTTATGACAATTTTTATAAACTTTTGTTTTTGACAGAAAAAGACCTTCGGACAGTTGTTTTCTTTCGAAAAGATTTTCGACTATGAAAAATGAAATATAAGTTCTCATATTTGCCTAATGAAAAAATAATTCTTTCTTTCGTTTCTAGGTATCATTTCTTTTCACTGAAATTTATGATACAAATTTGACATGGATCACTTGTGGTTGTGCTACTGATATTCATTGTCAAAGTTCGGCTATTATTCTTTATGACAGAAGGTTTGAAGAGGACTTTTATATAATACCAGGCATAGTTGAAGGTTGTTCTGTTATTAATTCACTTCTTTACTCCACACTTCAATGTTTATATTCGGACTCGGATTGTTTTCCAATTCTATTCGGTTTTCTACATTCTGGGGCTCCTGTTGATACTCCTCCTTTGATTTATAATCCAACATTGAGCAAATATCCTCCAAAGACTTTAGTTTTAGAAATAGTTAAGAAATTAATGATAGAACAGTGGAATCCGTTATATACATATGAAAATTTTTATAATTCGTGTGCACCAAGTTATTGCAGTTATTCAAAGAACATTCGCACAAAAAACACTATGGAGGTAATAATAACACTGGTATCTTTAATTGGGGGTCTTACAGTTGCATTACGTCTCATTACACCTCAATTGGTCAAATTTATCTATTGGCTATTGATATTGATCAAGGAAAAAAAAGAAAAAAAATCTAAACAAGGTAACGATTATAGATCAAATATATTTAAAAAAAAATTCATTCATCATAAAATTATTTTGAATGCAATTTATATAAGAAAAAAAGAATAAAGGTGACTTCTCTGCAGTCTTAAATAACATCTACAATTGATAATCAGATTTACTGATAAAAATGTATGAAAATGAGTTTGAGAGTGCAGATGTAGATGAATATCCGTATCGATCCTAAAGATGGTGTGGATTCATTTGTCTTGTCTTTACACTATTGCATCTACATCTGCACCCTTAGATGAACTAAACAATCTCATACTAATACTGTCATCTACTTAAAGATAATCGAAAATATATGAAAAATATTTGTTCTTTTCTTCATAGTTCGTCCAAAATTATTCGTCAGCTTGAAGATGAAACTACGAAATACAACTATGCTTCTGCACAAAACTTTGATGAATTTAAATCTATTTACTGTGCGAGATTTTAGCAGTAGTATTGATCGAATGGCAGCTAAGCGTCTTGGTCAATGGACCACCCGTCTTTATATTATTTTGCTCATTATTGGTCTTAGTATTCCTGCTTTATATGCTATTATTCAATCTCAAACTTTGACAAAAACATATGTGAAACCATCTTTTAAATTATACGAAAAGCTTCAACGTGATCATGAAAATGCACTGGAATGTCCATGTTCATCTATCGCAACAGCATACAATGAATTTGTTAAAATTGATGCACGATTTCATGAAGTAAGTAAAAGCAGATCATATCTAATGAAGAAATCAAAATAGCATAATAGTTTTGTAATAATTGTAAAATTCTTTAATAATATCTAAAATCAATTCTAGATATGCTCGAGTCCATTCGCTTCGAATCAATGGTACATTAATCTCACAGCTGGTCTTGTTTCTAATCTCTCTATCTATGATCAAAGAGACTATCGTCGATTTTTTTCTGCTCATTTACAATTTCTTCAAGGATTATGTAATATTTCAAATGAGTCCATATCTAATACAATCGATCAATTTCTTTCTTCATTATTAATTACTACTCAACTTCTACCAAAGAGGGATTTTCATGCACGTGTCAACTCCCAGATGGAACTCAGCAAATCGAATGCGCCTACAGCACTCGGTCATTTTCTCTTCTTAATTCGGAATATAAATCATGGAAATGCCATTATATCAAAGTATGGAACAAATTTTCAGTATATTCCTGATTATGAATACCGTCGTTGGACTGGTTTTGAATACCTTTGTGCGACTGATTTATATACTAAAGCTATAATCTATGATGATGAATGTTCTTGTGGATTATCTTCATTGTGTACTACTCAAGCAACTTTTATTAAAAGCAATGCTTCTAAAAAAATTCCGATTCAAGGTTTAAAAATGGGTTGTACACCAAGTGAATCATTTCGTGCTTCAACACTCGAATGTTTTTATAATCAATCATGTCTTGATCTTATTCAACAATATACAAATTACAAAGCTCATATAAATCCTATCATTCCATCCAACAAGAGTCAATTTTCTATTAATACTACAATGGCTGAACTTATCGATCATCTATTTATTGAAGAATGGGGAACAACTATAAATTATACAACTTATTTTGAAAAATGTTCACCCCTATCTTGTTCCTATACCTATATTCAACGATTTAATATATTCTATATAATCACTCTTCTGCTTAGTTTTCAAGGTGGTCTGACCATTCTTCTCAAATGGATATGTCCTAAACTAGTTTATGGTCTAGCCAAAATATATAATTATCGAAAGAGACAAACAAATATTATTCAATCTTCATGTTCTCATGGAATATCGACTATTAACATAACTACTACAAATGTTTATAATGCCGATATAGATCCAAAGCCAATACCAACAAATAGAACATTACGGTATGTGTGTTTTATATTGATTTGATCTATAATAGAAATGACGATAGTTACTTTTGTAAACATGTAATCAAATGTTTTATTTATAAGTTGATCATTTTCGATGTTATCCACAATCTGAGTTATAGCGAACGTAGATAAAGTATTTAGTGGTTTCTTTTCAAAGAACAGTTACTTTGTATACGCGGCATAATTCAGTTTGTAAATAATATCAAAAAATGATCTCACACGTAAAGTTATAGTCAGAATATTTGATTAAGTGTGTCAAACTATTCAATAGTAAAATGAGTCTAGAAAAATAATTCAGAGTAAATATTCTATCACTAATTTATGATTAATACCTTTTTTTCCTTAGAACAACGTTGATCTCAAAATTCCAATGCTCTTATAAAGTTATATCAGTGTGTATACTACTGATGTTTATCGTAATTGGTCTTTTTATATTTTCTATTTATATCAGTCGACAAGGTAAGATTTAAATTGAGAGTGTGGGTATGGGATGGTTGTGGGTAGTTATAGAGAAGTCTTCTCAAACACATCTACACCCTTGAACATGGATTAAATATTTTTTTTATCAGCTCCCTTGGCAAGCACGACAATCAGTGTCAGCATAAACACAACGACAATGCCAACAACTTCGACTATGAAAAGTTAGTAAACCAAAATTATTTTTCTTTTCTTCTATGATCGCTATGGATAAACAAATAAATCTAGGAATTCTATCAAAGTGATGAAACATATATAAAGTCTTTAGAAAGTTTTCAATCGTTTTGTTGACCGCCATTCATGAATATTTTACATTGATTTAATAAGTGTATCAATCTTCTCAAATTATATTCAGGTCGAGCAGTGTAAATGATTAATAAAGGGTATATTGATCCCTGTAAAGAACAGATGGGAGAATAATACTTATAAATATTAAAAGAGATTTTCTTAAGTGTTCTTGTTAAGTAGATAAAGAAGATGATTCATTGAGAGTAAATCTAGATTTTTCCTTACTTAATAAAGGCAATAGAAAGATCTCGATCAATGAATTGATCAAGATTAAATTGTTTCTTAATCATACTATTATTTTCTATACTAAGACTAAAGGTAAACAAGATCAAATACATTTATCATGCAATACAGATGTTCATCGAAACATTACAGTTATGACAACATTTTTCTTGAGAATATTACAAAGTTTGATATGTTTTCGTAGAATTTGACTGTTTGAAAGTGTAAGAGGAAGAGAGAGTGAAAAAGAGTTAGTAAATTTCACAGATTTATATATAATGGAGCTACTGTTAAGGATAGCAATATGAAACTGACCTTTGTTTGATGCGATAGAATTAAAATTACTTTACCTTTTTGACTATTCTATTTTTAATATATGTATCTGTGATATTTTCATTCATATTCACAATTGAGCCAGTCGAAAAGAATCAAATAATTGTGCATACTATATCTATAATGTTCGGAGAATGATTCTAGAGGTAGATCTATGGTTATTAATAGTAGTTCATAAGCATACGATACTAATACTCAATGTCAATTTAGTTCACGTAAATTCCTTCTCAAATATATGTAATTTAAATTGTGAAAATAACTTATTATTTTCTTTTCATTAGAATCAATTTGTCAGTTAGCATTTCAATCAGTATATATCAACATATCTCATGAGTGTTATTGGCCAGATCGCCTCCTTGTCGCTGATTTTAACGGCGACAACCAATTAGATCTTGCCTTTTTTTGTGCAAGCTTAGGAAACATAATTGTACTGCCTGGAAATGGCAATGGTACTTTTAAAACAACAAAAACATTTTCGACAGAACTACGTTGCATACCACAGCATGTTGCTGTTGGTGATTTTAACAATGACAATCGGTCTGATCTCGTCATTATCTGTTCTAGAGAAATGGGGATGTATATTTTACTTGCAAATGACAATGAGATGTTTGAAGTAAACACAAAGGTCTCAATCGACAAGGACAGTAGCGTAAAATCTATTTCTGTAACTCATTTCGATGGCGACAAATACTTAGATATCGTTGTTATCAATTATAGACCAGCTAATATTGTTATTTTAGTTGGGTATGGTGATGGACGTTTCTCAAAGCCTACAATGTTATCAATAGTATCTAATAATGTACCAGAGTGCTTTGCTATTGTTGACTTTAACGATGATGGTCAATTAGACATTGCTATCAAGAATGAGAGGTCTATGACTATTAGTATATATTTTGGACGTGATGGCGGAACTTTTGAACTACCGAAGTGGTTTTATACGGGACCTCTTTCCTCCGAATGCCGTATCTTAGCTAATGATTTCAACGGTGACACTCGAATAGATCTTCTGTGCTACAACTCTGAAAAGAATCTTATTGGCGTAATGACTGGACATGCTAACAGAACTTTCGAACTACCAAAATGGTCTAATATTAACAATATTTCCGCTTCGAGTAATATTTCAGACAATAACTTCTACGTTGACACTCGATATGAGATCATTCTTAACAATATTTGGAAAAAAACACTTACGATGAGTGTAGATAAGCAAGAAACTGTATATTTTGTTAGTGATTATAATTGTGATGATCATGCAGATATCATTTGTTATCGTCATCATTACGCTATATTTGGCTTGCTTGGACAGGGAAATGGTAATTTTGTACAACAAACAATACTTTCGCGTATTGATTATGAATCTATAAGGAATATCGCTGTCGGTGATTTTGACAATGATACTTATCAAGATATAATCATTACCTATCATGGATCTAGTATCATAGAGATTCTTATAAACAGATGTGAATGTTGCAAACGTAAAAAACTCTAGAAAAGTGCTTCAATACATCAATGAATTTTTATAAAAATCTTGTTTTCATAAATCCTCAATTTGCCAAATCAAAGACACTGCATTACAAAATGCTTTTTTCTTACTTATTATAAAATATTGTACGCAAAGCTTTTCTTAATTTTCTTTTAACATATATTTAACTTATTACATACTATAAAAATTGTAAAGAAACAGGGTGGGTATGGGTATTCTATTTTATTCAAACCCACACCCACACCATCAAGATGGTATTGTATCTTTGTCAATAAAATGAAAATGTCAACTTCAGTCAATTGACATAAATTGTCTTTCTCAGAAAAGATATTATTGATAAACTGAAAATGAAATAAAGAAACGTTCTCATTGTCAGGTTGAATTTAATTAAGACATAATGTGGAAAATTATAGAATGAAAGTAGCACTAGCCACCACATCTTCATCTACTGAGGGCGAAATATTTTTATGAGTTATCTGCAGGGCAGAGAAGAGACGTTGTCCAGTGATGGTCTCTGATATGGAGACATGCGTCAATGCACCTGTCATCAGCTGAAATAAATGATAGTGTATTTATATTACAACGTCGACAGATTGACTTTGCCTTTAGTCGTCATGATGACAAACGAAATAAATCAGTAAACAATCGAGTAAGTAACAATCAAAATTTTACTCTATCTCTAAATTAAAAGAAAGATCCTTTTGATTATACGTGTATATCATCAACTATCAAATGACAAAATCGATAGAAAAAAAAATCAGGTAGTTATATATATTGATATTTTTTAGCATTGTTATCTGTTTTTAATACTTTGGAAATATAGAAATACATTTGTTTTTCCTTCATGAATCTCATAACATAAAACAAAATGAAAAGTAATACTTCTATCGTTTCACACGTATGAACAAACTTAATTTTACATATATATTTTTTCATATAATGTTAATATTACAATACAACATTACATAAATTTTGATGTTTTTGGAAAAACCCAATCATTTATGTAATCGCTAGTACTACAGTACTTGGTCGTTCATGAATTTTGTTTTTAATAGATGTTCGCAATGGTTCCGTAAATATAAGCAGAGCAATCATCAGAAATACTACTGATATATCAACAACTATATATATCCTAGGCAAAATTTGCTTTTCTTTCCGCTCGAAAATTTGTATTTTTTTTTATCGGAAAAAGTAGTAACAGTTGATAAGATAAATAACGTATCAATTGATCAAGAGAAACTTATTTATAAAATATTCTTATTGAGTAGACATGATATTCGCACGATCTGAAATGATAAAACTTACTCAGTGAAATAAAAATAATCATTCTAACCACCTCATTCATGAAAAAAACGTTATTATCTTCTTCAAAACAGTTTTCGTTCTACTTTATTTAATACAACTTATGAACTCTACAATTTTCTAAAACTTAAAGTTGTAATAATAGCTGAATTATTTTTAAAATTTATATGATCATAAAATCATTTTAAAATTTAGTTTAACTTTACCTAAATCTTAATCCTGTCTGACATATATATATATATATATATATATTGCAGCTTTTTAAATTTTTCTTCATTATACGAGATCTCGTTTGACACTTTCATAATTCATTTCGATATAAGTTATTCCTCTTTTTTTAGATTACTTTATTTCACGATTACTATTTAAGGTAATATGTTGTTCTTTTTCTTCTTATAGGGTAGATTCGTAAAGAATTAGAAATGTAAATATGTTTGAAAAGGTCATTTATACACATACATATGTACGTGTATTACCTTATTAGTCGGCTTTGTCAATGACGTTTTTATTATTTATAGTTGTTGTCTGTGAGCGCACGCGAGTCCTTACAAACCAGAATAAAATTCAAAAACAAGTGAATATAATATTCTTTTATTTATAAAATATTCTTTATAGTTTCTTTTTTACAACTATAATACTCTCTTTCACAGTTTTTATATTTGGATGAGTTGGAGGTAAGGCACGCTGCCATATGTCCAGAGCATGTTCAAAATATGACAGTGCTTTCGCATATTCTTTCGTATTATAACACATATGACCGAGGTTGTTGAATGAACCAGCCAAGTCAGGATGATTTGAACGAAGGGTTTTTTGTTGAATTTCAAGGGCTTTTTCGAAAAATAAAAGAGCCTTCGAATAGTCTTTCATATTATAATGTATACTAGCGATATTGTTGTATGAAGTAGCCAAATTAGGATGATTCGAAGGAAGAGTTTTTTGATAGGTTTTAAGTGCTTTTTCGCAATATGAAAGTGCTTTTGAGTGCTCTCCCATTTTGAAATATAGCAAACCGATGTTGTTGTATGATGCTGCTAAACCAGAAGGATTCGAAGGAAGGAGTTTTTGTTCAACTTCAAGTGCTTTTTCGTAATATGAAAGTGCTTTCGAGTACTCTTCCATGCTGTCATACGTACCACCAATGTTGTTGTATGAAGTACTCAATAAACGATGATTTGGAGGAAGAGTTTTTTGATAGATTTCAAGGGCTTTTTCGAGTAATGAAAGTGCTTTCGAGTACTCTCCCATGGTGTAATACACCAAACCAATGTTGTTGTATGAACTAGCCAAAGAAGGATGATGTGAAGGAAGAGTTTTTTGTCGAATTTCAAGTGCTTTTCCGTAATTTGAAAGTGCTTTCGAGTACTCTCCCATATCATCATACACACTACCAATGTTGTTGTATGACTGGGCGTAATCAGGATGATTTGGAGGAAGAGTTTTTTGTCGAATTTCAAGTGATTTTTCGTAATATGAAAGTGCTTTCGAGCACTCTCCCATCTTGGAATACACCAAACCAATGTTGTTGTATGAAGTAGCCAAATTAGGATGATTCGAAGGAAAAGTTTTTTGATAGATTTCAAGTGCTTTTTCGTAAATTGAAAGTGCTTTCGGGTACTCTTCCATGTTATAATACACACTACCGACGTTGTTGTATGATTGGGCGAAATCAGGATGATTTGGAGGAAGAGCTTTTTGTCGAATTTCAAGTCCTTTTTCATAAAATGAAAGTGCTTTCGAGTACTCTCCCATTTTAGTATACACATTAACGATGCTGTTGTATGAAGTAGCCAACATAGGATGATTTGAAGGAAGAGTTTTTTCTTGGATTCCAAGTGCTTTTTCGTAAAATGAAAGTGCTTTCAAGTACTCTCCCAGCTTGTCATACACCAAGCCGATGTTGTTGTATGAAGTTGCGAAATCAGGATGATTTGGAGGAAGAGTTTTTTGATAAATTTCGAATGCCTTTTCGTGAAATGAAAGTGCTTTCGAGTACTCTCCCATGTAGTCGTGTGCACTACCGATATTGCTGTATGAAGTAGCGAAATGAGGATGATTTGGAGGAAGAGTTTTTTGATAGATTTCAAGTGCTTTTTCGTAATACCAAATAGCCTTCTCATAATCACCCTGCGCATCTTTTACATATCCATGCTGATTGTGATAAATCGCTTTTTCACCATCATTAGATGTCTGTTCGAGTAATACGTTATAAAGTTCTTCAGCTTTATTAAATTGCCCAATTTTAAGTAATAAATTACCCAATCTTTTCCATCCAGTACTATCACCAACTTCTTCTCGTATCCGATCAGTAAGTAATCGTAATTGTTGATCATCATCCGAGGTTAATTGTAATTCAACTTGATAAAGTTGATTCTCATTGCTCATGTGTTCAATCGCACCCACACGAAACACGGTGTGCATTGAGAAGAGAATTTCATTTTCTTCTTTACAATGGCTCAGATCATTGATAAAGGCAAATGGCGTTGATTTTAGACAAGGATCAATGGAAATTATAAACAGAATGGCCACCATATTCGGGTCTGTCGAAGCGCATTCGGCAAATTGAAGAGACACTTCTTTATCTGCACTGGTGGACAAAAAACTGTTAAATGATATTAGTCCACCTTCCGTTTTTTGGAGTTTTTCGAAATTTGGTTTAGATAAACCTTGTCCTCGGTAGACTATGAATGGTTTGCCATGATAACTATTAACCTGCTGTTGATATAGTTGCTGGATCTGATGGTGAAGATCATGAATAAAGAAACCCATATTAATAATGGTATCACCTTCCATAAAGCGAAGACCATCATTGAGCATAGAATAGATAAACGATGGGTAGGTATACCACCAAATAGCTGATTGAGCTCGGTATTCTTTTTCAAATAGATTAATATTGATTTTCGACTTTGAATTATCCTGTCGACAGTAAATAATAAAGTTTTTGATAGCCTGTTCATCATGTTTCATATCAAGAAGAATATCCTTGAATATTTGTGTGTACATAAAAGTTGGCTCCAGTTGATTTAAATCTTCAGTTAAAGCCATTTCATTTACGGTGATAAAACTCATAGCAATTGAGTTTTGATTGTATTGCTTGACATCCGATTGTAATCCTTGACATAAGTCATCAATATTGGTATGAGTACTCTTGATGTTTTGCCATTTTTCTGTCCATTCTTCGTGTAAAGTTTTCTTATCATTGTAGATATAAACACCATCCAGCTGAGGAATATCGTTAATGAGAGGCATTATTTGTTGAAACATAGTATCCTTGACAATGAGAGAAGACTTGATGTCTCCTTGAGCATCTGTAAGAAAGTCGATGCATGCATCTCGTTGGTTAAAGATATTGACACCACCAATAATAGTTTGTATTTGTTTCAATGCATTCTCATAATCTTCATTTGTTTCGTCGATGGTGGTATCTACCCATAGAAGAAGATAGTTTTGCGCCATACGTTGTCGTAGTTGACGAATATGAGGCACTGTTGCTTCATAAGATAATTTTAGGCTCGGTTTTGAAGGTTTCGAGTCCATGATACGTATATGATGATAACTGTTTGTAGTTGAAGAGCTGATTAATAAATGGTTAAGAAAACAAACAAGTATCGTTATTTATATGAGAATCAGTTCTCTTTATCGCCATTTTTTTTAGGGCGTCATTGATTGCTATCGCTCCTTTTTGTTCTTTGTTCCCTTTCTTTCATAAAACAAGAATCATCCTTCTCTTCACAATATTCACTCCTTAAATATTCAACAATATCAGTAGTACGTGAGGGAATGAAAGAGAATCAGCATTCTTTATGGTAAGAGATATAGCATGCCATAACGCTTCCGCTCCCCACAAACAGAGAAAAGAAAAAGAGCATAACACAGAAATGAAAACATCAGAAAAAAACGTCTAAAATAAAGAGTACATGAAGTTATAATAAAACACAAAAGTAAAGTAGTAATCGCTCAATCGTGTATAGATGAGATACAAAGAAAGAAAGAAAAAAGCGAAAAGAATGGTGCGCAACAATTCATATAGTTCCAACACCACTAAGCACAAATAATAATGAACTTGCACGTTCATCTTGGAGAACATTTATTATAAACATAAAATAATAGGGAACCGCCAAGCATCTGGACCACTCGCGATCTTCTATGTTAAACAGCATTTTCTTGCGGCAAAAATATGATATTGCTGTATCATCAACAAAAGTCCGACGGCAACTGTTTATAATAGGAGCTAATATACCAAAAAACAGAAAAAATGAGATAATTTCACCATAAGTTTCATGTAACTTTAATAGATTATTCAATATCTCGAGATCGCAGCTAACCAAAACAGATATATATTAAGCGTGTGTTTTCATGGCAAAAGTAAGTAAAAATCTCGAGAAGGTCAACGGATTATAACAAGAGACTGTTGAAATAGAGTAAAGCAAGGGATTTATTTGTAAATATCCGAATTCGACTGTAGCAAATATAGGGCTACTGATCGAAAAAAATGAAATACTAAACTTTTCTTAACTAATCAGGATGCTATCAAATTATTGAAAGTGCTGTAATCAATTTTTACTGATAAAAAAAATACTAATCATCATATGGTTGAAAATTTAGTAAAACCAACATAACTCTGCAGAGACAAAACAAGGGTCTGTACCCTGTTGAGCTTTTACTTTTATTATTGAGTTCTAACTATGGATAAATAATGAACATAGTGTGTGTCGGATAATTGAAAACCTTCCATTGTTCGTGATTTGAAATCTTCACAATAAACATTTAGTGTTATTTTGTTGTAAAATTCAGTCTTAATCTATATAAAATAGATAAATTTTATTTTTTCATATATTTAATTTTAATGATCTATTTCTATATCTCCATATATGCAATACTTGCAACTTGGCTTCAATTATTCAGTTAGACCATGTGTTGATGATATATCAATCAATTTATACTATATATATCGCGATTTTTTTTCAACTTTTTCTTCATCATACGAGGTCTCGTTTGACACTATTACAATTCAATTCGATGTAAGTTATTCCTCTTTTTTTAGATTATTTTATTTCACGATTACTATTTAAGGTAATATGTTGTTCTTTTTGTTATTATAGGGAACACTCGTAAAGAATTAGAAACGTAAATATGTTTGAAAAGGTCATTGATACACATACATATGTACGTGTATTGCCTTATCGGTTGGTTTTGTCAATGACGTTTTTATTATATACAGAGTTGTTGTCTGTACTCACACGCGAGTCATTACAAACTAGAATAAAATTCGAAAACAAGTGAATAAAATATTCTTCATAGTTCCTTTTTCACATCTCTACTATCAGGATGAGTTGTAGGAAACGCACGTTGTCTGATATTCAGAGCACGTTCTAAATATGACAGTGCTTTCGAATAGTTTTGTATTTAAAAGAAAAATTCTTATTCAAATATCTGTTGTTATTAAATACTTTTAAGGCCTTTTGACCATGATAAATTATTAGGCCAAACAAATCATAGAAAAATAACCATGTTTTGGCCTTGATTGACTTACTTTGTTCAGCTACATTTGAATGACAAAGAGTAGACAATATTATAAATTCTTAAATTTCACTTCACCCTATCAATAAAATCTAACCAGTACGCATTGATTATTAAATGTAAGGTTTTTATTACCTAAATTATTATAATGATCATTAACTTTTCTTGTTTATGTTTTATTTCACCTCAATTTATTCTTTCGCAAGATTGATTTAATTATGATAATGAAATTAATATGTCAAAAGAACTAGAAACAATGGAAAACAACAAATCATATCCTATATTTAGTTACTAGGATAAATCTTTATTTTTCTAACTATACTCTTATCGTCAAGAGTGATCGCTTGTTTTAAAAATATAGAAAAAAAAGAAGAGAAATGTAATCAAGATTGAACTATTATCAATATAAACTTGAATTTTGCAATAAAATATTTTCAATTTGATCACATTAGATTTTTGAGCAAAGCAATTAAAGCAAAAATTACTTCCGTTCTTTTTTTTTGACAAATGAATTTTTCAATTTGAAGCAATAGCAACAATGACAATATACAGACTAGCAATAATAAATTTTTTTTTTCGTTTTTTTTTTCTTTCGATGATTAAAAACCTTCAAAATCATGTGCATAAAGTTCTGTTGACGAATTTTGCATTGGTTTTTCATCATATTTTTCATAATGATCTTTATCTGGTTTAGGTACATGTGTTGGTTTAACACGTTTTTCAAAAATAGCAATCCAATTTGTTGTTGAAAACCATTTATGATATTTAATATCTTTCGAACCATTTTTTAAATTTCCAAAACGTTTTGTTAAATCTATTTGAAGTAAACTACGAATTAAATCTTTAAGGTCATTTGAAAAATGTGATGGAAATTTAAATTTTCCTTGAACAATTTTTTCATAGATTTGAATTGGTTGATCAGCATAAAATGGTGGAAAACCCTTAGATAAAGAAAAAAAAAGATTTCAATTCAAAAATAAATAACTATTAAAAATATCTTACTGCAGCCATTTCATATATTAATATTCCTAATGCCCAGTAATCAACACTTTTATTATAACCACGTGATAGAATTATCTCTGGAGCAATATACTAAAACAGATAAAGGTTAATATGTTATTTTACAAATGAGTTATATATATATATATTCTATTGCAGTTCTAAAGAGTAGAAAAGAACGTCCGTCAAATTGACAAAGATTTTTCTATTCAACGAACTCCTAATTATAAATAAAACCTAAGAATAACTTTGTCCTTCTAAAGGTTACCGTGTTAGTTGCTTGAAAACTATGTAGAGTGTGCTAATTATCGATATAAGTAAGCGCAAGAAAAGAAAAAGAAAGTTTCTTGTATTTTGCTACAGGCGTCTATTAGATTTATATAAAAAGAAATTCATTGAAAACATTAAGTGCGTTGTTCAGATTCGGGATGCGGAAATTGTAGACCCAATGGGTTTGTAATACAAAATTAATTACTTCAATACTGTTAATTTTCTTTTCTAAGGGGTAAATTAAATTTTACTACGACTTGTTTTGTTAGATATGAAAGGTCGCATGACATTCGAATGCTTCCAGAGAAGAAGGAAAAAAATTGAACCCAAAAATCATGTCTGTTAATCAAAATTTCTGATCTATAGTCATATAATCATTAAAAATAAGTTTGTGCGATAATCATCGATCAATTCATGCAAATGAATACTCTTTTTTTTATGCAAAACAAAAATACAAGATTACTGCTATGATATAAAATTGATTATATTTTACCTCAGGCGTTCCACATAATGTATATGTTCGATCTCGAACAAGTTTTGCAAAACCAAAATCAGTAATTTTTAAATATCCATCAGCTGAAAAAAGAATATTTTCTGGTTTTAAATCACGATATATAATATCTAGATAGAAAACAAAAAAGAATAGAAAGAATTTTAAATGCAAAAAAAAACAACTAACTTAAAAAATGTAAATATTCAAAAGCTAATGTAACTTGAGCTGCATAAAAACGTGTTTGATCTTCGGAATATTTTCCAACACTTCTACTCAAAATAAAATTCAATATTTTTTTTTGCATAAGAATTTATTTATCTTACCGAAGATGTGTAAACATTTCTCCACCACTAGCAAATTCTAATGCGATATAAAGATGTGAATTATCTTTAAATGAATAAACTAAATTAACTAGAAATGGAAATTTGATTGCTTGTAAAATTTTTTTTTCTGATAATGTATGTTCAACTTGTTTTAATTTAACAATCGTTGTTTTTTCCATTATTTTTAATGCTAATGTTTGATTACCATGTTGAGCAATCATAACACGACCAAATGAACCTGTACCAACTGTACGTTGTAAATGAAAATCTTCTAATTTAGCTGTTTGTTTAGCTGGTGAAGAATATCTTGAGTCAAAATCTTGTTTAGCATGATCAAGATATGCACTAATTTGAGCGTCAATTTGTGCTTGAGATGAATTTGTCATTGCAGCACTTGACGATGATGATGATGATGACGAACTAGTGCCCATTGTTGTTTTTCTATGTAACTATATATGTATTATATCTATAAAAGAAAACAACAGAAAAAAAAGCCTACAATGACCTTGTATTATCTTCATAGACTTCTGTCAAAAATAAGATTGAAAACTAGAAAAATGATAGTGCGCTTATGGTATGTCGAAAATTTGATTATCTCAACAATCAGTCTTAGAAGAAAAAAACAGTCTATCATACCAAGAGAAAAATGCTTTCAGGGCCAACATTAGTTTCCTAATTGTTATATTACCCTGGTATTCATATAAGAAAAAAAAACACACGGATATTTTTTTTTCTATAGACTAAATGTAGATTTTTGTTTCATGTCGCTATGTCCCTTTCCCTGTCGTCTGTCTATTTATCTATATTCTGTCTTCTTCTGTTGTTTTGTTCTGTCATGTTGTTATCCATCCAAACGCTTCTCTTAAGATGCCATCACCCATTAATATATTATTCCAGTCGAGCAATAATCTTCTTTCGCGTCAACTATGTCTTTCTATCTTCTCCTTTTCCACATCCCTGCTATTTGATCGATTACACATTGTCATCATTGGAATTCATCGGCTTGCTACATTTTATGCATATACTCGAACGCATAAATATATAATAAATCTAAATTAAATCTCCTTCAATTTTTTAGTTCGTTTCGTATATTATTTGATCGATATAACATGAATAAACAGTTAATAATAGTAAAATAAATTATAAATGAGACAGATCCAGTGAATAAATAATCAATTCTTTAAGTAAAAAAGGGTAAAATAATACTTACGATAGATTATATATTCGTAACTAAACTAAATAGACAGCAAAAAAATGAATGTCTGACTTTCTACCTACGCAATTTTAAAAAAAGAGAACAAGTAAATATAAAATCATATACTTCAAATAAATTGAACACGTTTGTGTTGTTGACAGGATCGGAATCTAACAAAAAAAAAAAAAACGTTTTTCTTCCTCCTGTTCACTGTTGCTCTTTACAAAAATATAGTCAATACATTTTTTCCCGTTTTCTAAGTTGTTAGTGAGTGCTACTCTCTTCCTCTCTCTCTCCCTCTCTCTCGCTTATTTTTTTTACTGTCAACAATTTTTTTTCTTCTTTTTATTTTGTTTTGATGTAACTGCATTGTAATTAACCGTAACAAAAATAAATATTCTTCTGTTATTTTGACATCGTTTGTTGATATCATAAGAGATAATAACGAGAATTGTATTCAAACTCAATTATAATATATATATATAGCAAGAGAAAATATACAGAATAAATAGAAACTTAATACAAAAAAAATTGATCGAATATGGTATTGATTATGATGACTGATAGGAAAACAAATCTAACCCTTCATGTATAACTTATTTTGCTTTTTTTTTCTTCTTCTCCATACCTAGCCGGAAAAGATTTTTATCAGATTTTATGATGAGAGCAAATGATGACAAAAGGGTATGTCAAGCTTAATAAATGAAGAAATAGTATAAAATAAGTAAACATGTTTATGAAGACATGTCGCTGTTATAAATAAATCTGGAAGAAAAATAATAAGAATAATAATAATTATATATTTTTTGGCTATCTATTTTTAGCTAACTAAATAGATCAGAAAATAGTCGCTATTGCTTAGCAAAATATCACGCGCAAATACTATTCATATATATGTTAACAATAAAAAGAGCACATTTTCTTGCTTTCTTATTTATCTAGAATAATATCACGACTTTAGGTCTATTTGACTTTAACACTTTTATTATTAGCATTATATATCTATATCTTATAGACAGAATTTTCATGATTTTCTTTTATTAAAATGTAAAACAAAAGTAAAATTATTATTATAAAAAAATGTGCATGCTTCAACTAATATATTATTTATAAGATTTTTGTTTTTTAAATATATAAAATAGTATGAAAAAAAAAGAACTCAAACAGATGGAATTTGAAGATTTTATTCAAGCTAAAATATTGTCATGTTCATTCGCAAATTCATCATTTGAATGGCATCTAAAAAATAAATAAATTATTTTTTTTATTTTTTAATTAAATATCAATATACTTCTTCTTTGGTTGACAATAGGAAAATATATCAAATTTAATACAATATCCAGCTAAAATCATGACAATAATTATCATCAATGCAATTATTGATTGAATTGCTTTTGAACTTACTAATAAAAAAGTAACAACATTATTTATTATTCTAAAAAAAATAGACTCACGTTTATCACAATTTCGACCACGATATAAAAAATTACATCGACATCGATATGTCAAACCAAAATTCATACATTCACCACCACGACCACATACATGTTTTGCATAACAATGATTTTGAACTAAAAATATAGAAAAACAAAATATTGATTTGTTTTGGTTGATCTTGTTATTCAGTAGTTGAAATATTTCGATGTTTTGTCTAGCTTTTGTTTTTCTAAACTGAATCAACCTATAGAGATATTTGATATGATACGAGTTTATGCAGTTCTTTATTTATATTCTTTTACTATTTACTCATATTGCAATAGAATCTAGACTGGATTGATGAGAAAATATTTCCTAGGTCTCAAAACGAATTGCTAGAATGCTTCATCAAGCACATGAATATCGAGTTTCATCTTATATAGTTGATTACACACATCAACTAAATAGTTTTGAAAGGTTGTTCAAACTAATTTATATATGAAAAAGCAACTCAATCGAATGACAAAACTCTATTAATTGAAAATGAAACAAAAAATATAGTTCTTACCATATTTACATACAAAATGTGCTTCATCATTTATACAATCTCTTCCTTCAATAGCAACTTTACTTCCATTAACAAGATTAAGTAGACCACAATGTGATGTATCTGGTCTATAAACATAAAACAATGGTCCAAATATTGAATCCCAAAATGTTCGTCCATCAAGCCAACGCCATTGACCAACATCACTTGCATATAAACCAATAAATGCTTGATTAATACGTAATGGTTTTAATAATTTTTCCACAACAAATTCTAATTCATCATTTGTTTCAAATGAAACTAAAGATGAATTACGTTTTATTCCACATAGATTTGATGCTGTTAACCATGATGATTTTAATGGTGATAGAAAATAACACGATCCACCATAAGATCGAAAACCAGGAAGACAAACTAAATATTTGAGAGAGAAAAAAAATTGAATATTAAAACTAATAATTATTTAACCTGGAACACTTGTATTGTATAAATGTTCTTGAATAGTTGTTATAATATCACGAAATTCCGATACTAAATTATCTGTCGATCGATTATCATCTGTATTTTTATTTCTTATTGAATGAATTAAATCAACGATATTATTAGTTGAAACAGGTTGATTTGTTAAGAAAAAAATAAATAAAATAACGAAATAAAATGATGTAATATCTCGTTGGATTTTACTTATCATTTCGATTACACAATAGTTTCAAACCAAAAACAAAATGAGTTTGTCGTGTGATTACTTGTGATCGAATGAACTCATAGATTTAAAACAGAAGAGAGAAAACGAAAGAAAGAGAAAGAGAGAGAGAGACAGTGAAAAAGCCACCCAACCATGACCTGGTTATTCGCGAACGAACAAAAAAAGAAAAATACAAATGGTCAAACAGATGTGCTCATTCAAGATACATTATTTGATGTCTTTTGTTAAAAGGTCATTTCAAGATAACCAAAGGCTATCTTCACGTAAGAATAATGGTCAAGGTAATATAACGAGGACAAATGAACAATTCATCAAGGATTGAAAAAAAATGATGATGATGATATATTCGTCTGATGTAACTATATACTGATCCATTTTTTTCTTCTTCTACTTGATACATTATTTGAATATCATTCATTCGCATCTATCTATTACATAAGTGTATGTCGGACGTTTTTGAAATCTGATCTATCTACTTGCACATAATTATCAACTAATTGAGTCTTTTTCTATTCTTTATTCATATAATACAATGCTAAACACACGAACAACAGAAAAAAAAGGAATGTCACCGGTGTTTGTCTTTAGATTCTAATATTTTCTTGGTAATGTTTGTGATAAACCAATTCTATCAAATAAACGTTCTAATGTTTTTGATTGTATTATTTTTGTTGAACATAATCGATGTTTTCGATAACGTTTCAATTGTTCATTATGTATTAATGTATAAGCTAATGTCCAACGAAAACGTGCTAATTGAGAAGATTTTTCTTTTGCATATGTTTGATTTGTTTGTTCCTTGGATATTTTTAATTTTAATTTTCTTATTTCAATAAGACGTTGTCGAATGATATCAATGAATACATTTAAAACAGGATGTCGTTGATTTCTTTCAATATGAAAATAACTAACATAAGATGCATAGGAGGTATCATACATTTCTAATCCTCTTCCATATGCTGAATAATCAAGACGTGCAAAAAAAACTAATGTACATGCAAAACCTTTTGATATACGTGATAAACACATAATAAAACCAAGAAAACAATCGAAAAAGAAGCTAAAATATGAAAATGTATAATAAAGACGTAGATTACGTAATGCCAGTAGATGATTATTTTGTATAAATAATAATTTACATAAAAGACGTACAAATAATAACTGAAATAAAAAGAATATTATCATTGGTAATAATATTTTCGAAGCAAATTCCAGAACAATTATTGAATAGAATATATAACGAGAAAGTATATAAAATATTGAAACAAATAAAAATAAAAATCCATAACTGTAAATTAATGAACCTAAAGAGAAAAAAAAAGAAAATTGAGACTAATCTACAGAGGATGTATTCAATATTCATAGCTAGTCATTTCTTTTATTCATTAAACTCGTCATTTTTGTTATTTATTTGATATACGTACGGGTTAACTTCTATGACTATAGGAACATTGAAATACTTTTTCATATTAACTGTAACAATGTTTTATCTAGCGGATGGGCTGAGTGAGTGGCGCCCACCCAGAATTTTCATTTCGCCTACTCGAAAGTTTAATTCGCACGCCCGAAAAAAGAAACCCAGATAAAATACTGAAAAAAATATTTTCATATCACATCGGAAAAACTAACCATACATGACAATAGTTCTCGCTAGAATAATTAATCGAAATTCTGTTATATATTATTACCCGAGTATCTCTAATACAGTCACCACAGTCTATGTGCGCGTAACTAGACGGTAATTATCGGGAAGCTCAGCCCCCTCAATATAGTGTCCGTTGAGCGAAAACCGTATCAGCGAATGGGTTTTTCAAGGAAAAGAAATGCGCGAAACATCTTTCGCCCATACCCTCATCAAGGAAAATCCTTTCGCTCATTAGCCCCCATAACCCCCCCCCCCTAGATGCCCAAAAATATGGTCTGAGCCCCTAATTTTTTTTCTGATTACGCTACTAGATATAATTCTACTCTATATATAAATACCCATAAATCTTCCTGGATAATGTATTGATCTACTAATAATTGACACTGATGAAATATGTTTTGGTTTAGGTATATCATTAAATATTCCTTTATATGCATTACACATTTGTGTTTGATAATGTTTTAAACCACAAAATAATTGTAAATATGTTATTGACGCTGTTAATATACAAATATATTTAATATCTTGATTAATATGATTTATATTTAAATTATAACATAAATCTTTTGATAAATCAGCTAAACCACATAGAATTAAATTTAAAAATAATAATAATTTTTTTGTTAATAAATATGTATGATCTTGTATCCAAAATGTAAAATAATAGACAAGTGTAAATGCACTTATATATATACAAACAATTAATTTTGAATAACGAAAATATGGACGTATGGAATAAATGTGTTGTTTAAAAAAGAATATAAATGAATTTAAACATCGAAATAAACGTGAATATTCTTGTTGATCATTCGAATAAATATATTTTGTTGATTTTAATAAATTATATTTAACATATTTCCATCGTGGTAATGATTGATATGAAGATGATTTTTGAAATTTATTACGAAATGTTTTAAGAAATAATATTGTTAAACATACAGCTAAATAACTTATAAAATAATAATACGGTGCATTTCGTAATATATTATATAAGATACTTTGTTTATTTAATTCTAATGAATAATTTAAACGTGTTAATTCATTTTCAATTTCATATGTATCATCATAAGTTAAATTAGCATTGTATGTTTCGATTTTATTTGTATACCATAAATGAGTATTTTGATATGTATCATTGAATTTTGTTGTTAGATTTGTACCTAAATAAAGATAAAGTATTCGATATGTGCACTAATTTATCAAATAGAACATATATTTTCAATTAATATCAAGACATTGCTTAAAATCTGGGATTTATTATTATGCTCATCACTTCATCATATATATAATAAATTCGTCATTCATGACAAACCGATTATATGATATAGATAAGATCTCAAATCTATTTTGTGTGAAATTTCGAAAGAAGAAAAAAAAATTGACAATCGATAATCATTATTTACCCAATTGTCCAATCATATACTGTTTGACATTTATACCCATTTGATTAAGTTTTTCTAATGTTTCTTTAATAATTGACATTTTAGTTTTATCAAATGCACAATTAATATCGGATTGTAATTTAAATATAATTTCACAATATAAATAAATTGTTGCTAAACCATAACATAAAATATTTTCTAAACGATTTTCATAATTATTTTCTTTTTCAAATATAGATAATATAGGAAAATATCTTAAACCTAACATAAGACCAATACCAAATTGTATAATTAAATCAATTAATGGTCCATTTTGAAAATGTTTTGCACCATGAATTATATATTCATCAAATATATGTAAAATTTCTAATGCGATTATACCAAAGACAGCAGCGGATTGAAAACGATATATATGTGAATGAGAATTAAATATCATCGGTATTCGTAAATGTTGCCAAAACGATTTCGTTGTTGTCGTTTTTCCAAATGAAAAATTTTCAAAAATGAATTGTATGATAATAAGAATAGATAAAATTCCTAATGATACATAATTAGCTGGAATTTTATAATATAGATTTAGATTTGATTGAAATAATCGACATATATTTGATGTTTTGTCGTTTGTTGTATTATGAAGTTTTTGATAAGCATGTAAATTTTTAATTTTTAATTGATATATTGTATGACAACAGAGTGTTGCAAAAAGAATTGTTAAAAGACAAATAAAGAAACGCCAACAATAATATAATAATGAATGACGAAAAAATATTGCTGATGTTGATGATGAAGAAATTACTGAACAACGACGTAATTGAACAATTGTATGTGGAGAATTATTGATTCCGATTGTAAATGTATCACTATCATTTGAAAATGCTGGATTTTTCAAACCATCTTGTACAATTAATTGATCAGAAGAAATATTTGGAATTGAATAAAATTTGTCTCGAGACAAACGATGAGTATTTATTGTAGACATCAAACTAAAATGAACAGGAAGGGGAAATGAAGTTCATGGTTGATTGTTCTTTTCGTTATACATATGATGCAAGTGAAAAAGAAAAGAAAAGAAAAGAAAAAAAGTTACGTTTTAAAATTGAGAGTTGTGTAAGATTTTTCTATTTCTTGTTGTTGTTACAACGAATGCTCACGAAAGATAAATGTGCATAGATATTGTTCATTCGCCTATACTCTCACGATCGCATTTATCATCATCATCATCATCGTCGTCGTCGAGCCGAGCGAAAAAAATTGTATAACAAACGAGTCCATATACACGCACCTATGCATATACATCATTCACATTGAATTTTGATCAACAGATAGTCAATGAAAATGATGCAAGCAATCCCGGTTTCACTATCTTCCTCTATAATTGTCTCTGTAAATGTGTCTATACTCTGAGCAATTGTAAATTCGAAAATAATGATATCATCTAGTCTCAATGTGTCTCGCCACCATACTACATATTTAATTGGGGACGCTGTAATGTAATCCATCATCATTGACCATATCAAGCACGAGAATATCTTTTTCTTTGAGCTTTTCTTTTTATATAATAAACCGTTTAATCATAGTCGCTATTTGTATTTGATCGAACAACAAGCACTAATAAGGTGAGATTTAATTTGACAAGATATGTTCAAAGAAAATTTGAACAAATATATAAAAGATTTCATGCGGTTAACAACAAAGAAATAATGATTCTTACTTGTTTTTCTTAGTTGAATTTGATTTTGTTTCTTCTAATCGATGAAAAGAATGATAAATTGAATGAAATATAAGAATCAATATTGCCACACAAATGAGAATAAAACCAATAATCGATTGAACACCATGACTACTTACTAAAAAAAGAAGAAGATATAAATATCACATTTAGAAGAAGAAGAAGAAAAAAAGAAGTCATCTTTTTTCAATTTGTCAAATGTCGAAGTTCGAACGGACAAAAGTTCATAATGATCTATCATACAACACGAAACAGACAATCCATTATTATCCTTTTTGAATAATGGATGACGTTACTTTGTGTCATATACATTAAAATATATTCATTTTGTCTATACATATCTTTTCATTATATATATATACACATCAATGGTTTATTCCTCTCAATTGAACAGACAACTTCCTTGTTTTTCAATCATGATCAATATTCATCGATAGTCATAGAAAATTGATCAACCATGATTATTCGCAAAAGATAAAATAGATAAATCAATAATCATTGTATGAAAGAAAATGACCGTAACATCATTTATCTTTTATATACATATGGCACATCAAAGTGTTCATTGGATGTTGAATTTATTGTTTCGTATATAAAAGAAAAATCGATTAAGAATTTTTTTGTTTTTAAATAAAAATGATATCTATATTAATCGATGATTTTGTATGATAGTGACTAATAATGAATAAACTTTGTAAATTTTTAGAATCGAAAGTTTAAGTTTGATATAGATAAAATTTGTCAATTGCGAAAATTTTAACCGAACTCAAATTGTAGTAAGATGAATTGGAAATTGATTATTATAAAGTTAAAATTAAAAATGTGGTACATGACATCTTTATAATTATAATCATTGAACAAATACATGTCATTTTTCTATTAATTGAATTTCTTTTGTTTCGAAAGTTTAAGCTAATCGATTACAATGTCAAAATATATTTTTATATTGATCCGAATTTGTATTTACATTCAAAGTTTTTACTACACGCAAACGTATTCATTTAATTTTAGTCTTTTCTTCTAAATTATTCTGTATACTAGAGATATAGATAGCGTGTCTTAATTGTTAATAGAAATAAATTTCATATTTTTCATGCAACGTGTCATAATTACAAATGGAGTTTACATCAAGGTTTATTTTTTCGGATGGGCGAAATGAAAATTTTGGGTGCGAGCACCGCTTATCAGTACTTTGTCTAAGTCTTATCTTTTGGACGGGCGCCGCCCATCCACGAGATAAAACAAAACTGGTTTTCATGATGAAAAATTTCAAATGATACTTTTATGGAAAAAATTTCTTAAGGACAGGAAATTCTGTTAACTTACAAAAATATGTATATATTTAGGCAAGACTAGAAGCAAGTACTTTCTTATAAAAAATCTGGGCTTTAGAAATCCTAATGGACGTGTTACAATCGAGATAGAAAAATTGTATAATTTATTTTTCATCACAAGGAAACAGAAAATGGCTATATCGATTTTTGAAAGCTACTCCCAGCTCAAAAAATCTTACGTCAGATCTTGCAAAATCTTACAAGAATCTGACAAAAAATCGTGGTTCCTGATATCTTGTATCAAGTCATACCACGTTTTTCTTAAAATATCTTACGTGCATTGTATTTTCTCAGTAATAGTTATAAGTGAGATTTTGAAAAAATATTAATTTTAGTAGAATGTTATGGTGGCATTGTACTGCATAAGAATCTTATAACAGTTATTATAGTACGAACTAGTGCAAGAAATCAGGAACCGCGACTTTTTATATAATTCTTGTCTGACTTCATCCGATCATATATGATCAGAGATACGATTCTTACAAGACCTTGCTATCTGATTGCTCGACCTGGGCTAATACGCAAGCAAAATATTTGTTTTCAGTCTTCACTATTGATATATCATCTAATTTCTTTTCTTATACAAAATCATTTATTCGAACTTACATTGTTCACAATATTCTCCTGTGTACATAAAATTACATATACATTGATATTTAACAATTAAATTTTTGCATGTTCCATGACTTCCACAACGTGTATTATTATAACAACTATTAATTGCTAAAATAAATAAATTAATAATAGATTTAATATTGCAAAAATATAACATTACTCATTTTACAAATATAATGATTACTTCGACGTTCTAAACGAAATTTTTCTTCTAATGATATACGTCGTGTTGCTTTACTTATATCAATAATTAAACTTGTATTTGCTGGTGGTACATCAGGTAGAGGTTTATAAATTAATGAATAATCATTAATATTTCCAACAGATAAAAATTGTTGTTCACCCATTCGTTTTTCTAATTTTAATACTGAGAAAAAAAGATAAAATAATTCAATTTGTTTTTTACACAATGAATAAAACTTACTATATTTGCCTTTAGTAAAATTAACAGCAATACGAGGACTATCAAATGATTGAGTTTGATCATATATATGAGCAAGAACATAATCAAATTCATTAACTGATTCAATATCCCAAAGTTTAGCATGTAATAAATGACAACGATTAGAAGCTAAAAGAAAATTTTTGTTATAAAGTTTTTCGTTTTGAATAGATTCATAGGTGATTGTCAATTATTTAAAAAGAAAAATAGTTAGTTGTCTATTGATTTATATATTTGTTAGTATGTCTCTGCGAATATCTATATATGTAGCAACACATAATAGACAAATGGCATATTTTTTCGATGAAATAACTATGATTATGACTAAAGGTTTTTTGAAGATAGCTAATTCATCAGGATATACAACTTCAACGGTGATTCTAACTTCTTTGCTATTTTGTCATATATTTTGTATGTAATATTTTTATACTAAATTAAAATTATGAAGTCATAAGTAGTATCTATCGTAAGATAAAAACTTGTTGCTTCGACATCCGATATCAATAGATAGAAATAAATTTCAATTCATCACTATATTTAATCTTAGGTTTGAATAGAATTGTTTGAGTTAACATAACAATAACTGTTTGTCTTACAAAATCTCAATTCTTCAATTTATCATTTAAATAGAAAATATCGGCGAAAAAAATTCCAGTTTTAAATTCTTCCATTATTGTTACCTTAGCTGTTATATTTTCAATGATCTATGTTCGAAGATATCATCTTAATGAAAAAGATTCTATTAATGTATATGTTGGGGTCAAAATTGGAATTGAGTCAAATTTAGAATTTGACCGGACAAAATTGGAATTCTAGTTTTGACCAGGCAGAATTAGAATTCTAATATAGACCAATATTTTCTTAGACAAAATTGGAATTCTGATTTTGACCAGGCTGAATTAGAATTCCAAAATAGACTGATATTTTTTTTTGGGGCAGAATTAAAATTCTAGTTTCGACCGGATAAACTTCGAATTTCAGTCGAATTTTTTTATCTTCATCTGAATTCTAATACTGTTCAAAAAAAATACTAGTATATGATAGAATTCTAATTTTGTCTGGTCAAAACTAGAATTCCAATTTTGTCTGGTCAAATTCTAAATTTGACTCAATTCCAATTTTGACCCCAACATATACATATGTTACAGGCGAAATTAAAATCCAGGGCAATTTAAAATTGCTCGAAAGGAAAATTAAAATTATTTTATTTTTTCCTACATTTTGTGAGAAATTCTTAAGATTTTAATTTACACGATCTTGACATTGAGAATGAGAGCGAGAATGATGGTCAGAATGAACGCGTAGTGTGCTGATTCTTAAGCATTTCTCACAAAATGTAGGAAAAAACAAAATTGTTTTGATTTCTCCTTAGAGGGATTTTAAACTACCCTAGGTTTTAATTTCTTCTGTAACATATATATATTCGTTAATTACTGTTCGTACAATCAATTCGTATTTTAAGTAGAAATGGTGAAAATTCTGTTTAATCTAAATATGTAACTAGCATAACGATCGAAAACAATTTATAAATTACATTCTTTTATAAAGAAAATTATAAACAATGATAAATATTCACAATCAAGCGAAGTTACAGATACATTTTTCTCTTCCAGATAAATTCTTAATTTATGAATTAAAAGACTAGAGTATTGAAAAAAAAAGAAGAATTTGTAACAGTAAATACCATTCAATTAGTAGAGTCAATCGACTAAGGACAAACCTATTGTACACACTAAATCAATACTGCAAAGGAATTTTTTGAACTCTCCTTATTTAATAATTCAATTCGATATAGATCTTCGGATTTTTATAAAAGATATTATTTACAATTCCATTTTTAGTTACAAAAAATTCTGTACCTTCATCAACCGATATATCAGTAAATCCAATTCCTTTCCAATCGTCTAATTGTTTTGGCGGTAAATAGAAATAACATGAACCATTATAGAAAAAACTGCCAGGTGGACAAGCTATAATTAAACAAAATCATTAGTTTTAAAAAATAACATTTTTTTTTGAAAACAAATATTTACTACTAGCAAGATCATCAATTTTTTTCATAGCATCAGTAATAGCTTGTTTAAATCCTACGAATAAAATAAAAAAACATTTATTTTAATACAATCTTTATAGATATATTCGAAAAAGACATACGCATTCCTAATTCTCTTTTATCTTGTCCAATATTATATATGCTAGACGTATTAACATGATGACAGTAAAATAAACAAATAAAAATTAAAATATTTGCTAACATAGTTAACCTAAAACAAATTAAAAAAAATCATTATATTTAATACTTAAAAGAAAAACGAAATAGACATAATAAACAATCATTTGATTAATCTTCTTTTTTTTTTTGCTTTTACAAGAAAAACAAAATAGATAATAAATTCTAGATGATGTATGGATTGTTTATATTATATGACAGAATTGAACTATATCATCTATGAATTGATGAATAGAAGAAAAAAGAAACTGTCAGTTTTAAACATTCTATTCAATTCATTTATTTTCAATATGTTTATCATAATCAAACATACATACTGAGCTTATATTTACATAAGAATATCTATGGTCAAGGTGGCATGATGCTAATTATCATTAATAGCATCATGATACAAACCTAATCCAATAGAAGTGTGGTTGTTGTTGTTGATAGTAGTTGAAAAGAAAAATAACGTAACTATTCTTCATCTCGATATAAACATACAAAAATGATACTCAAGTGTATTTAAATAGTATACATATTTTTGTTTCGCTTGCTCCCTCTCTCTCTATCCCTCTTGAGATGCAATAAATTTTATATTGAAACGAAGGTGATCATTAAACAACGACATTCAACATACGGTAACTAATTTACTCAAGACGACTCATCTATCATCTCACTGTCCAAGTCAATTAACTTATGAAGGGTGAAAAAAAACTCTCATAGTTAATTATTAACTCGAGACAGACGACAGTTCAACCCGATAATAACCTGTTTCGATGACAAGTAATGTTCGACAAAAATAAATCAGATAAATGACAATAGTGTTAATTGGCTCGAAGAATGCCGGAGGGTTACAAATCTTAGCACGAAGCAAAAAAAAGAACTTTTTTTTTTTTGTAAATATGAAAATGATCTTATTCATTAAATTCTTTGTATATAAATACACATTTAAATGAAAAATGATCGTTATATGAACAAGAGAGTTGTTGCCCAAGGTAACTCAATTGATATTTCTTCTTTTGTTCAATTTGACTCCATGTGTCCTCGTCAATGTTCAGAGAAATATCAAATTATATTCATTTTAAAATAACTTAAAAGAAAAACCCTATGTCTCATATACTTGCATATAATAAGCAGAACGAATAAAAATATGTAAGCAAGAGGAAGAAAAAAAAAGATATGTTGATTGGAGATGCCGGGCATCGATCCCGGTGCCTATCGCATGCAAAGCGATCGCTCTACCAAGTGAGCTACATCCCCGTGCTTTTACTCGATAGAATAAATCTATAGTAGATGCATGAGGATGGTATATTTATCTCACATATGTGGTAGAGATGAGAGAAAAAAATTATAATTAATCTGTTTTAATGAAAATGTTGCATAAGTTTACATTGGGCGGCACATAGAACACAGCAGGAATCTGTCGATCAACAGACTAACATATGGATGATATTGACTATGAACATTAAGAATGTGTCTATAGGGTGATTCACTTACTAGAAATGGATGATCTTTGATGTTAATCTTTTACTGAAATTATTAAAATACTCACTCTAATAATTTTTTTTTGTCTAAAAGAAAACTTACATGTTTGTTTTTGATATAATTTAATGTCTTATTTTACGGTCGTGAGTTAATAAAAAAAATTAGATGTACATGATCAAATTGATTGTAATAATTCAAGTACACAATATCAGAGAATAAATAAATCAAGTGGCGAATACCAAGACGTGTGGATATGTTTTATCTTATACTTTCTCTTTTTCATATCGTCTCTTTCTCTCTCTGTCTCTTTTTTTTATTAGAGACAATGCCTTTGTCTGTGTTCTCTACTCTCTCTTGTTCTCTTCTCTGGTCAATTGAATGACTCCATTGTATATATGTGTGATTGTCTGATAAAAAAAAATCTATGGCAATAGTTATGTTTTGGATATAATTGAAAGGACAAATATATTGCATTCTCTGAACTTTTATCAGTCGGAAATTGAAAAATAAGAATATTGCCCCTAGACATCTATACTTAACAATTATTTAGGTGTAGTCTAAATCATATAGACCTTGTCGTTGACACCTATTTAGCAAATATTATGTTTGATGTGATTCGTATCTTGAGTGGTCTCACTTCACACATACGTATACATCTTCTCTCATGATGATTGATTGTCATCTTAGCTGTTGCTGTCTGGACCGCCTTCTCACTATATCAAGAGCATCACAGCAAGTGTTGTGACTTATATGAAATTCAATTTTTTCAAATTAACACATATTAGTCATGTATAGATCTGATGTCCTTGTTAGAGGAAAAGAAAACCGGTGGTTAGTGAAGAATTTATTTAAGTGAACGTACAAATCATACAAAAAAATTTATTACGTAAAATACTGAAAGTAATTTGTGTATGTTTATTGTTCAACCTTCGTTATGTTTATAGCTATCATTAATAAAAAAAAGTGACTAGTCATCTCATATGAACATACGAAAGTAGATAATTATTTTGACAGTTTATAGATTTTTATATGATTTAATATAATTGATTGTATTGTAAATTGACATGAAAATAGGTCTATAATTTTTACTTGATTGAATAACAATGTTATTACTGAATACTCGATATGTAATACAAACTTATTATTGAACAGTGATTGTTTTGATGAGTCATAGTTTATGCGTTGTTTTTATTATTAATAGAGGTGGTTAACGCTATTTTTGTATCGTTCGCATCCCTAACGAGAGAAGCACCCGAGGTGATAACTCCTGTTTTCATTCATTCATATCTGATTTAGTTAAGTATTTTGAGATAGTAAAAACCCTAAAGGGGATTTTGCCCAATCTCATTCCTTCAGTAGTTATCCCCATTTTACTTGATTTTCGATCTATTATTCGGTATATACCTCAAAAAATAAACTACGGAGTTTCGAGCTGAAATTTTGCCGGTATACAGGTCCAATAGTTATTAGAACAACCTGGAAGTTTCAGCCAAAAAGAATGTTCCTTTCTTGAGATATTCAGTATTCAAGTGAACTCCATTTTCATGATCTATATATAGTAAGCGATTATTTTTTGAGGTATATACCTAATAATGGATCGAAAATCAAATAAAATGGGGATAACTACTGAAGGAATGAGATTGGGCAAAATCCCCTTTAGGGTTTTTACTATCTCAATTATACTTAACTAAATCAGATATGAATGAATGAAAACGGGAGTTATCATCTCGAATGCTTTCCTCGTAAGATAAAAATACTTATAACTCATGCTCTACTGAATAACTTTCAACGGTTTTGTATGAAACAACAAAAATCAAAAATGATGATTTCTAACGCCATTTGATAAAAAATACATATATATTCCAAAATTTTGATTGGATAAATATTATTTGACAGCTGATACTTTCTACTATCTAACCATACCGAAGAATCATAAATTTGTTATTGAACTGTCTCTAAAATCTTGTAATAATTACTTTGACTATTTTACGTCTCGACAGATTAAATCCAATCTATTAAAGTTAGTTGGAACCAAACTGCAGATTTCTTTTTATACATTTGTAGACTGAAGAGTGAGAAATATTTCTGTAGAAAAAATTTTCTCTAATGAACTTTCAAATCAAATCAAAACCGAAAAACAAAGTGGGTAAGTGACTATGGTTGTTGTAAATGTCCCAATAGATTTTTGATTATTTTTCTTTGATTTCTCGATAAATATAGGAAATTAATCGACTATTTTTTTATCATTTTAAGATCCCTAAGTGGTAAACCTACCATAGAAATATCATCTCTTAGACAATCATCGTTCATCAGAAAACAATATTTTTTCCAAGAAATGTCCCGACAGATTTTCTAGTATCACAATATCATGAATGATTGATTTTGCATATTTATCGAAGATTTTTGATAGTTTCGATGATTGGAAGGTGCATCTCGTCTTCTATCTACTCTCGATATTAGTAAAAAAAAGCGGTTCGAGATATAATATCTTAGCAGAAAATCTACAATATTCAATGTTTTTAGAAACGTCGATTTTCTCGAAAACAAAAGTACTGACAGTCGGGAAACTATCTGGAATATATATATATAACTAACAGAGCTATATCAAATGTATGATTCAAGTTTTCTTTCTATTCACTTTTATTGTTTTAATCAAACGGTACAATGGTAGCGCAAATCATCCATATATATATATATTTGTATTTAATAAATGCCAAAAAACATATTGAAAAAATATGTATTTCAATCCTTCAATTAAACACTTACTGTCAAGATACAAATATTAATAACTACTACTATCTTGCTTTATGAATCATTTTAATGATTGATTTATTTTGACAATTAAATAAGTATTGAATTGAATAGTGAAACGTTTCAATAAAATATTTCATCGATAGGGGATAATTAATAGACAGAAATTTCTATTTTTATTCTCATAAGAGTTATCTAAAAAGTTAAAATAATCGATTTATTTTCATGACTACGATAACATCAAGTAATAGAATTCCATCGATGATATATTATTAAACTAATGCATGACTTTCGACTGAATTATTTTGCTTTTCTTGTTGTTAGTATATTATTATCAGAACGATTATATTAATAGAAAAAATAAAATTATATATCGAAAGAAAAAACATATTGTGCATATGTTAGCAGAAACAAGTGTATCCTCTATCGTTTCAATAACCTAGAACTATTCTTTATCATCTACGAATTGTAGAAGGATTTTATAATATTCCATAGAAATTGTTTGAATAGTCTTCTTATGAGTTTTTGATTCAATGTTTTTATGTTAAATCCGAAAAACACTAGTACCCAAGCGCAAACAAGATTTTGAAAAAAAAACGCTTCCGCAATCAAAAAATGTTCTTTACACGTTGAAAGAAGTGTTTTTAACGTGTGGTAAATAACACTTTTTGATCGCGGTTTTTCAAAATCTTGTCTACTGGGTATCAGTCATTTTTAACGTATAAACTAGGGTGGAGCGATATCGGTGCAATTACTGAAAAAACTGTTATTTATTCGCCGTCCGTGACTTAACTGCTTCCGTGTACACCGTGCCGGTGTAGTCTGTGTAACAGTGAACTCGATGTGATTAGTGTTACATTGAGCTCAGTGTTGTAATTTCATTAAACCGAAATTGCTCATCCAGGGGTGGCGCGAGTCAACCAACATTGAGGGAGGGGGGTGTAACGAAATCTTTTTTAATTTCTGGGGGGTGTAGCATCATTTTTGGTAAAAAAGTTAAGAAGATTTGTCGGTTTTTGTTGAGCAAAACACAGAAATTTTCGAAGATTCGGTGGGTGTTACACCCCTCCCCCCGCCGGTCGCGCTACCCCTGTGCTCATCCCTAATATAAGCTGTATGAAGGCAACTATGTATAAGCTTATCTTATGATATATTCGTCATACAACACATGTAAAATAGTTATTTACATTTTTAAGATAGTTATTTACATTTTTAAAATAGTTTATATTTGTAAATATAATCAAATAAATATGAATACGTTCACAATAAAAATGATGATTAAACTCATTTGAAGCATTCTAACATGTTTTCAAATTGATAAAATACAGTACATTAACGAAGAGTTTTTTTTTCAACACTTTCTGATGTACACAAAGTAAATTATACTGTCAAAAAATCGATTTAGAATAATTTTTTGTCTCGAAAACTCGAAGAAAATTTATAAACAAACGTTTTATTACCTAAATAAAACCGAACGAAAGATTTATAATACAAAATGAGATTTGGTTTTTTTATTCTATGAGTAATATTAATTTTATGTTATATGTAACATATTTTGCATTAATAAATCCATATTTTGTAAATCGTCATTCATTCGTATAATTGAATCAACTTGATCGATTATTGTTTGAACATGTAAATATTTCGTTACCATTTTTGTAAGTAAATGCACTGAATTTTCTTCTCCACATTTCTCAAGCATATATAACCATAATAATTCAATATAAGACGATTGAATTTGTTTTATAGTATTTAATTGTTCATATTCTGCTGGATTATATAGAGATATTGTTGTTAAAGGATTGGTAGAAAAAAATAAACAACACATATATAATTTAAGAACAATTGGATCTTGTATAACAAAATCAACAAATGTATCTGCTAATGAACGTAATACCACATGTAAATCGACATCATTCATACACCCAATTGTTCGAAAACGTGGAGCAGAAAGATGTAATCTAGGTGTTTTTAATATTGCATAATTCAATGGAATAAGAAGACGAATATTTTGTTTTATTAATGCAACTTGATCGCCAGTATTTAGTGTTCGTAATTCGGGTAAGTGTTTGAAATAGTTAATGAGATTAATAAAAATCGGTTTTTTACGCTCATACATTTCATCAATACGTAATTGAGGACTTTTCGGTGGTCGACCTAATAAAGGTACACTTGGTTCACGAGTAAATTGATCATAACAATGTGATATATTATTAAGACGTGTTAAATCTAATGAACTTAATATTGATGGATAATTACAATAACCAGGATCTATTACAGCTGGAATCTAAAAAAATTCATAGAATATATTTACAAATAGAAGATGATTTGAAAAGAACGAACTGTAATTGGTTGTTGAGAAAATTTACGACGTCGACTTTTCTCTGTTCTACCACGTCGTTTCAATTTATCTTCTTCACTACGTATCCATTCTTTTTTCATACCTTAATTTAAAAAAAAAGTTATATTAATTAATTTTTACAGTTATCATAAAAAATTTCTTCATTAATATTTCAATTGCTTACTTATACATATTTAAAAAGAAAGAATTTTATTTCCCCTTTTCATTTAGTCAAATCGACCCGTTTCTTTTTTCTTTATTTATTTACTGTTCTTCAAGTTTCTATGACCTTTTACCCGTTCTGCAACGTACTTTTTGTATGCATAAATCATATATGACGTATTAAAAACAGATCTAATCAACAATTTTATTCAACCTACCAACAGCAAAGCATTTTTTAATACGACAATACGAACAGTGACGTCGTGTATCAGTTGTAATATTACAAGTACCGGAAAATCGACAATGTAAATCATTCTAAATAAAAACAACGAGAAATTTTATTTAACGAAGAAAAAAACAAATTTTGTTTACTATATTTTTCAAAGCATTTCGTCGAAAAAAAGCTAGGAAATAAATGTTAAAAATAAATATTTTTCATATTTTTCGTTTATTTATTTTACCTTTACAGCTTTCACATGATATTTGATCAAAATTATATCCAAATGCTCTAGCATTACAAACAGCACAACGTAAATCTCTTTTTTCTTTCTTTTGTGTATTATTTATCACGGCAATTTTGTACTAGAAAAAAAAAGATAAATAAATAAATAAATAAATAAAAAATAAAATCTTTTTTTTTGCTTTTACTTTTTCAACCATTTCTGAAACAGTTAAATTGGGATCAATTAAATATTCATCGATAGAATCTTCAATAAATATCGATGAATTGTACGAAGAATCAAATATAACATCCATCTGAAAATAAAAAATTCTGAATTTTCTTCTTTTTGCTGATATTAATAACAAAAAATAACGCTTGTTGACGCCCATTGTAGACAAGGACAATCAACGACTCGAGAGCTGATTCATTTATGAAGGAAAGCATTACAAAGTTTTAAACTGATTCGTTCTCGTTTTTTTTTACTTACCCATTTATTTTCTAACAGCAGATGTAAAGAAACGAAGAGAAGCAAAGAAAAAAAAAACATTTTTTCTTTCTTTCTTTCTTCTTACTGAATATACATTATCACACGCATTTTCTCAATAACAGTCATTAAAAATAAATCAAAAAACTCATACGAAAAAAAGAACAAAATATAGATTGAATTACGAAAAAATAAATAAATACATGTATTACATTGATCTAACTTTTTCTTTTGATTATACTGCAAAAACATGAGTTTTTAATGGATGTATACGTCAAACTTGTTTTTTCATTTATTATTTATTCCAAGGACAATATTGTAATCAAAATACTATTATATGATTGAAGAGAAAAATGTAGGTCACTATTCTGTTATTTCCATTTGTATTATATAAATTCTGTAATTATAAAAATCTTAAATATTTATGCATATGTTAGTAACCTTGAAAATATTTCTAGATTTCATTGTAAATTTTATATATATCTATCCATTACTAATTAAACTGTCATTAAGATACCTTATTTTATTATATTACCGTACTATAAATATCAATCACTATATAAAAAAGAAATGTAGTCAATATGTATCTATGTTTTGAATTAATTATTCTTCTTCTCCTAAACTAAAAGTACTTTTTTAAATAAATATTAAACATTACATCGTTTTCAAAATAAAATAGAATGTCCGCAGAGTGCGTCATAAGTTTTAATATTAGTTTTTTTTCGTTACTGTTTATGAAAAAATAGCTATTCTTATTATCATTTTCTTGTTTTTTTCTATTCTTTAGTTTCATGAATGAATTCAATTCAATCTGACACACGATATTTTTTTTCATACATAAAAATATTTCTTTGACACTGAAAAAATTACTTTCTAGAAAAACATAATATTTAGAGCGAGAATATACAAGCATATATCAACCGTGCTTTTTGAATGATTAATTGATATGTATAATTAGTCACACTTCTAGTATAAAAAAATATATTACTAGGAGTGCTGCTTTAGTATTAGCCTAATGTCAAAATGCTAATACGTTGTATTAAAATCAGTCTGAAACTTCATGCTTTGGGTATTAGTGTTGAGTTAGCATTAGGAAAATTTCCAAATATAGAACACTTTTGTTCTGTTCCTAGGGATCATAAGTATTAGCCTTTTCCTAATATTAACTTAATACAAAGCTAGCATTTCTATAATGTATTCATTTTTTGTTCGTAGAACTTAAATTAGAAGTTATTAAAATTATTTATGTTTGTAAACAGCCAAATGAAATTGACAAACGTTTTTATATATATAAACGAGATTACAAAATATGAGATTGTATCTGACACAATAATTAATACAAAGCACAAAATAAGAATATTTATCAGACTAGATAGATATATTTATCGGACGCAATTGTCGAAGTTGATCTTGTAGATTAGCAGAAGATTGACGTGCACACGGATCTTGACACCAATATAAATCAAGTAAATTGAAAAATGATATAAGAATCTATTTGAAAGACGAACAAAAATAAATTAGTCAATATATTTCATTCAACTTACACTATCGGATGTATTTATACAACTTAATGGACGTTTTTGTTCGATACAAACAAGTTGAATAAGATTATCAATTGTAAAATTAATAGGTAATTGATTTTCATAAGGTCTTATATGAGTTATTGAACAACAACAATTTCCTATTTCCCAAAGAACAAGTGCTAATGAATACATGTCACCTTGTTGATATGCACTAATACGATCAAAATTAAAATGACTATTTTTATCGAGAAATTCAGGTGGCATATATAATTTTGTACCAACACGATGATAGAGACGTTCAATACCACCACCTTGAATATCTTTCGTATGTCTAAGAAATATAGTTAATATTTTTTGTTTCGTCATTAAATCAAAAAAAAGAAATTAAACATACGGATTACATCGAACAGCTAAACTAAAATCCGATAAACAACAATCACCATTTTGTTTAACTAATATATTTGAACTTTTTATATCACAATGTGCCATTTGTGGTTTGCAGACATCTAAAGAAAAATTAGAATTTAAAATCAAGTAAAAGAAATGCGCAGTGCTAGGACAATTGCTGATATGAATATGTCTAAGACATTTCAGTAATCAGTAGACTGAAACTGCTCATTCCTAGATAGATAAACTAATTTTTTGCTTGGAATCGACTATATGAATTTAATTCAGACGGAAATTACAATCAGTCTGGCATAATAACAAACTAATTTGAAAATCATTTAAGTATATTAAAGAACTAGTGAGAACTTTTTCTCGTTGTTTATCAACTTAATGTTTTTATAGAATTGTTTATGACCAAGTAGACAGAAGTAATGCATCGTTTACTATAAAATTGTTTTCGATACCGATTCAGTATTATCTACCCCGTGATCTAATATATTCTAGCTTTTAATAGGATTTATAAAGGAATGTGTGCGACATATTGAGTATTCATCATACTTTTCATTCCATTGATTTGAAAGTTTTATAAACAAAACAATCTTCGAATTTACAGAGAAATCAGTTCAACATTTTGTTTTTCTATCAAATAAAAATTTCTAAGTTCAATTTTTTGATAATACAAAATAAGATTAGTCTTTCATTTCATACTCAATTTTTTCTTCGTTCCTTTCAACAGCTAAAAATAATTATAATTCCGGATAGAAAAATGTCACCTTAGGAGGTTTATTTAATTATTAAAATGAGTGTACCCTTGTTTTTAAATTAGCTGAATAAAGACAAATAGAATAGCATAAACTATTTTATCTCGATGGTTATATATGTGATCCTGTAACTAATGATATGCAAATGAAATTATAATTTTTTGATTAATCAAACTAGAAAGAAAATAAATTTATATTCAGGAACTAACCATTCATTAGATTACCGTTTCTATCAAATAGAAAGTATTAATAGAATTTTATAGCTGTCTTAAACTATAAATCGTGTCATACTTCATTCTATAACGAACACTCAAGAATTTTCTATTCTAATTATGATAGTCTCTAGTACGTGGGGTTATGACGTAAGTTATTACCATTAGTTCCATATTTAATTGAATGTAAATGTGCAAGACCATCACATAATGATATTGAATATTGAAATAATTGTTCAATAGTAACAAATTGTTTCGTTTTATTTTCTTGAAGAATATCATGAAGTGTTCCAGATGGATGCCATTCAAATATTAACATATGATACGTTTCTGTACCTTTAGCAAAAAAATCAGCACCAAAAAAATCTTAAATAAAAATAAAAATTTCATATGTATTAAAAACTGACGAAATTTTAATTACTTAATATATTTGGATGTTGAATAAGATCAGTTTGAAAAATTGCACGTTCACGTTCGAATTCATTTTGAAATCTTGTTTCATACATTTTTATTGCACGATATTGTTGTCCGATAAGACCAAGACGAACACGTGCATGTCGTCCTTGACCGATTTGTTCATGAAATATAATTTCTTTATTTATACGACGAGTTTCCTTAAATTATAAAATATTGATTTAAAAATAAATTATTTATATTTCAAATCAAATAAGAAAACACTTTACAAGTACTACAGTTTGATTATGATTATCAGGTGTTTCAGAATTCCATGAAATAGTATCAGAATGATGTTCAGTTGGAGATACAAATGATGTCGTTTGATTTTTTATATGAATATCAAAACTATTCTCATCATCAGCTATAGTATGTGATTTAAATGATGGTGATGACCAAAGATTTCGAAATCTAATTAATAGAACAAAACAAAACTTACAATGAATAATTATTGTTTTCTTACTTTCGTTTATATGCACAATACATAATAATAGCTAATAATATAAGAGCAATAATAGTACCTATGACAATAATGGTACCCCATACACCAATCTGATGATGATCCTGTACAGATGTTGATGCTAGTTTTAATTACAAAAGAAAACATACAAGCTCGGAATTATTGAAATCCCTTTTGCTGACAAATAAATCAAGATTAATACACATAATCGGAAAAAAGTTGTAAGGCGTGATTTATAAACAAAGGCAAGCGATTCGTAGAGAGGGCTGAGTCACGTCCTCTAACCTCCGTTTGATTACGCACATATCGTTTTGAAACAAATTTCTTATTTTATTTGCTTTACGCCAATTTTATATCAATTATTACTCATTTGCTTTTCTAGGCATAGCCATCAGAGTTTAAATATACTTTGACAAAGAAAACAATTTTGATTGCTATTATATTCAATAAAAAGACTTACATGTAATTGATTCATTTAATAATGGATAATTAATATTACAAAAGAATGAAGAACAACATTCTGTTCGATAATTTGCATCAGTTGTATTGCACTGAATACAATAAATGTATTTACTTTATATATATCATATCAATGAACATTATAACTCACTAAAAAACGAGCGACATCAGCTTGAACACAACCAAAATCATCATTGGTACCGTTCGATTTTATTGAATGTCGATAATAACAAAAATCATTTTCATTGAGAGTTTCACAAAAAAATCGTGGTAAACAATATTTACAATTACATTTCATTTTCTAAAACTATAAATTTGCTTCAATTTAAAAACAAAGCTGAATAGAGAATAAATTTTTGTATATATAAACTAAGGATTAACTTATCATATTTCTTTTATTCTCCTAACAATTGGCTGATAAATTATCAAATGAAAATAATATCAATAAGGAGGCAATATTGAAATACTTATTCTTTATCATTTTATTAAATAAAAATATTTTTATTCAAGTGAGATAATCTACTATGACGTTTTTTATTATAGATATTAATAGGATGGCCAATCATGATATAATCTTTATTATATTTTATTTATAGAAAAGAAAAGATTTTGATAGATTGTTTTTTCTTTTATACAGTTGAATTATACAGATTATAATCTGCTTTAATATTTCAAAGTCTATTCCTTCTTCTTCTTCTTCCTTTTTTACAGTCTACCCCGCTGTGTAGTCTCTATTTGTTTCTTTCTTTCTTTCTAACTGAGAAAAAGAACTTTTATATGTTGAAGAAATGGTAATGCCGCCGTTTCATTTCATGGTCTTCTTTTTTCTTGCTATTACTTTTCTTGTTCTTGCATCTGTATTTTTGGTCGATGCCATCGGCAAATATTTGATGAAGAGAGAGTTGAAGAGAAATTTTTCTTGTTTTATACACCTGCATTGCTGAGTCATAGAATAAAAAGCGAGAGGGAAAGAGAGAGAAAGAGAGAGAGAAAGAGGAAAAAAGAAGAAAAAAAAATAGTCAGTGCCTTTCATTCATTCAAACATCGAACAGAATATCATTGTCGTCAACATACAATCAAGATGAAGGTATATATCATAGAAGAAATACTTCCACGTCTTCGTGATAGATATGTGCAACTATGATAATCTATAGTACTAGTGATATATCATTTACATAGCCACTGAGAAAAGAAAGAACAAGGAAAAGCTATAAGAATAGTTTTTTTTCTTTTTCTTGTATCTGTAGATGACATAAAAAATCTGCGTTTTTTTGTCTATCTAGATAACCAATTATTCAACATCATGTTTTAAATGGATTCATTGCAATCAAAGATTTCAGTAAATACAATGACAGCTTACTTCGGAATATTTAAAGGTATGTTAAATTTTATTTAATAATTATTTTTTGTAAATAATAGAAAACGACGTTTATGATAACATGCAAATCTTCTAATATGATTTAATGTCTATTTTATGACATTCATCACAATTTTTCTTTTTAAATAATCATTAAATTTTAAATCTATTAAGGCATGCTAATAAATCAATAAAAAAATTTGTTATTGTTTTTCAGAGCCTCGTGGCCTTATTCGGCTGCTTCAATTTATTTTTGCTATATTTGCTTTTGCTACGGCATGCAATGGTAGTTCTTCATTATATATTAATAATACTAGTGGCCAACAATTAGCAACAGCTGATTGGTCTTATCCTTATAATTTAAAAAATACCCCAATCTCATATGCAAATAATACCGATTCTGGACAAAGTTTATCAAGTTCAAATGATATTAAATCATCAGCAGAATTTTTTGTTTTTACTGGTGTTACATCAATGTTATTATCTTTTGCATTCGCAATACTTTATGTTATTATGGATCGTCAATATCGTAATGATGAACGTTTTCCTATAGTTGATTTATTTATCACTGTAATCTGGACAATTTTTTGGATTGCTGGTAGTTCAGCATGGGCACAAGGTGTATCAAATATTCGTTCACAAACTTCATGGAGCAATGCAGCCAAACTTTTACCAGATTGTTCTCCTAATAATGCAAATTGTCCAAGTGGTTCATGTGAGTTATTTCTATATTTTAAAATATAATATTTTTATTATTATTATTATTATTTTTAGCTGGTACTTATGCCAATGTAATTGTATCAGTTATATTTGGCTTTTTAAATTTTTTTCTTTGGGCTAGTTGTATTTGGTTTGTTTATAAAGAAACAAAATTCTTTAAAAGTCGTACAGCTCAACAACAACCACAACAAAATAATTTCTCAAATATTGGTCCGTCAGGCATGCATCAACCATCTAATACACAAATGCCCGGCAGTATGGGATAAATATACGAAAACAAAACAAAAAAACAATAGAATGATTTATTTATACTTCTCTTTCTTCTTTCTTTTCATCATATTCGAAATCTCACCTCTATAGGTTAAGTACTTATGATCATTGTTGTATTGCCTGTGATTGCTTTTTGTGAAAGGAAAAAAAAATATTCTGTTTTGTTCATTCTTTTTTGCTTCATTCAATATATCACATTTCGTTTTTTCTTTTTCGTTTTTATTACTCAACAAGAGAGGAAAAAGAAAATCTTTTGCTTTATGCATAATTATATAATGTTTTGTTTTCTTTATTGCTTTGTATTCAGTATAAACTCGAATCACAATTCGTTTTTGCTTTTTTTTCCTTCTTATTATTGTCGTCTGAATTGAAAACGATATAAATTCATCGAATAGGACTATGACAAATTAATATTAATATCTTATTTGTAATTAGAGGGTGTAGCTAAGATTGATTGATGTTTTAACATCTGCTTTCTTTTATTTCTTGAACATAGAATAGAAATAATAAACGACAATTTTACATCTCATGGGATGATTTTATCACAAAACATGAAATTTCTGACTATTGAGGATAGAAATAAAACAAAGAATAGATCTGGAATTAAATGAATGCAAGCATGAAATTGAGTCGCATACATTGTATTAAGTAAAACAGTTATTCAAGTATGTACTTGACAAAAATACAAAATATAAAACATGATATATTTGTTGGTATTAATCGAAAAAAGTATTCTTAACCAATAGGTTTAACACTAACTAAAGTAATATTTTTTGTTTGAAAATTTTGCATGTGTCATATATGTTATGCTTATCAATTTGGTAAGGTTAATGTTGAGATCGATAATACAGAAGAATCATCTAATCTGTTTTTCGGGTTTATCAAATCAATTCTCTATAGTTTTGACAGATTTTCTACTCAACGTCAAAGGTTGTGATAATAATAAATTTAAAATTATTGTTATTATTGTTATTAACACAATGGTTGTCAGTATAAGACAATATTTATCTACCTGAATAATGTGACTGTTAATATTTGATTAAATACTAGAATTTATCTAGATTTTAATTTTTATTGAAGCATATTGTAGGGCAGATTTTAACTAAAGTATCAAGTAGAAGAGAGGTGATAATTGGACTATTATAACTCATAATAAAAGTAATTCAATGTTGAGCTATTCGATACGAATGGTATAGATTCTCATTAGTTAATGTTTGATATATCTATTGATAAATATCATCAAAGAAATCTGTATCTATACAAATGAATATTTCCGTGCAGTTCATCCATCAAAATTTTTGATAATATCAAGATTTATATCCACTATTTGAATATGAAATATGTGTTACGTATTGACAAGCATCATAATAAATGAAACTATACGTAATTTTAATGACACAATTTTTTTCCGTTCATTCGTTGTATTTCATACGAAATGAATATATTTTATCAAAAATATCGAACCAGATTGAACTGATTAACTATTTTCATAGTTCAACACTCGCTATACATCGAATCGATATATAACGAATTTAATATTTCGAAAAGTACAGTTTACGAAACAACGAAGTTTATTGATTGAGCAATGTACATTATAATTGATCTTAATTTAGATTGATGATACTTATAATATTTATTTTCTGCTTAAATATCGTTCAGAAACCGATTTATTATTATCACATGTATATGCTTGTTGTTCAATTATTCAAACATAAAATCAAAGGAATATTAATAAGATTATGTATTATTTTATGGAAATCTAATAAATCATAATAAATAAAAATAACATAAGGAAAATAAATGACATCTAACGCAAAATTATACATTTCTTGTTTTGTCATTCTATTAATGTAGTATTGAAAAGATATTCCATCTGATATTTTTGTCGCGATTTTCATTGCATAGATAATATCGAAAAGTGAGGTGGTAAATATTGCAAAAAACCATATTTAGTGGGTGACTAAGCATGACTACAATACAGTGTATAATATTGACTGTATTAGTCAACTTCCTTAAATTTGGTTGGGAATTACCAGGTGTATGTGTGAATATATAAAACTTTGCTTTAATATTATGCATTTACAGTCTAGCAAACATTATACTTTCGTATTATTAGAACGATATTGTTATTCACAAAATGGCTACTGCAACTACGTTAATTCTATTGGGAGCAGCGGCACCATTGGCACCAGCATTGATTGGCGTATTAGGAAAGGCAAGTATTGAATTAATTCGATACCTCCATCATCACCATCAACAGCGTAAGCAACTGATGTATTCAATAGGATATGGATATGGCTATTACGGTACGACTCAAACGAATCCTTGGACTACGACGTATTATAGATGATCAATAGGTCAGTAGTTATGTCAAACACAAACTATAGCCACAAAATTTAATTGACTTTAAAAAGACTATTGTTTTTATTGAGGAGAACATCAGTTCTCCTCATCATTATATTTCATATTAGATATCTAATGTCAACGCGTTTTCTTTTACTATATCATGTTATTCTCGAAATTTTTCTCGTGTGTTAGAATTTTTTTTCGTTTGTAGATATTAGTTTAGAATAGAATAAATATATATTAATCCAGAACGAAGCAAATGTTTATATAAAATGCAAAATATGTCATGATCACTCTATGTTCTATTATATAATACTTGTATGAATACTGTAGGATTTAAAAACTCTCTAGTATGAAGACATTATTGTAATTTATCTACAACTAAGCGTTAAGTGTCAATCGAGATATGACTTTGATATACAGTAGTTTTCTCAGATTGCTCTGTACAATCATATACTCATAGATTTAGTGTGTAAAAGTTACTATCTTGTTGATTTGCTATATTAAAAAATGAAGTATTAACTTCATTTTATTCATATAAAAACTCAATAGAGAACAATAGTCTTCATAAATGAATGCATCTCATAATAATATAGACATGAGATTTAATTCAATACATCTAGGAAATCAACTAAATATAGAGTAGATATAACGAATATGTTAATTTTATATATGTTTTGTTTTTCTAAGAATTCTAGATCTTTAATTGATCATTATCAATCATAAGAAACAAAAACAACAAGCAATATACAGATCTTACACAGTTTTTACAATGAAAACTTTAACTCCAACAGAAGAACATCAAATGAATTTCTTATTGATGATCATTGACATTTTAAACAATTGTTGGTGCTATTATTAATTTTCTTTTTAACGTTTATGTATAAAATGAAAGGAGTGTTAATAAAATTCTGTCTCAATTTATGAAAAAACATAAAAAGGTAATAAATAAGAAATAAATGACACCCAACAAAAATTGTGCAATTACTGTTTTGTCATTCTGTTTACGTAGTGTCTAAAGAGGATTGCAAATAGTACTTCTACCTGGGTTGTCATTTGATTGATAATATCGAAAAGTGACGTGGAAAAATGGGAAAAAGCCACATTTCGTGAATGACTAAGGACGGTTACAATAAAGTATATGATATTGATCGTATCAATCCACTTCCTATGGCTTAGCTGGAAATTGCCAAGCGCATTCGCGAGTATATAAACTTGTATTTCAATATGCATTTGCATTCTAACAGAAACATTTTATTTTCGTATTATTCAAACAATATTATTATTCACAAAAATGGTAATTGTTACAGGAACGGCAGTAACAGCAACGGGTGTGGCACTTGCATTTGGACCTGTGATGCTCGGTTTAGCAGGAAGAGCCGGGATTGGATTAACGAAGTTCGCCTGGCATCGTTATCAAGACAGGAGGCAAGAAAACTATTCAACAGGATATTACTATTATCCTCCGATTGAATATACTTCTAATTGGACAACAACGCATAGACGCTGACCAATGCAGTAGATATATCGAACATAAACGATACTCAGGAAATTTATTTGGCTTTATATAAACAATTTTTTCTTACTGAGGAGAACTAATGTTCTCCTATAATGTTAGAATATTTTTATTTTTAAGTCTTCGTTTTTAAACACAATAAACAAATAATGCTGCAATGACGAAAATTTTTATATCAAAATGCAAACTATGTCATGTTCACTTTATAATTCTATTATATAATAATAGTATGAATATTCTAGAAATCAAAACATCACTGTAATCCACCTACAATTAAGCATTAAGTTTTGAGAATATTTATTGAAGAATCAAGATATGACTTTCATATGCAGTAGTTTTCTCAGACTGTTCTATATAATTATATATTCGTAGATTTACTATAAAAACTATTATCTTGTTGATCTGTTATATTAAAACGAGAAGTATTAACCTCATTTCAGTCATATAAAAAGTCAATAGAAAACGGTAGTCTTCATATAACGACACATCTATATATTGAAAATAAAGAATTTTTCCTTATCATGAATCATAACAAGATCATTTGGGATACTTTTTTACCAACTCGGTTACAAACATTTAATCTCGTTTTGTACTATCTATTGATTTATAATGATGTGTTGTGGTTTTGATTGAAGTAATGTCATACTATATCCGTTCTTATGCGTCATATCCTTCGTTAGTGTACATCGGTAAACATACATATTTTAATTGATACGCATGATTTGTTATATTTTGCCTGTAGTACTCCATAAAAAACCACCTACTATCGTATATTTTATTATATATACATTCGAAAAATAAAGTACACACCATGTTTTCAAATAATTTTTTTGGTACTATATCTTATCCTATCTGCGCGGAAAAGATGAGAGTTAAAATTTTTCCAAGTGATCAAAATGAAGCATCGTCTATTCTTTCGTTGATATTTATACAAGTTTATTTACTCAATCATACAAAACAAATGAGTAAAGTTCTTTATTTTGTTATTATAAACTAACGATAGTATTAAATCCAATCTTATACTATTAATTAAGTTTTCAATTGAATATTTTTAAAGATTACGATACCATAAAACTTCTCTTTCATCATTGACTACAATAAGAATAAGATTGGAATAATTAATCAATATGCATGTTTCTCCAGGTATAGAAATATATATGAGCAAAACTAGATTTATGACCTATAATCTATTCTCAAGTTGCAACCCAATATAACCGTATATTTTACGTTGTTGAATAAGATAGAATTTCGTATTATTATAAAATGAGAAATATTGTGAGAAAAGCTATAAGTTCAAAGTAGTAGGTCTTCATAAAAAAATAATCATAATAAAGAAAGTTGTATGTTTTTATTTAATGTTGACAATTCAATCAAAACATACACTACAACAAGAAAAATATTAATATAGTTCACGTGATATTCATTAAACTTGAGATTGCGTTGTATAAGCTTGTACTAATAATGAACGATGATGGTTTGATTGTGAAAGAGTTGGAGATACTTTATTTGGAATATTCACTGTAGGAAGACTGATTATTGATGGTGAATTTAATGAAGTTACTGTTGTTAATTGTGATGCAAGTAAAGTGGATGCTGAATTTGAAAAAAATGACGGAGTTAGTGGAAAACATTCTCGTTCTGATAATGGTGTTAAGGGTAGAATGAGCGATCGTTCAGCATCAGTTTTAACATATTGTTTTCGATAATCATCTAATGTTTTATCTTCATTATTATTTAAATATAATTGTCGATATCGACGTGTATCTTCAGGAGTTGTACATTTTAATTCTATCTGCTTTTGAGGATCTTCAAAAGCGACAGATCGTTGACAAAGTGGACAATATGTATTTTCATCACGATTCAAACGACGTCGACTTAATGATCTAATATTAAATATCTAGCTAAATTCTTACATGAAAAAAACATACTTTAAAGAACCCGAACAATATCGTAATAAGCAGCATAAACCTAGAAGACCGAGTAAGAGCAATAAAGGTAATCCAAGTCCAAGACCTAATCCAAATATTAATGGATTATAATCATGGGGTGGAGTCGTTATTGCTAAAGTAAATAAAATGAAAAATACTACATAAATAAACTTCTATAAAATACTAGTAGTTGTAGTAGATGTGGTAGATGTTGTTGATGTTGTTGTAGCTGAAGTTGTACTTGTTGTTGTAGTTGAAGTAGTTGATGTTGTGGATGATGTGGCTGTTGTAGATGATGTACTTGAAGTTGTTGTTGTCGTTGTGGTTGTTGTTGTTTTAGGACCAACTAATATATTAAAACAGTATTGATCTGATGAAAGATAATTAATATCAATTGCTACAGCACAAAATACAAATATTTGACCAAGTTGATCAGTTGTTGGTGTCCATGTAAGATTAATAGCATAAGATGATGATGATGATAAATAAAATGGAGGATATGATTTTAACATTCCAGGTGGACTTGATGTTATAAAATTTGTAATACTTGTATCTGTATCATTTAAACAACCGGTTTTTGCAATGACCATTGCCGTATAAAGAACACCGACTTGTATTGTAATTGTATCACCAGGTGCTGGTAAATCAGGTGGAATACTTGTTATAATAGGTACTGATGTGCAACTCGATGCTGGATTTGAATTATCATATGTAAGTATAAGAAATTGTAATGGAACTGAACTAAGTATTGTTGATGTATTTTGATCATAATCTTCTATTTGAATTGCTACTGCATAATAACCAGTATGAGGCAAAGTAACAATAAGTGTACATGTATTATTACCAGATATTAATTGTGTTGAAGAAGGTAATGCTGTTGATGCACAAACACTAGCACATTCGTTAACTGTAGTGCTACCTAATAAACTCGAAGATTTTGCAAATCGACATTGAATATCATCTCCATCGGCATCACTCATTGGAATATCAATTGCAGTTGCTAGAGTGGAAGAAGCTGGTACATAGACTACTGATGGTATATCCGATGTAGGTGAACTATTGATTAATTGATTATCTGAACGTGGTTGCATGTTTATATATGTCATCAAACTCCAACCTCCACTACCACTTGATTGTAAGATAAGCCATGCATTAGCGACAACATATCCAATAACAACACCTGTCGGTCGAACAGTTAAATTAACAGCGGTTGAACTGTGACCAAAAGACATACCCAGAGCAGTATTAAAATCAGTACAGGGTTCGTAAGTACTAATATCAGTAGTATATTGCACGCTTGTACATATAGATGCAGATGATTCGCATTTCAGAACATGTACAGCACTCTCTCCAATCAATCCATGTGATGTAATTGTTGTAGTTGTACAGCCACTATCTGCAGCACTTCTGCTCCATGCATATCGTTGATCAATAATAATCGTTTGTTTTGTATTTAATACAGATATATTATTAGTTGCTGGTCGCCAACTGATCATTCCTCCACGAAAATGAGCACAATCGACAGAATTTATAAAAATTAGTATCAGTAGGATCATCATTATTTTAACGTATCTTTAATTCACCTATAAATATGCAGAAATTGATTTTTCTACTGACATATATATAATTCATGAAAAATAAGCTCTATATTTTTTTGTTATTAAATTACATTCTAGAAATAAATTATTGAAAAAGTACGTATTTTTTTGTAATACAAGTAGGCTTCTGATTTCAAACAGTACAGGATGACAAATAAACAAATTTCTTTTCATCTTATCCAAATAAATTAATACCGAGGTATTTCTCAATAAAGAAAAAAAGATGACTGAAAAATGAAATTCATCAAATTTTGTAAACAAAACGTATAAAGTCATGTCTAGAAGAAAAACAATACATCTATCAAATATGGGTATGGACTATATAAACATGATACGCCCACACCCCGAAAAACAAGATTCAATATTGTTATTCTCGTTCATATGAATAGTTGACAATTCGTAAAAAACTACATTACACGAGAATTTATTTCATAAGTAAAAATAAATGAGACATATTTGATTTCATTTTTAAAAAAAAATATTTCTATGCATACAAAATTTACAAGTTATTTTGTTCATGGTTTTTTATTTTTCTATCGGAGAAATGTTGTAAGATGACGAATAATATTTTGCAACAAATTTTTCATCGATATACGATTGATCAAATGTCGAAAGAAAATTTTATCTAAATGAATAGTTGACATTGTTTCCTGAATATTTGATAATAACATCAAAAGTTCTGCTGATCGTCGATATTTAAAATTTCTTGTATAATCAGTTAACATAAATAAAGCATCGTTTTTATATTTATCAATCGAATGACGATCGTGTAATTCTTTATTCATCGCTAAAATGAAAAAAAAACGTTTTGCTTAATAAGTTAAAGAAAAAAACTTACGAGTATTAAAAACAACCATTAATTTAAGTAATGCATATTCAGTTGAATCAATTGAATGTAAAATTAAATCTTTAATAGCTGATTGAAATAATAAATATTGATTTTCATCATTAAATGAATCATTTTCATCTGGAATAAAAAAAATGAGTTACAAAAAAATCATAAATTTTAATAATTTACTTGGATCAAGAAATTTTTTCATTTCAGCTGATGTTAATACAAATAGTATTGACCAAGATTGTTCGATTAATGAAAATTGATCAGATTCATTGAGATTTTTAAATGATGGTACTGAAAACAACCATCGAATTGATTCAAGTAAAATAAACGAAGCGGTTTCGCATAAAATTTCTTCATTTGTTACATCTAAATAATACGAAAATTTTACAAAAAAATCTCTTTTTTGTTAATTTCGAATTCTACCAAGTGATGAATCAGTATTAGAAATATCTGATATAGTTTGTTGTGTAGAATCTAATGATGAATGCAATTGTTGTTGTTGTTGAAAAATCATTCGAGACCATATTGGTGATGAAATACTAATTATAAAAGAAAGATGTTATAAAATCTCGATACTATTAACTTCGACACTCATATTTAATTAGACAACTTACCTTTTAGTTTAAAAAAAAAATAAATTTCACTTACTTATTCATGGGTAAATTTCGAAAGCCAAATGGCATTGTCACTTGTGGTGACTCACTTACATACCCAACAGCAGATGTTGGTGGTGTCCAACATTGCACTCGAGGAGGAGGAGCAGGCAATGTTCGTTTATTTCCATGACGTGGTGCTCGTTCATTTTGTACAGCTAGAATAGATAAGCACGTTTGCCTATTACTATTAAATACACTTCAAAAGCTTTTTTCTGCTTAAGTATGATGATAAGTAAATAAGTCCTGACTATTCTCTTATTTATACAAATGTCAATAATTCTCACCACTAGGTTTCATTTTCATTTCTAAACAACGTTGAAATCGACATGCTTGACATTGATTTCGTCGATTAACATCGACACGACAAGTTGAATCACTTTTACATTTATATTCTATTTTACGTCTTTAAACAACAACAAAAAAGATTATTTTAAATTAAATAAAATAAAAAATTTACCGAACACTTCGTTTAAAAAATCCTCGACAACCATCACAACTCATAACTCCATAATGTTTTCCACTTGCTTTATCACCACATACAGAGCAAACAGATAAATGACGACGATGATTTGACATTAATGAAGTAACGTTATCTAAATTGAAAAAAAAACATGTATGTTGATCTCTCTAAGTCAGCAGGATAAATGTC